CCAGGGCTCTGCTGCTGCGCTTACTCAACCACTACTGCCTACGCGATCTCTTTCCACTTATTCCTGCTGCGCGTTCGTAAACCTCTTCACTCCTCGAGATTGCATCTTCTCGACAGTCGTCATGGGTAAATCGTAAGTTCTCGTGCTCCCTTCCTATCCCCCCCCCCCAGGGCCATCACGGCCGCCGCCGCCACCACCACCACCACCTCAGCTCTGGAGCGCTCCCGCCCTTCACCATGAAGATGATCAACCATGTTGTGAAGGACGAGCAACCGGCCAAGCATTCTGCATGGCTTCTACAGTCAAGCGCTCATATCCTCAACTCGACAACCCACGTTCGACCGCAAACCGCGCAACCATGCAATCACAACTTGACAAGCACAAGGACGAGTGCGAACAAGCGCTGCCCAACAGACCGCTCGGATCGCAAGACATACCTCTCCTCGCCCATGCACACGCGCCGCTCAACTTTGCCCGCCGACATAACGTTGACGTACCCCGCCATGACGAGCCCGGATACGCCCACTATCAGGCCATGCAGAGAGTCGCCTTCGCCAACGCCGTCCGAGAGCTTGAGAAGGAGCTGGGATCGCGCAGCAATGTGGAACACCTAGAACTAGAGAATGCGAGGCTGATTATACGACATTATAGCCAAAGCAAGCTCTCCCAGCAGGAGCTCGCCGACCTCCAAAAAGCAACCCACTTCGACAAGAAGGAGCTGCAGCAATGGTACAAAGGTGCGCATAGCCTCGTGGCGAAAATTACACTTGGACCATCGCTGAGCACGAGCAGGCTTCTTGAAGGACTGCCCATCGGGCATGCTCACCAAGGAGGAGTTCCAAAAAATCTACAAGCAGTTCTTCCCCTTTGGCGATCCGTCCTCATTCGCAGACTACGTCTTCAACGTTTTCGATGCGGACAAGTCTGGCACAATCGACTTCAAGGAGTTTATTTGCGCCCTGAGTGTCACGAGCAGGGGCAAGATGGAGGACAAGCTTGACTGGGCGTTCCAGCTATATGACATCGACGGCGACGGCAAAATCAGTTACGAGGAGATGCTCGCGATTGTAGAAGCAATCTACAAGATGGTATGCAGGACACCACGCGTGGGGCTGAAGGTGTATGCTGACAAATGCAGGTTGGTTCCATGGTCAAGCTCCCCGAAGACGAAGATACCCCGGAGAAGCGCGTTAAGAAGATCTTCCGGATGATGGACAAGGACGAGAACGGCAGCTTGGACATGGCCGAGTTCAAGGAGGGCTCCAAGCGCGACGAAACCATTGTTTCGGCACTCTCCCTATATGACGGACTTGTGTAAACTAGGGGTCGATACCCAGTGTCGTTTTCTTGTGCCTTTTTGTTTGCTTTCGATAACAGCGCATTTGTGGAATTTCTGACATGCTTTCGTTCCACTTCTGTAGGGTGGCGGAGGAAGCTTTGACATCGCCACGGCGTACGGGACATCATGATTGATGTATATAAGATGGATGATTAGTCAATGGGTTTGGAGGGTGCAACAATTCCAATTTTGCAACATTCATGCTCGCAGACTTGCTCTCAGAATCGGGCTGCAACTGATCACTTTTTTTCTGGGTTGTACACGAGACTAGATACTTGTAGAGTGAGGAAATCAGAATTATGGTCGGCATGATATTGCAGTGGACCCTGAATAGTGAACACAGTGGCTTACGGCTTGGCATACGCGTACTTTGGCTTTGAGGTAAGGTTGGGGCTTAGGGACAGGTAGCTTCTAACAACACCACATTTGCTATCATATTGCCCGACTCGTCGCATGCTGACCAGTACCGACTATTCAAACCCACAAAGATACTAAGCTATCGAAATCATCAATTCCCGTCCACTAGACAACGCTTCGCGGGGGACTGTAACATCGTCTCGGCAGTCCGCCTAGAATCTTGAGCTACCGCTCCCTTTCGCTCCGCAGCGCCCCGACGATACCTTTTCACACCTGTTCACGACCGCGGACACGTCTTCAGGATGCGGCGACTCGAGATATCGACATCCGGTGCTGTGCTTGCTTCCTTGCTGGCGCTGGCTCCATCGCCCGTATCAGCCTTCTACTTCCCGGGTGTCGCACCTACATCATACAAGACCGGAGACGCAGTACCACTATATGTCAATCATCTCACACCCGCCGACTCGCAAAATGACCCCAAACTACGCTCCGTATTCTCCTTCGACTACTATCATCCGCCATTCCACTTCTGCCAACCGAAAGAAGGCCCCAAATACATCCGAGAGAGCTTAGGGAGCATATTGTTCGGTGATCGCATACAAACGAGCCCATTCGAGCTAAAAATGGGCGTAAATGAGACGTGTAAAGCGTTGTGTGAGGCGCCATATGCGCCCGAGGATGCAACCTTTGTCAACAGCAGAATATACCAAGGCTACGACCTAAACTGGTTAATAGATGGCTTACCAGCTGCACAGCTACTGAGGGATCCAAGCTCAGACGAGCCGTTTTACAGTCCTGGATTTGCGCTAGGGTTGGTGGATGTGGAGAATCCGACATTGAATAATCACTACGATATCGTGATTGATTACCATGAGGCGGGCCCGGACAACTATAGGGTCGTGGGTGTGCTCGTGGATCCCTATTCGATGCGCGACTCGAAAATGCTGGGCAATGGCAAGGTGCAATGTGGCGATGGGCAAACACCAACACCGGTTATACTAAACGAGAACGTGGAGACTTTGGTGACGTTTACGTACAGCGTGTACTGGAGGCTCAGTCCGACGCCGTTTGCGACACGGTGGGACAAGTACCTACATGTCTACGACCCCAAAATCCATTGGTTCTCCCTCATCAATTCCGCGGTTATAGTCGTCTTCCTCGTTGGAATGGTTAGCACCATCTTGGTGCGCACGCTCAGGAAGGACATCGCCAGATACAATAGGTTGGACCAATTTGCGCTCGATGACTTTGGAGAGCATGATGATGTCGAGGACGGTGTGGCAGACGATTCGGGCTGGAAACTGGTCCACGGGGATGTGTTCAGGTCACCAAAGAACCCGCTATTCCTATCGGTGTTGGTCGGCAATGGAGCTCAGCTATTCGCGATGACTGCGCTGACCATTGGTACGTTTACGAATCATGTCTTGGAGCAGAGGTATTTGAACTAACATGTATTTGCAGCATTCGCACTCCTGGGCTTCCTCTCCCCCAGCAACCGCGGCGCTCTCGGAACCGTCATCATCATCTTCTACACCCTTTTCGGATCCATTGGCGGCTACGTCTCGTCCCGTACGTACAAATCCTTCCACGGCGAGTCTTGGAAACTCTGCTTCTTCTACACTCCCGTCGCCCTACCCGGTCTCGTCTTCACCACCTTTTTCCTCCTCAACTTGTTCGTCTGGGGTCGCGGCGCGTCCGGTGCTGTTCCATTCACCACCATGCTTGTTGTAGTGATTATTTGGTTTGTCATATCAGTACCTCTGAGTTTTGCTGGGTCCTGGTTGGGGTTCAAACAAGCTGCCATCGAAGCACCTGTGCATACAAACCAGATTCCGCGGCAGATTCCGCCCGCAGGAGGCTATCTCCGGCCTCTTCCCTCTATGGCTCTAGCCGGTGTACTACCTTTTGGCGCCATCTTTGTCGAACTCTACTTTATCATGAACTCGATCTGGTTCTCGAAAGTGTACTATATGTTTGGCTTCCTCTTCATTTGCTTTGGGCTGATGATCATTACGTCTGCAGCAGTCACCGTGCTCATGATATACTTCCTGCTTTGTGCGGAGAACTATCACTGGCAATGGAGATCTTTCTTCACGGCAGGTGCCTGCGCGGCGTATGTGTTTGCGAGCTGTTTGCTGTATTGGATCAAGGACGTGAGCTTTTTGAGCTGGACAAGCGGAGTGGTTTATCTCGGATACTCGGCGCTGCTGAGTTCGTTGGTTTTCGTGCTCACTGGTAAGCGAACTTGGTCTTCATCTTTGAAAATCGATCGAAATTAGCAACTAACACTTGCATAGGTACGATTGGCTTCTTCGCAAGCTGGCTCTTTGTGCTCAAGATTTACAAGTCAATCAAGGTAGACTGAGCTGCAATTTGGAGATAGAATTCTATGAGGAATTGAAGGCATAACGGGCGGAGTGGGGAGGTCCCCCCTCTCTGTAAGAGTTTGTTGTAAGCTTTTGAGAAGACACCAAAAACGGTATCATATGATTTGTATACGTAGACTTGCGCGGCGTCAAGGCGTTCAACATGGCAGGTCAGGTCGATACATGACGAGCAAGAAAGTGATGGCTCGGCACTTGCACAAATGATACCCATCATCTTCATCTACTTCGACTCACTTCATCCATGTGAGCTGGCATGTGAAAGGCACCAGGTAGCATATTAGGTGCGAAGGCGTGACAGCGTACTGTGTAGATATTTGGCTGTGACGGCGGACGGCCAACATGGATCTGATGAGACGCGTTGCAAGCGAGGGAGCTAGGGCCCCTACGCGAACCCTAGCTTTGACCGCGTAAAGAGCTCTAACAAATCTGACTCCACCACGGTCATCAGCGACGGCTCCTGTAGCCATGTCGTTCTTTCAAAACCAGAACGATGTGGAGACGCGCTTGTGCACGGCGGTCAATGCCGCTATCGAGGCCAGAAATGCCGATGAGCTGCAAGCGATCGTACTTTTAGAGCCACCTTTTCCGCCAGACCACCAGGAGCTCATTGGATCATTGCAACGAAAGTATCCAGAAAACGACACTGCCTCGGAGCAACGGCTTGCGCAATTGATCAAGAGAGTGGTCACCGAGACAGATGAGTCCCAAGATGAAGAAGGAAGACCTGTGCAATCATGGAGCGCCATGGTCACCTTTCTCGTCAGGTGGATGACCTTTTTGCGAGATATGGACCCAACGAACTTTGTACAGCTCTTTCAGTTATTGAGTGACCTTCAGCAGTGAGTTCACCGCTAGTATACCCCAAGATCAAACTCCCGTTCATCGTATTCTGACCCAGGTTAGACAAGCGAACAGTGCACTACAACATCCTATCAAAGGCATATTGATGCTTCCGACTATCATGAACTATGCGAAAGCGTTTGCGCGGATAGCCGTGGGACTTGACAAGGAACCTGAGCTCATTCAACACCTGATTGCTGATTCAGTCGATGACGAGGGTAAAAGAGAGTCGCTTCCAGAAAAGGCCGCCAACACCGTTCGCCAGGCGTTCATCATCTGTCTGAATGACCGAAATACCGTGCCTGGGGGTATTCGAGACGGTAAGCCTGATGGTAAAAAGATTGGAATCTACAAGATGGCGAACATCTGTTTAAAGATCCTCTTTCAAGCCGACAAACCAGAAAGCTGTGAGACTATCTTCAGAAACATAATGAATTCGTCACCACCACTACATATCTACCCAGCTGCAGAACGCATCACGTACCTCTACTACCTCGGACGCTATCGCTTCGCCAATACAGACTTTTACGCAGCACAGCTAGTGCTACAAAAAGCTTACGATGACTGTCTCCCCCAGTTCATAAGGCAGCGTCGTTTAATCCTCGTCTATCTGGTTGCCGCCAACGTCATTCTTGGACGGTTCCCCACCGAACATGTCTACAATCGCCCAGAAGCCAGTGGCTTTCGCGAAGTTTTCACTCCTATCACACAGGCTATTCGCAAAGGGGATCTCGAAACCTTTCGTCGCATCACAAATCTTGACTTGACACACTCAAGCGCGGACTTCCTTTTTCACTACCGCATCTTCTATCAGATCGGAAATTATTGCGAAGTCCTTGTGTGGCGTTCACTTATTCGAAGAGTGTTTGTGCTAGGTGGAGCTCAGGGAGGGACAGCTCAATCGGCCGCAGTTCTTGATCTCACTGCAGTTCTTTGCATATTTCGCTTTCTTGAGGCCCGTGCCAAGATCAAGAACGCCGCAATGGCCGCCCAAGACCTTGGTCCTGGCCGTCGCAACTTTGGCCACATATTTCAAGACCACACATCAACGACCAGGGACACGTACATCGACCCGGATTTTGCTGGGATGGAACGGATCGAACCGTACAACCACGAAATTGACGCCCTCGAGATTGAATGTATATGCGGAAGCCTGATTACACAAGGTCTATTGAATGCATATATCAGCCCAAAGACGGCGAAGTTGGCTATTTCGGGTGCGAGACGACCGGGCGGTTCATTGAAACACGGGTTTCCGCAGCCGTGGCAGGTGATCAAGGAGAAAAACAGTGATGATGTGCTCGGGTGGAAAAGAGATAGCGGAAGTCAGGCACAGGGACAGGTTGTGAGGCTTTCAGGAGCTAGACCGGCTGGGTCGTAAGAAGAAGACCGGAACATGCACCAAATCCAATAGCGGGCAGACTGGCTTCTTGATATTCTGACTTGCAAACTACGACAGGAGGATGCAGAACGAAGATGACGTTGCACCTATCCATGCTACACCTGCCCTTTCGGGAGAATTTCAAGATACGAACGCCTCCGTTCTGCTTCTGTTCATACTTGTATTGAACTTCGATCTGCCATCCCCTCTGAGGTTCTCCTCGTTCATTTCGTGGTCAGACTTAAGTATATGAATTGCTGCAATATCCCGGACCTAAGATGAAGGCGTCGACATACGACAATGACTATGTTACTTCGGCTCCTCCTGAATAGCAACAAAGTTCAATGGCGATTTGTGAGTTGTTCTGATAAGGGGCAACAAGGTGGGCTAAAGATAGCCACTAGTGGAGATCCACTCGACGCGTCGAATTACGGAAGGACTGGTTTATTGAAGGATAAGGCTTCAACAAAATTCAATTCTACGCATCTTCGGTTTCTATGGCTATCGCTGTCGAGGGGATCTAATGATGGCAACAACGTCTTTAGATCCTGCTGTCACATTCATATGGATAGACTGCAGCTCGAAACTTGATACATTATTTATCAGAGCCCCCATTTTATCTAACTTGAAAGGTAATTTCATGTTTAGTATATCATGATAAGTACTCGCTCACTCTACTACTAAAATAGTTGCATAAGAGTATCGCTCACCGTGATTGCAATGCCTATTTCTCTACGTAACTCGATCACTTATCGCTGAGACGGACAGATTCAACCTACTCTCCTTGCATACAATGCTGAAATGTGTATACACTCACACGTAACTTTTCTCCTATGGGCGTGCAGATTCCATCAATGACGGGGTGGCCTTCCGTCCCGTGTTTACCTTGGTCCGAGTTCATCCATAGACTTGGCACCCGTCCGCAAACTGCTCAACCCACTTTTACCACGCCGACCAAGTCCCGAGCCTTACAGAAAACAGCTAGAACCCGTTCAACCACTGCACAAGTGTCGCAGGTCCGACACTAGCGACCGCACAATTCTCTCAGAAACGACAGAGGCCAATGAGAGGGGTAATTAAATGAGGCTAACGGCATAAAGGCGAAAAATGACCAAGTAGGAGATATGAGCGCTGTCAGGTCTGTCGATCGAGCCTTTGCAAGAGTAGGATTTTGCCCCATCGCAAACGTCTGCGGCGCTTCTTGTGCGGAGAGGCAAGGCTAGGCACCGCACAAGTCGCGCAGAGTGGTCTATAAAGGACCTCGCATTGTCCCTTTGCTCACTATTCCATCAACAACCAAGTAACACATTTCAACGAACAAAATAATCCACTTTCGAATCCTTTTAACCAAACCCTTTAACCACCAATCCACACCATTACCAACATGAAGGGCAATTGCGGCTGTGCTTCCGGATCCTGCAGCTGCGGCGCTAGCTGTACTTGCGATGGCTGCCCTGTACGTCGCTTCCACCATGACTCTCTCTATGCTCGTACTAATTGTATGCAGGGAAAATGAGTCGTTCGCCTTCAGCTCTACATTTGCCTAGAGGCACAAGCATGGTGAGTGATGCGTCGTCGCTTAGTTTAGAGGGCGAAGCTGATGCACTGTAGATGATTTCATGATGGCAATGGCACATTTCAAGCACGTGAGACCAGGGCGTCTCACTTGGGTGGTAGATGACTATGGGATGGCGATGCGTAAGTGAAGGAGCTCAGTGGTATACGATATCACAATCAATCACATACCTATATCCACTGCTATTATGTAAACTTTTCTCTTTTAATACTATATTGAAGGTGCTAGGTATAGCACCTATACTTCGGTTTTATACTGATTTCACCTATTGTGTTGTATGATCCGCTCTCGCTGGTGTTGACGTTACTTTCACAAAAAACATCCATGTCTACTGCATACGTCTTAGTACCACTTCCGCAATCAGATCAAACGAAACCAACATAATTCCCTATAGCGTGCCACTGCACAGAGCCGTCTCTTGGTCGGTCGGTCCACCGTTCCTAGCCACAGAAAACAGTCACATTCTCCTACATACGGTCCTTTCCACCCTGCCCCACATTGAAGCTCTCCCAACAGAAGACGAAATATCCAAAATAGGCCCCGATGAAGATGCAGATTATGATGTACCCGTTGTAATATAAAGCGAGCAGCATGACGAAGTAAGCAACAGCAAACTGAAGCATGTGTAGGAGTGCGCGGATAGTTTGTTGCAATACACTGGGACGGAAGTTCGATGCTGCGACGGGGGCACGGGCGACGGAGGAGTTAGTGGGAGGGATTTTGCTTGTACCATTATCGGGAGAAGCGGACTACGCAGTCACACCAGCTGAAACGAGCGAATTGTAACCTTGTGCGACAATATAGCGATCGTATTGAGAAAGACGACGAGGAGAACGACTCCGATATAGTTACCTGTAAACATCCCCTTAGAGGTAATGTGCCACGAGCGAGCAATAAAACCTGGTCAAATCAGTGGTCTCGAATCAATAACCAGCCTCCAGAGGTGGTCTCCACCTGGTGCACTTAAGACAGACTCCGGTTTGTCCTTGTCGAGGCTGGCTACACTATACCAACGAGAGCGGCTGCAAGAACTTACATGAATCAACAGTGTACCAATTCCACAGCATCTACCAAAACGTTAGCCAGGACACTCTTGCTCATTTGAAGAGGATTTGCAAAGCGCCTACGCCCTAGTTGAGCTATCGCTGGTTCTGTGAAGGTACTTTGAATGCGGAAAAGTGCCATACAATCTGCAGATAGCCTATGGTAGATGGTGTGATAGAAACCTATTCATAAATGTAGCCTCACTTAAATCGCATATTGTTGTATGATTAGCCCAGCAGCGTCTTACTGCCTAAAAGAGTATCGAGTAACGATGAGAAATGAAATGTGCCAAGGGCTGCTACCAAGAGTTGCGAACGTACGATAAAGGTATAGGAGTCATATATGGTTGCGGTCGTTTGTAGTGAATTGCGCACATTCTTGCACGACGGAGAGAAAGTATTGGTCCGGAGCGGAAGCGGGATAGAGGAGGGGAAAGTTAGCTTTGCGAAAAATGGAGATTCGGTAGGTCCATTTTGCACACATTTTCACATTTTCAGCAAAAACAGCTCATCGTATAAAGTGTAATATAATAGTCAAAGTCAGGATGCGCGACCTACAGTCTGGTTGGCGAACCGATACATACCGCATTAGTCCTCCACTAATCTAAAAGTCAAAAGGCAACATCTAATTTTAGGTGTAGAATCCGGTCATACCTCATGAGTTAGAACACTCTCGCTAAAATGACCGACATAAGATAATGGAGCAAACAAGTATCTAAGGCTGTGACTGGATTGCACGAAGCAAAGAGATAACTGGAATAAGCTTGCGCAGCTTGTTCTTCTCCGCAGAGCGGACGAAGTTGGTGTCCTGGCGCCTGAGAGGATTTGGCCCGATGGCGGAGATTGTGACGGTAGCACCTTCCTCCATAACGGGGTCGCAACAAACGACAGAAGTTTTCTTGCGTACAATAGGAGAACCGACGGGAGATCTGACCTTATCTGCAATTGGCGAAAACATTGCCTGCTTGCGTCCAATGGGAGAGCAGATGACAATAGGCCTATGGCCCTCCGCGGTGGGAGATGTAACCACGATTGGGTTGTTCTTGCCAACAACGGGCGAGCAGATGATGATGGGCTTCTTCTTTTCTGCGATGGGAGAGACAATGACAATTGTGCTCTTCTTGTTTTGGTTGAAGATGCTGACCCTCTCGGTCGTAACTGGAGTAGGCTCGGGAATGAGGAGCTTGGGAAGTGTATTAGCATTAGCTGTAGAAGCCAACTTGCGCTTTAGGCTGAAGTAAGAGCCATTAGGACCATCAACCCAAGAGCCATCGTATTCTGGGCTTTCCAAAGCTTTCCTTGCTATCTGGGCGCGACCCAAGTACATGAACTCATCGCCCTCAACCTTGATCATGCAGTTGTGCCAGGGCGTTGGAAGCTGGAACTCGTAAACCGAGTTGGGCCCCAGACGGGACTCCAGGCAGTCGATGGCGCGGACCATGTTTGCGGGCAATAGACGGATAGCGAATTTGGGGCCCGCGTTATTATGGGCGTGAATGGAGAGACGCACATAATTGGGAAGGAGAAGCTCAGTCAAGTTGGAGTATGCTTGGTTGCGGGACATCATCTCCTCAGCAACGAGAGCGGCAGTCTTCTTCTTCTGCTTGCCGCTAAGAGACTTGACCGAAGGGATATCGGCAAGATCCTCAAGCATAAAGCGAGTCTGACCACGATATAGTCCAAGCGCATCAGGCTCTTGCTCTGTTATCAGCTGGCGGATATAGGCGCGATCCGGTCCGCCAATACCTAGCATGAGCTTTCTGCATAGCTCAGCCTCACCAGTGAGTTTAGTCTTGACTGCATGTGGCATCTTGTGCGAGTTAAGTAGCAGTTTTTGCAGGCCTTGAAAGCCGTCCGAGTCGACAGCGAATATGTTCTTGAGCCCCTTGAACTTGATGGTCTGAACGGGACCAACAGTCTCAGGATATCGCTCTTTGTAGATCGCAGCCATACAGGCATCATACGTGTCAATCATCTCATCGTCAACACCGACTAGCACGAATGTTAGCACCTACTCCATCTTCACTGATCAGCATCGAGCTTACTGCAATCGGAGAAAACGTGGCCATCATTGATGACCCACATAGTCGCACCAGGCTCGTAAACTGTGTTGACCTCCTTAACGAAGTCATGGAGAACGTCCATGGCGATGTGCTCTGCAAGATCCGGCATGATACCGCCAACCTTGTTTGGGTTGGGCGACTTGCATGGGAAGGCAGGCAAGGCGAGCTGGATGGGAAGGTTTTTGTCGACATAACCATATATGCGGTTCAGGAAGACGTCTTTACCACAAACGTGCCATTGGTCATCCTTGGAGACGTTCTTGAGCGTGCGCTCGAAGATGGTGGCAATGGTGGCGCATGTCTCTCGGTGCTTTGCTGCCCATGGTGTAGATGATGCCGAGATGTGAGCGAAGGGCTGGAACTCAGTCTCTAGGAGGACGAAGCGCTCTGCCCAGATGGTGAAACCATCGGCCTTGACAGACTTCGGTCGTGAGGTCAATAAGCCCAGGAATTTGCCATTATCGTGCTCAATCTCGGACACCTGAGTGTTGATTGCCTCGTGCTGAAAAGATGGAGGGAAATTCGAGCGAATGTTAAGAAGAGCGGGGATATCGGCTGTGATGTGAAGAGTCTTGATCTGCTTGCCAGAAGGGAGCCGGAGCGAAGTCCATAGTCCTTCAGTCGAGCACACAATGTCTTTTAATTGTGCCCAAATCTCTGGTAGTGACTTGGAGTTGCTGCCCTCGACAGCCAGAAGCTCACCGCGGGAATTCCTCCAGTACATGGCCTGGATGCAGTGGTATGTGGAAACGGCCTTGTTAAGAGGAGGCATTTTGAAAGAGTAACGAGGATTGGGGTATCCGCTAAAGTGAAGATGCAATGGAGCAGACAAAGGGAACGGCACTGAGAGAGATGAACTCTAGATGCTAGTCTTGGTGAGTGACGGCAGGGGCTGAATGGTGGACTGCATGACAAACACGTCGGCATCTAATATATGGAAGAGACTCAATGCGTCTGGTCTCAGACATCACAAAGGCTACTGCTCTCTGCGGCCAATGCACAGCCATCCAGCTAACTGCGGATGGAGTCGTGGGCTGTCGGCACACCGACTAGCATGGCTAATTGTGGTGGCTTTCATCTCGCTACGACCTGGTCAGCTACCGCGATTGGACATGCAGTGTTCAACGTGTCGGGCGGCGGTGCTGGGGTTCTCAATGTTGTGCTCCTCCACTGGGAAACATGCCATGCTGCTGTCCGCTTGAAGTAACTTCCTGGCAGCCGCAGCAACGTTACTGGGTCTAAAAAGAGCAGGGGCCAGCGTGGATCGTGGTAAGCCGCCTGACATAAACGCATGCTGTAGGATTCAGCGGGCCACAGTGTTGCAATGACTTTTCAGCTGGGTGGTCGTGGGCCGTCTCAAGAAAGTATGCACTGCTTGGCATGCATGATCTTGCGTCGGAGCTTCCGTGGCCCTGTTAGCTCGAACCATAGATTGGTCCGAACCGCCAGGTTCTTTACCACAACCCCGAACGTTACCGTTCGACACTGTCTATTGTCTAAAAGTGGGCGCATAAGGCTGTTAGAGGCACGCTGGTCCCACAGGAGTGTTTGTGCCAGCCATTTCCCTTTCGATGGCTTCACTTTAGCTTGAGGGTACAGCCCCTAATGTAGGGTCGAGATACCCTATCATAGCGCTCCAGTTTCATATAAGCTCAGAAGGCGCTTTCTTCTCAGCATTCGTCAATTCGACGTTCGTTCAGCATCATGGTCTCCTACCTTTCGTTGGTCTTCGTGGCCGTCTTTGCGTCCTTCTTCGCAGTCTTCTCCTTTTTCGTCGCCCTATTCACTCCGCCTCGCAACTTCCCTAAGAATATTCCAACTATCCCGTTCTATTATGGCCTTCTACCCCTCTTCAAAGATGTTGATCAATCTGAGCTATACCGCCAGTACCTGAAGGAGCCTCTCTCAAAGCACGGTGCAGTCAAGCTATTCTTCGGCGGACAATGGAACATCCTGGTGACCAAGCCATCGTATATCGCCGAGATGTTCAAGCATGAAGCTACCTATGCGAAGTCTGGCAACCAAGTCAAGATCCCGCACAGTGTGCTCGCTGAGTATACGGGCGAGAACATCATCAGCGCCCATGGCGAGAAGTGGAGGCTGTACCAGGGTATCATCAAGCCAGCCCTGCAAGCTGACCAGGCTTCAGAGCAGATATGGAAAAACTCGAGGATCCTGAGGGGCATGTTTTTGGGCGACTCGAAGAAAGCTGCCGGCAATGGTATCCCAATTTACACCCCACTCCATCGCTACGCGCTCGCGAATCTCTCCGAGGTTTTGTACAGCTCCAGCTTCGAGACACTACAGCAGATGGACGCCCCACTTCACACAGTTCAGATGAAGATCAAGCCCATCATCTTCCAGCCAGTTTTCATGAACTTCCCCTTCCTCGACTACCTACCCTTCAAGATTAGGAAACTCGGTCGCGTGCTCAACAAGCAGTTCCGCAGTACACTCCGCACCGCCATCACCAAGGGCCACCTTCAGCACGTCTGTAATGAAAATGACAACAGGAACGTCGCTTGCAGATTGATCGGCTCGCACCGTGAAGGCTTGCTTACCGACAAGGCTCTTGACGATAATCTGGTCAGCACTTTCCTCGCCGGCCACGAGAATCCTCAGCTCGTACTCATGTCACTCATGTATCTCCTTGGTGCCCACATTGAGGTTCAGGAAGCTATCCGCAAGGAAGTTCAAACACTCTTCCCCGCCAACGCTCCAGCCGACTACGAGCCAAAATATGCTGATCTTCACGATCTGCCTTTTCTTACCTCAGTCCTATACGAGTCAATTCGCATGTTTCCGCCGATCTCGCAGCTCATCAACCGTCGAACCACAGCCCCTGTTATTCTCGGTAACAAGATCCCCGTTCCTGTAGGCGTCTACATGGGCTACAATGCATACTCCACAAACCGTGACATCGAGTTCTGGGGCGCTGATGCTGAGACCTTCAAACCCTCGCGCTGGGGAATCACAAATGATGAGATCAACCACCTCTACCGTCGCGCTAACTCAAAGGGATCATTCATTAGTTTCCATGGTGGAAGGCGAGCGTGCTTGGGCCAGAAGTTTGCCATGCAACAGCTGCGTATCACAGTTGTTGAGTTGGTGCGCGGATGCAAGTGGAGGGTGGACGAAACCTGGGACGGCCGCATGACGCCTGCTGGCCCACTATACCCGAGGGGTCTCAAGCTGAAATTCGAATCGATCAACGCTATCTCCGAGAAGACACCATAGCCTCGCAAACGGAGTGTAGGCATAGATTGACGCTGGTGGGACAAGCAAAGTACGATAGAAGGAGGTCATGCGTTCACTACGATATTGCATAGTGATTGCGTTCGGGGTGGCTTAGCAGCGCCTAAAAACAGTGATGAATGAAGGTAGATCATCTGCGCATTGCTGTAATATTGGGGGGAAGGGTTTTTTTTTAAAGAAGATACCATAATTTGAGAGTATATTACTTTTAATACCCGACATTCTGAATTTGTGGTTTCACTATTCCAGCGATGTACTATCGTATTGACTACATTAATGCTCGTCTTCCCCCGTCCTCGAGACTGTTTTCTTGCAAACACCAACGGTAAAGGCTACCGATGCAAATCAGGTGGCCAGGATACGACAAGGGTATTTATGGGTGACTTCGAGGATGAAGCAGTACCTCGAAGCGTCACAGTAGAGACTAGACAGGCGGGTATGTATATTAGAAACTGGTACGCCAGAAATTACTCTCAATGTAGTGAATGTAACATGCGCTAGTCGGCTTTACGGTATTTTAGATTTCATATTTATGACTTCTCTAGATACGAAATAATTGTATCTTACATACGTGAAATTAGAGCAACCAAATCCTAAATTTGTTAGCCTGTTGAGACGGAAGAGGGGTACACGTGTGAGAGGAGTTTGAATCTGGTACTGCGAAGAATAGATGTCTCTCTAGCACGCCACAATCAGGAACGCAATACGCGAGTTTGCTTCTTTGAAAATCGAGTGTGCGTTTAGTTTCCTAAGCTTGCTAATAGATGCTGCATGTACTAGACAACGTGATAGCTCTCTGTCGGTAAAAGTTCGCTCTCATCTCCAGGATGCGAAGTGGCCGTGATGTCAAGTCCGCTGAATTCATTGTCTATAAACTTTGAACGTGTTATATGATCAGATGAGATGCATTAATACCAGTGCCTCAGTCTTGCGGTGGTAGTTAGTTATGAAAATAATACTCCGATGAATACTAGAGTCTACTGGTAGAGGGGATTTACCGGTTTGTACTCTGTGTCTATTTTTTGTGATACCCCATCTTGTTGTCCATATAAAACTCTATAAAATGCTAGTCATTTGTACGAGCCGCAAAAGATAACCTTGTCGAAGCTAAGGATGCGAAAAGATCGTACATCAAATGATAGTAGTACCTATCTTAGGCTTGACTTGAGATGAGAAGAAGAACGAGTTGATCGGCTCCATGTCCTGCCCGTTTACTAGCTGTTCGAGGATCCTCGTCGCTTGTTGAAGCACGACTTCAAGTTGCATATTCGTCAATATAAGCCACCATATTATTCTCAGTGATGCTAAGAACTCGTGCATGTGCGACTGTTCTCGAAGTTCGAAGGTCCTGCATGTACTAAACCAGGAACCGATATACTGGCTAGTGCTCACAGAAAATATGCCAACAAGCCAGGCCTCAGTTGCTCGGTACGTGAGAAAAGGGGCTTGAGTAAGGGTGCTCGAGTAAGGGTGCTCGTACTGTATGACGCCAGAATTTGCAACGGTAAACCATACAAGGATTAGAATTCTCACCATCAAATCGGCTTGGGATAGACTGGCAAGGGATGCAACGATGCACCAAAGTGTTGGCGAATGGTGACCTAGTCAGTGCTGGCAAAGTGGTGCCGCTAATGCCGCGCTAATAGGGTTCAGCCTCACATCTTCTCCAGCCAAGCTTCGATCGGTGATGCGGTGTCGTACGGGCGCTAGCAAAATAAACCCGTTTTGTGTATTAAAAGTTGCTTTGTTGCGCACGAACTTGCATCCTGCGCTGAAGGAGACAGGCACGCGAATCCCCCTCTCTCGTTAACAGCATGATCAACGTGTATTCCGGGTCGAAGATGGGTAAAATAGTTGCAGCGGGTCGTAAAGAGGCATAAGCAAACGTACAAGAAGCGTTGAGGTCGAAGATACGCAACTACTCCCAACGGTAACGATAAGAGGTCATGATCCAGCATTTTGCGTCCATTGTTCCACGTGTAGAGAAAGCGTGTTATCATCAATACCGTGCTGGTGGATCACTAAACGTGGTCCTAAAAGAGAGGGGGGCTGGCTGAGGTGCACAAGGGCGCCGTCTAAGCTTCTCCTTGACTCCGCTCCAACCGCAGTCGGGATGGAAATAACTCATCATGTCGGCGCCCACTGGCTGGACGAGTAGGAAGAAGCGAGTCTGACATGGGTATCGATGGCACAGCTCAGTATCTAGAACAAAGGCTTTATTTGTGTGGTACTGCGCATGGTTGGCATGTAGGACGCTCCGATAAATAGGCAGTGCTGAAGCTGCCATCCATATACTTCAATCACAGAGTCCATCGTAGCTCATCTCGAGCATTATCCTTCAGCATGCGTTCCCCTATCGACTTCGAGAAAGCGCATCACTACGACCCGTGTCGTGGAAGTATTGACAGCGACGACTATCCCTTACCACCCTTCCTCGACGAAGCAGAACAATCATTGGCCAACAGTGCTGCGCATCCACCACCGCCTCCTGATTATTCGGCCTTTTCGATTGATCGTAAGCGTTTCATTCTCGCTGTCGTTACAGCTGCGGGGTTTTTTGGTCCATTATGCGGAGCAGTTTACCTCCCATCTCTTAAGCTGTTCCAGAAGATCTTCAGTACCTCAGAAACTGCAGTAAATGGAACTGTGTCCATGTACATGGTCGTGTTTGCTATTGCAGTACGTATCTCAAGACTACATGGCAGGTGCGGTTCGCAATGCTTACATTATGTAGCCTCTCTTTGGTGCAGCGGCTTCTGACATTGGAGGACGTAAGACTGTTTATATGTTCGGTCTTGGGAGCTTCTTGATTGCAAACTCTCTGCTTGCTCTGCTTCCGCCACATATTGTCTGGTTGTACTTTCTCCGTATCTTCCAGGCTTTCGGTTCATGCATTGTGTTCTCCGTCGGAGCAGGTACAGTAGCTGATATTACAGAGCCTGCGAGCCGTGCATCTGCATTGGCTTGGTTCCTCATGGGTCCTCAACTTGGTCCTATTCTTGGACCACTCATCGGCGGTCAATTTGCAACTGAGTCGAGATGGAGATGGGTCTTCGGTTTCCTCTCGCTCACTAGTCTTCCTGTCTACTTCGCCATTGTTTTCTGCATGCCAGAGACTCTGCGATCGCTCGTCGGAAATGGCACTGCTCTTGCACACCAGCCCTGGTTCTCGATTCCCAAGTTTCGAACCAAGCCATGCACAGACTCAAAAGTCCCTAAGGCTCCTCGACCGTCGTTCCGCAAATTCATACATCTTCTCAAGTACCCTCCTCACCTGATCGTCTCATTCAATGGTGCTTTCCAGTTTGCCGGTCTGTACGGGATGTATATATCATTTCCTACGATATGGATCGAAGGTTACAACTGGACTACCGCGAAAGTCGGTTACGGGTTCCTCTGCCCTGGTATGGCCATGTTCATCAGTTCAGTCTTCGTCGGTCGCATGTCTGATTACATGCGGAAGAAGGCTATAACAGACAGCCCCGATGGCAAAGTCGCACCCGAGCGAAGAATCGCAATTCAGATTCCCGGATTCATCATTGCCGCTGCGGGAAAGATCATGTTTGGATGGTTCACACAGAATCGCGTGCATCCAGCAGCAGGCCTCTTCGCCGCCGCTGTTGCAGCGGCTGGTGTTTCTGTGGTCTTCGTTACCAGCACGTCCTTCCAAACTGAGTGCGACCCGGCCCAGACTGCCAGCTTGGTCGCTCTAGGAGGGTTTCTTCGTAATGTCTCTGCAGCAATTTGTGCCGCTATTATGGGCAGCATCCTCGATGGGATGGGTTGGGGCTGGGCCTTTACCGGCCTCGGTATCCTTGACCTCATCTGCATTCCAGGCATCATCCTGATCATGATCCGAGGAGCGAAGTTCCGTGAGGCACTGAAGCGAGAGCAGCAGCTGAACAAGTAGACCGAAGTGGCTGGCTGACTGCAAGTTTCGGCTCTAGGCTGAAGGTCCTCACGGCTGAGGCCACAATCAAAATATTTGTTTTTATGCATAGCGCGGCGTTGGCGGCCATCTCGCATTTACAACTTGCCTCGCACACTAACGACATGTAAATTGAATCGAACCACATCAAGCCATGTGCGACGGATGTACGACAAGTTGAATGGCTTGTGATGTTGTGAAAGTTGAGGATGCATATTCGACCTACCTCTTGCGCACTAGTCCATGAACGGGCCGATACCAAAGTCTAGATTGATCACACTCAAAACCAATGATGCAGTGCTTGTTCGGCATGCTGCTAAGTCATATTTAAAGCGTTCATTTAGCACCGCTCTGCAATATGCCAATGAACTAATAAGCACCTATATTACAACTTTCTTCTGGGTTCTCAATAGCCTGTGCTGTTTTTCCCATGCTCCTTGATCCACTTCGCAATAATCCTTTGCTGTTTTGAAACGATGTCCATCGCTTGGTCGATATCATACAAATCGTACCACCCTGGACTCTCGTGTGGCGGATCGCCGGCCCATACCATACCGAACTCATTAACGTGCTGCGTCTCAGGACGATATATTCCGCCGTATGCCCATGGCGAAGTACCAATGTAAGCTCCTCCGTTGCGGAAGTCGTTCATTACTGTACCGATGATCGTCTGTATGTATATAAGTAGCTGTATACTAAGGTTTGCTAATGGAGGCTTACCTTGAAGTACGCGTCTTTGTGGGACGTCGATGCACTGCTGAGATACGGATACTCCTTGTTCTTGTTCTCCCAGTTATCTCTCGCCATACCAAATTCTTCGAGAAAAACGGGCTTTCCAATATCAACTGCCCACCGACTTGTATTCCGCATGAAGTTCTTTGCAAAATCTTGCGCTGCCTTCAAGTTCGCCTCACTAGAGTCGTACATGTTGTAAATGCCCCAATTTTGGACCCAGCAATGCGTCGTTGCATAGTCTACGGTAGAGAAGTTGTGCACTTTCTTGAAGTAATATTCACCTTGCTTACTTTCAAGGCCAACGCTAATGAGCTGTTTTGGCGCCAGTGAGCGTATAAACGACGAGATGCGATCTACCCATGGGAATAGAAGGTCATTTGGATTTGGATCAAGGCCAAAGTGGTTAGTTGCATCGCGAGGATCTGAGGCTTGGGGCTCGTTTGCAAGCTGCCACGTCATAATAGTCGGATCTTCAGTGTACAGCCGACCATTTACAGTGTTCCGCCGGCTCATTACAGTCTTGATGTGGTTTTTGTACCATTTCTCCGCTTGATCATTGCTGTAGATTCTGTTCGCAAAATGCGTGAACTTGTCGTATGGTACAGCGTCTATTCCCTCGGTCGTGTAGTTGCCCCACCCTGTACCGGGAGTGTTGCGTTGAGGTGGTGCAGTAAGGTTCCAGGAAGAAGGATAAGGTATTTGGGTGTCGTTCGTTGCCCACGACACGAACTGTGCAAACCCACCGCTCCATTGCCATTCGTTACCCAGTGTCATAGTAGCTCGCATCCCGCGCTTCGACATCTCAGCGAGGCAGATGTCTAGTCCCTTGAACACAGGCTCATTGTAATGTCCTGGTGCCTCTAGAAGAGGTGGGTTCATTCTGAATGGTTGAGGTGTGGGGGCTCCCTCTGAGGACGCCATGATGCGAAGGTGGTTGATACCTTTGCCAGCCATCTGATCGAGCTCAGTGATTAAGCGTGAGTGGTTTCCCCCAGAAGAGGAACTAGCTGCTAGGTTCATACAAGCCCAGTAATTGATGCCTAGTTTCATATTAGTTTGAGTCATTCTTGATGGATGAATGATTGTGCATTACCAGTGAGGTAGTGCAAACCCTTCGAATCATACAGCCTCAGCCCATCGACATACACAAAGTCATCTTTATCGATGGCGTGGCTCTTTCTACCTCGTGGCACAGCGGTGCCTGCTGCCAGCGAAGCCAAAAGTAACTGTACGGCTGCCCTCATCTTTGTCGTCGTGTCTCATTCGTGAATCTAGATCGGGCTGTGGTAGAAATCAGCAAATGACTCTGAGGTATCACGTCGGACCTTTTATATCAACCCCGAGGGTGCGGTCCGATATTGGTAAGAACGGCCGATTGTTGACATCATGGCGGGTAAAGAATGTCCCGACCTACTATATTAGGCGAAGCGGAGTCCCTCAATGTGGGGTAAATCGGTTTCTGCGGAAAACCTGACGTGGATTAGGGTGATCCACGTTCAGTGGCCCGAGAGCCGCGTCACAGTAGAGATCGTTTCGGGTTTTTGGCGAGCGAGCAGTAATACATAACGCAGGTCAGAAGTGACTGACAACCAGTAAAACCTTAATTGTGAAACATGCTATCATCACTAAAGTTCTAGGTTTACAATATTAGCCTCTGTATCTCGTCTCTTAAGCACTACCCTCCTCTTTCTTCAACCGCTCAAATAGCTGCACAAAGGCGGCCGGCTCCTGTGCGCCACCGATTTCTGAAGGTGGTAGTAGTCAGTAAAAATACGCCAACTGTTTAAGAGGCCAGGAGGGATGACAATACATAGCAGTCTATGTCCTAGGACTCGTAGAACACTTCGACTGGCGTTCTCAACACAACACATGTTGTGGGAAAGTACGCTGAATGCTCTAAGAGTACCTAAGACATTACCTGTTTGTGCCGCGACCTTACTTACCGAACCGATCATTGATCCTGTAATTTGGCACTCCGCTGATGTTCTGTTTGCGCGCATTCTGCACCTCCTTATCGACCTCGGCCCCTCCCTTTCCACCTTCTAGCCAATCCTTGACCTCTTTCTCTTCTAGCCCTGCCTTCACACCTGCCTCGATTAAGGTCGGCTGGCTCGTAATGTCTTTCTCATTTTCGAAGTAAGCGGCAAAGAGCTCTTCAATGACGCGGGTCTGGACCTGAGATCCCTTCGTCTTTCCAAGCTGGACAAGGCGATGCGAATCACGCGTGTTGCCAGTCTTGCCGCCATACTTGAAGTGAATCCCTTCAGCTTCGCCGGTCTGCGACATTCTCTCCTGCATTATGAGTGTTCGCTCTTTACCCCATCTGGACTCGTACATTTGCTGCTTGTCGGCACTTTTCGGCGCATCTGGATTTAAGTAAAAAGGAAACCAGTTGATAGAGAACGTATCGTTGGAGTTCGGGTGTCTCTCCTTGTAGGCTGCGATGCCCTTCTCCAGGCGCTTCTTGCCGACGTAGCACCATGCTGGCATGGTATTAGTTCGACTGTGCATAGTGGAGATTCTTCGAGCATGAAGCACTTACGACACACTGTATCTGAGGTGACGCTGAGGTTACTGAAAATCCGTTCCGTCAGCGTTTTCATCAAGGGATGTGAAGGGGGGGCTATGGGCTGGGGTACATCAAGAGTGCCCCATATAATTTGGTAGAATAGCGGTATACGGACTTCGAAGGCACCCAACATAACTTTGCTGTCAAGCTGTACTTACAAGTTTGTCATTTTGCGAAGGGTTGCTTTGAACGCCACGATGAAGATGTTTCAGGTGATATACCTTGGCCCGTGTGATGTCCTTTGGTGGAACTGGATATGGTATCTCTCTTGCCCGTCAGTTGAAGGCAAGGTTTCTTTATATGGCGAGAGTTGCTGACAAATTAGCTCTGAGGAAGTACGGAAGCTCGCCCCTTCCAACTTCCGAAGTTAACCCTCGAACAAAATGACCGCCTTCGCATCCTCTTTTGTACCTTCTCCCGTTCGCCTATCCACTTTCCAAACCACCCACTCACGCGCTAGAGTCTTTCAATTCGCAGTCTACATCCATTGGGCACGTTGATGTATCCAGGTAGTCGACGATCCCTGAGCAGGTAGCTTGCAGCAGCCGTGATTCGCGACCTGACAAGCTTGTCTGCAGGATGAGGTAAGAGCTCCATGTTACCTTCAAGGAGTTTGCATACCTACAAACATGGGACGGTATCAAAGCGTCCTGAACGATAAAATGAACAAAACGTCGGCGCCACTCATGCCAGTGGATGTTGCTCAGCTGTGGAACGAATCAATCGGGTTTCAAAGGGGCTCCTACACACCATTGAGCCTTGCGAATATACCTTCGAAAGCAAATGCCACAACCTGCTGTTCTCGCATTGATGAAAGATGCCGTCTTCTTAGGGTGGAGGTGAGAAGAAAGAGCGATAGATCCTCAAAGAAGATGAGCGCCAAGGAACCAGAACGATCGGTGAACACCAACACAACAAGCCATGCACGCTTTCTAGGACGAAATGAAGAATACGCTGAATTGAGAAACAAGGCGCAGATTTGCGCACATACAGGAGCAGCCACTAATTCGCGGGTTACACTTGCTTTCCCTGTGCATCAAGCTCCAATAGGTCACTGCCAAGCCTCGTTTCTCTGCTGTCTCTCTAAACCCAACCACACACTCTTTTTTCGTCAGTTCTCCATGCATATACAAGTTTCAGTTCGCGATCCTGCGCTCTGCGCTCTGTGCTATGAGTGATGAGAATATCGATCTTGATCGCGAGGTGCGAAGCCATCTAGGCCGCCACAGCGGTTGCAATGGCCGTGTTAATGGAAATATCAACAGCCTAGTGGAAGTCGGTGTTGATGATTGGAGCGTCATGTATTTTTCATGATACCAAACCTGTACCTTCAGGCTCAGCCACGGGGCACCAATGGGGGAAGCAATTTCTCAATACGGCTCTAGGTCTTGGTAACCCTTTTTCTGCTTCCGCATAACTCATCTCTGTTACCTTCAATCGTCCCCTCTTCTCAACGGTTAACCAAGTCCACCTTTGTGTCGTATGGCAGCTGCTCCTCCAATGAAGCAATCGGCCACGCTCTTCAGCCTGGTCGCTGCTCTACCGGTAGCCCATGCAATCACATTCGGAAGCCCTGCACCTACAGCTACGAGCCCAAAGCGGGCTCTTGATGGGACGAATCCAAATCTAACGAAAGGACCCTCTGTCAACGAGTGGATGACACATCAAGGTTAGTTTGATGGAGACTATTGTATTTCACTGTCACTAATTACCTCAAAGCTTCAGCTGCTAAGACAACACAGCATCAGGAATAACCTGCAACGCTGGGCGAACATGCATTCTCCTCAAGAGTGCCAGCATCGGAATGGCGGGGTGCTGTGACGGCGTAGACACCCAAGATTGCGGATGGTCACCTCAGTGCGTCGACTATCGCGTCTACGTGGGTGGCAATTTCAGTACCAAATGCATGCTTAATGGTTTTGTGCACAAGTGCACTGATGTATTGTCGCCACAATGCGTCACCTGGACGTATCCGAGCGATGGCGTTGCCCACTATGGATGTGCGGCTACTTCGAGCAATACCATCTACACTAGTCTTCAACACGCCACCGATTGCCTAGGCGATACAAAAAGCATGGAACTGCCCACTGTTAGTGGCAATGGAATCACGGGTTTCAAAAAAGCTACGAGCACTGCTGTTGAGCCAACACACATGCCCTCTGGTGGTGGTGGTAATAGCAGCAGTGGAACACGGACAACCAAGAAGATTGCCATCGGGCTCATTGTTGGCATCATCACCGCAATCTTCCACATCCTCTTCGGCATAATCGTCCCCCTTCAGACAATATCAGATTCAAGTCGTAGAGGCGCACGAAGTGGACGCGATTAGTGTACCACAGTCTCCGAAATACCCGGGACCAGTGTACGAGATGGGACAAGGAAAATAAAATCTATTTATTATAAAGATAGTTGCCTAGGACCTACCAACTCATGAAGAAACTAACATACCATACAGACGTCATGTGTACATTTCACATCCTACAGAGTCATATTCCTGAATGCGCGTCTTGATTTGACCAGGGAGTCTGTGTTTAGTAGTGCTATGGCACTTGGTATCAAACCCTTTGAAAGTAGGGGTGGTTTGTCCTCACCCGGATCGTTGTACAATTACTCCCGCAATTACTCCCGCAATATAACAAGTGAAGACGCTTCTCCTAACTGTGCGGGTATGTTCTAGTAGATCGTGGCGTCTGAAGAGTTCTATTCGTGCGATTTTGTTTGGTCTAGAAGTGTACCAGTGAAAGGCATCAATTAAGCTGGCCGAGGACGCTGTTGGTGCGGGAGGTCTAGATGCAATTTGAGTTGCGTATCAAAGATAGTAGAGGACAACACAAGGATAGATTGACTTGGCTGATACACAAAATTTGAGTTCCCTAGATATATGGGCACTCGATACCAAACAAACGTCTCTTGACCTGCCGCCTTTCGCTAAGCTTACAATTCAAAATATACATATCGAAGGTATGCCATATCCTACGTCTACAGCTACGTCTTACAAAAACCTTGCGGGCGAGCTCTTCTTCAGCACCAGTGGATGTCTATGCACACTGGGCATGAGACCCAGCCCGATTGCTCTCCTGATTGCTTTTGCAATCTTCCTCTGGTTTTTCGGCCGCAGTCCGGTGTCTTTCGAGTGCTTTATTCGTCCCATCTCGGTCATGTACTCGGACATCATTGTGTAGTTCTGCATCTAATTAGGCTCATAATTATCGCCTAGTTTTCCGTCAACTCACCTTATACTCCAAGACGGGATTGATACCCAGCACATCGAACGCATCCTCCTGAGGCCTCTTTCTCCCAAACTTCCACTTCTTCTGCTCCGAGCCCGACAGATCATGCGGTGCATATACGTCCCCAGGCTGCCATCTGCGGAATATCTGGCGCTGGAACTGACTTCTCTTCTCCGACTCGATCATCTCCCGTGTCTGGGTTGGGCGGTCAAGGCCAGCTTCTCGGGCAAAGCGCGTGGCCAGGGACGAGCCGCCTGGCCGCTGCTGGTTGGTGGAGGGATTGCGGGCAGCACTGCTACCGCCGAGGATGGAGAGGAGGGCGTCATCTGTAGAGCCTTAGTACGAGGGTTCGGAGGAGCTGCGGAGGTGACTGCTGGCGTACCTTTCTTCTGGGGCCCCGAGGAGAAGCACCGTATGCAATTTCTACTCGCTACTATAGGCGCCCTGAACGGCAATCGCGTAATTGACATGTTGGCGGTGGACATGTTGCTGTAGTCGTGGGTGACTTTTTCGACATGCTGCTCTCGGAGGTCTATCTTAGTGTCTTGGCGCGCGTGATGATTTCACACCAGAGTCCACCCTCACAGCAGTCTTCACACGCTCCCGTCTCGTCTCCCTCTTGCACACAATTTTGTTCATCATTTAATAGCTCATGGACGCCGTCGTCGTCTAAGACCTTCCTTCAGCGTGCGTCAATTGCGCTTCCACCTACGTCGTCAAGTTGCACATTCGTGCAAAACAGCTACCTAGAGCTCCACTCACCATGTCGTCGCATTTGACCCGCGTTGTTTTCCGCAGCATCATCGCGAACGAACCTCTGCTGTACCGTGGCTGTCGCCATCAAGCCCCCCGACCGCGCCTCACAATCCACCATGGCGATCGAGCGCCCCCGCAGATCCAACGAAGGACATTTCTTAATTTCTTCAAGCCGCAGCGGAAACTTAAACCGATGGAAATGCCGGCTGGCCTCGAGAAGATGGCCGAGTTGATGTATGCACAAAACAACGCTCTACGACCACCAAAACCGAAAGAGGTTGCTCACGCGTTGGTGGCCTTCTTTGCTCAGAGGAAAGGAGCTCTTGAGGACTTCCACATTGCTACTGCGCACAACGCCCTCAGTCATCTCTTGGGGAATCCGCAAGAAAATGGGCAATCTTGGCTGAGCACGAAAGAATTGGACATGATTTTCACTACATTGCTGGCTCCATCGAAGCGGCCGGAAGCCATCGGGCAGGCACATGTTGAATTTGGTCGAGCCATAATTGACGAGCTTGCAAAGATGGCGGAGACTAAGGAGGGCGAAGCCAATGTTAACACCCTCAAGAAGGAGTATCGTCTAGACGAGATGCGCATGAACGCGAAACTAATACGACTGTTATCGAGATTGGGGGCTGCCATCGAAGCGAGGAACACTGCTGCAGAGAAGGTCCGATACGATCCAACCGCGTTACCACAACATCGTTCAATTTCTCTACGTGTATGGGGTGACGTGCTTGGAGGCCTCGTCCGGGAGGGAAATCTAGACGAAATCCTGAAAACGACCGAAATGCTACAATCGTTGTCTATCCCCTTGACACAGTCGATGCAGGCCAGTCTAGTACAGTTTTTTGCCAAGCGAAAGGACCTTGAAAGAGCCAAACTCTGGTATTCCCATTCGAGTTTGAGATGCTCAGGCGAAGCAGGCGCGCGTCCCTACCTGGCTGCGAGCATTGACTTGTTGAAAGCGTGCGCGTTAAGTGGTGATATTTCCTTCGGCCAACAGGTGGTAGCCAACACGCTCAAGGGTAAAATGCGAGAGAAAGAATCATGGGACGCCATCTTTCTCTGGTCTGCTGCCATCGGCAAAGGCGCAGATGAGGTTGATCGAATGATGGACGTTTTGGTACGCCGCAACGATGAGGCAAGACAGAAGAATCCCAGTCGTGAAGTAATCCGTCCGGATATCGAGACTATCAACATCCTGGTTGAACTCTTCATGTCGAAGCAGGATCCGTACTCGGCTGAGCGTTACATCGCTCTTGGGGAGAAGAGAGGCATTATACCTAACGAGAGGACATTTACAATGCAGATGCAATACCGAATTTCCGTTGGAGATATCGACGGGGCAAGAGCTGCCTACTTCAATCTGCAGGGCAGCTTTTCCGGCGCAGAGCAGAGCGTGGCCGTTATCAATCAACTCATCCAGGTTCTCTGCGTGTCAAAGCAACACCACTTCGATGAATTAATGGCTATGGTAGACGATCTGCATGAACGTAAAGCCAGCTTTGCCCCAGAAACCATCGCTGCGCTAACCCTCCTCCATCTTCGGAGGGGCGAGATCCATGATGCGATGGATTTACTCCAAGTACACGCGCATCAATACTCCCCGGCTCAACGAACTGTCATTCAGAAGACTCTTTCGGCTTTTATCCTAGACGGTGAGACAAGCACCTCAGACGCGTGGGATGGATATCAGATTCTGCGTAATGTCTTCCCCGAAACTTCACTCGATGCTCGCATACCTATCATGAAGGAGTTTTTTGCACGAAATCGGTCAGACATGGGCTGTCATGTCTTCTTCCACATGCGTAACCACGTCAGCAAAGCGCACCGTGCCAACCGAGACGTATACGTCGCAGCCTTCACGGGCTTCGCGCGTTGTGCAGATGCCGAGTCACTTGAGCTGGCGCACAATCAGCTGAAGCTTGACTTGAATGTCGACATGGATACTAGGTTGCGCAACTCGTTGATGCTTGCTTATGCGGCGACGGGAGAGAACAAGAAAGCGATTCAGTTCTGGAGAGATATTTGCGCGTCGAAGGAAGGCCCTTCGTATAACAGCATTGCCATCGCTTTTCGATCCTGCGAAGGAATGCATTGGGGTGGCGAGCACGCCAAGTCGATCTGGAAACGCCTAAAGGAGCAAGATGTTGAGATTGATAAAACGATATGGACGGCTTATATGTGCGCAATCGCACGGAACCATCACCACGATGAGGCGCAAACGCTTATAGAAACCGTGGAGGAGGAGTATGGGTTTACCCTAGATCTGCACGTGTACGTTCTACCCTACCCGAATCGCGATCTTACTCTTGCTAATAGCGACATAGTCTCGGTAGCTGGTTCAACATGACTGCTAACAACGAGAAGCAAGCCCATGTCGAGGAGTGGATTAAACAACGATATCCGGAGGTGTGGAAGGAGATGGAGACTTTGGGCCACTGGGTCACTATGGATGGTTTTGGGTACCGACAGTACCACATCAATCGCGATCTGGATCCGTAGGAAAGGTGTATGATATGTAAGTGGCGAAAAAAAAGAAACGTGACGCTCAACAATCCACAAGCTGCTGTAATTGAATCATGTCTATTCTGTCAGCACGATGTAGCCTGTACTTTGTCACCCACCTAAGCAAGACGATCATTAACGCACCGGTCTTAGCCTTCCGGCCTCTCTCTGCTCTGTCTCTGGGTCGAGTAGCGGCATGCCTGATGGTGGCTACCCGCCATGACTACGCTCTTTCACCGCGACCGCAAAGTCGTTTGCCTTCCCTTACCTGGCTTCACCGCCATCTGGGAAACGGGCTTATCCAGCACCACTATTTCCCTCACGGCTTCGTACCTCCTTTCTATATTAATGCACTTCAACCCACCTCACCTTCCCTTCTCTTGCTTCTGCACCACGCTCTCAACTTTGCTCTGGCTTCGCTTCTACACTCTCTTTATCCCAATCTTCCACATTCATAGTCGCTGCTATCGACGCCGGCCACTTTCAGAGATTATTGCATCCACTAGTGCAAGCAGCAAGCAGCCATGCGAATTCCACACCTCGTCGGCCTGGTCGGCCTGGTCGGCCTTGCTAGCCTAGCCTTCGCCGCTCCCGCTCCTCCCGACTCTGTCCCGCGTAACACGGTCGATAATGCCAATATCTCTGCACTAGCAGCTGCCGGTGATACCGTCGTCTGTCAGAACACACTCGACAACGGACCCTGCGAACTTCATCATGCTCAAAATCGATGTGTCACGCTGGGACCAGGGCTTTCCCACAAGGTTCAAACGATATATCAGGCTGCTGGCTCAGTATGCAAGTACTTCGAGTCAGACTGCTCTGCCCGTTATCCAGTCGTCAGCGTCAACTCTCGCAGTAAGCCTATATTCCTTCAGCTTGGTAAGAATGTTGGTGGGAAGATTGGCCTAGTTCTTTGTAAGGACAGCTGGTCTTCCGCTGAGATCAATGGTGGCTTGACTCCTGTCGATCCTCGCCATGTCGAGGCTACGTCCTCGTACCCAACGATCCCATTCCTTGGTGACAAGGGCGATGCGGCTTCCATCGACGTCCGCCGTAGTGAAGCCCCTGGCGACACGCGCATCTGCGACGACGCGAATTTCCAGTGGTGCAGGGACAATGTGAATGCAATGGACCGTTGCTCAAGCCTCGATCCTGCGGCTGGAGGTCCCAGTTCTCTAATACAGTTTCGAGGTGCTTTCTGCAAGTGGTACCGCGGGTTCGGTTGCTCGCGTGAGAGCAACGACCATGCACCTATGAAGATTGACTCTAGGGCCCAGAAAGTCGAGCTCGGAGAGCTGGGTCCAAATAACAACCTCTTCAAGAGTGTGGAGTGCCGTGGCGCATCTTTTTGAGGTTGGTGTACGGGAGATTCTGTGCAGTCCGGAGGGAAGCGGCGTGTACTAAAATGACGATCAATCTGGAGAGAGATATGAAATCTTAGTTTTGGTCTTTGTACAGTGTGATGGCTCGACAAGAGAGCCGCTCACAGCATGTCTGGATAGCTCTCACGGGTACTGAGCTGTAGCTTATGGATAGTGTTCCCTACATCATTTACATCAGCCATTCTCCCCTCTGCCTTCACGACAACACTTGACTATTGCACCACTCTCATCTCAAGTCACTCAACACTAAACTCTCCAATGATGAAAGTCATTATCATTACTTATCCGTCTATATTTACGGACGGGTCCCGCAACTTATGCTTTGCTAAACATGTGAAGAAACAAAGAAATATACAGATTGGTATCATCACGCATTCTCCTGCTAATCCCTATTTATAACCCTTAAACTCCGTCTCGGATTCAACAAAACACCTCTGGTACCCCAGAAGCTCGGTTCTTGGCCCGAGAGTAAGTCTTCCGTAACACTGCCCTCACTACTCCTTCTCCCCCATTCGCCCGCTGGGCCCGCATATGCTGTCGTCTGCTCCGCACTATTGCCTCGTGCGATATCGAATGATCCAGCCGCCGCGCCGCCATTGCTTCCTCTGAGGGTACCAGGCGGCCTTTCGCTCGAGTTCTTGGATGCTGATGTGAAGGTGCCCTGCTTCTCGTTGTTGGCGCGGGTAGTCACCATGGCGGCGTGATTCTTCCAGATCTGGACTTGTTTGCGGTAGACCCATGCGCAGAAGGCGAAGTAGGCGGCAATGAAGAAGAAGACGCCTGCGATTACACCAGCCACGATAGCACCGACATTGGTGCCTTTACTATTATAGCCATGCGAGCTGCCGCCACCGCCACCAACGATTTCGGTTACGACGGCGCCGTTGGGTCCTGTGACGGTGTAGGTCAAGGGTTTGCCCGTTGCGAGGGGCCCTTTGGTGGCGGTTTGAATAGGAGCAGTGAGTGTAGCACCGCCCGTTGCTTCGCCGCCGATGACCTGGCGGACGGGGTCGGGGACGGCGTAGCCGTAGGATCCTTGAATGCCTGCGCCGATTCCGAATCCACGCTGGTTTGCCTGTTGAGCGAACGAGTTGCCAGTGCTGCCCTCGCCACTATATCCCTGAAGCGCCTTCTCGCCCGTGAGTGCAGTGAACTGATTAGACCACGAGAGGCTAGACATGTTGAACACGTAAATGCCTGGGGACTCGCAGGAAATCTCCTGGCTTATGAAGCCGCCTACGACGATCATTTGACCGTCCCAGACATGGCAGGCGTGGCCAGCGCGCGCGTAGGGGACCGCTTGCTTGTCTTGGTCGACTTGAATCCAAGTGAAGGAGGGTACGGAGAGAATCCACATGTCATCTTTTTGGGTCTGCGCAGCAGCGGGTTGAAGGTTTTGGCCGCCGAACATGTAGATATTGTACGATGAGCCACTGAGGAAAGTGAGTTAGTGGATGTTAGGAGGAGGTCAAAAGGCATAACGCTTACTCTGCAGCGGCTGCAACTGTGGCACAAGGGTTGACACGGTATTCTGGCATCTTGCCAGATGTGCTTTGCTTGTACCAGGTCGATTTGGCAATGTCGTAGACGTCGATGACGTTCATTTGCGTCTGCGAAGATAGTTAGTTTCCATACTCTTTTTTTTCTTTCTTCACGGAATTGAACTTACAAAGGTATCATTGTCGCCGCCAGTAAGACCAAGTAGAATGCCCTCATCGCCAAAACCAGGGACGTAGACGAGGACGCCGTCCGCTCGCTCGGGAAATGAACCAGAGTTCTGCAGCCCGCCCTGGGTAATGTTTCGAAAGACGCCATCCTTTCCAGCCGTCTTGTTGTCTTTCAGACTCTTAACGGCGTTGTTGGTGTGTCCTGGAAATGTGAACTCCAACAAGCTCTTCAGATACACCCTGGCAACCTGATTACTCCATCCTTTGGTGGTGAAATCATCCAAATGGCCTCCAAAATAAAAGCCCCTGCCTAGTGTATTGACACTGAAACCAGCGCCCTCGGCGGCTCGCTGCACACTCTGCCCGTCACCCTCTGCATTGTCGCCAGCCGAAGTCTTCGGGTCCTTATGCTCAACCCACTGCTTGGTAGCAATACTGTATTCCCAGATAGAATTAGGCCCGGGAGCGACTTTGGGCTTGTCAGAGTACTGGCCGCCGTAAAGCCAAAGCGAATCCTTCGAGGACCAGAGTTGACCGAGGGAGACGGCGGGCGGGCCGGATGGTATAGGGAGGCCGGTTAAGGAAGGGGCGGCGACTTGCCAGGATTTTGTGAGGTCGAGGGTGAGAAAGTCGTTGGCTGGGGGGGTAGGTCAGTATTTACTATTCGCAAACCCAGGTGGTTCGGAAAAAGAGTGCAAATGGACTTACTCCAAGTGTTTTCCGCTTGCTTTGAGTCTGTGGATTTGCGAAAGCCGTACATGTATAGTGTACCATTGACGATGGCGCTCTGACCGCTCCATCGCTTGCAAGCGTCGGTGGGTGAATCTTCTCGTCTAACGAGCATCGAGTGCTCTGGTTCCGCTTGGATGGTGGCGCGTGGAATCATGCCACCGCGTACGCCAACTCGTGAGATGGGATTGAGCTGGAGGATTGGCAGCAGCAATGCCAATACAACGCTGAATAGACCCAGTCGGTATAGCTTGGTCGATATGGTGTTGTGAGTCGGGAGAAGGGTCACGGTGGACGTGGTGTGTTGTTCGTTGTCTTCTTCGTATACCGATTCCCAATCGCTCTCCTCGTCGTCCTCGTCGTCCTCATCTTTTTCTGCTTTCTCGTTGATAACGTCGTTCCGGCTCCGGAACCGCAACATCTTCGCTGGCCGCAACTGCTTCAACGTATGGCCTTGGGTCCGCACTGGGCTACGTTCTTGTCGAATCCTCTCTTCATCCACCAGCCCCACCTCGGTAAAGACGGACATTCGTCGGACAGAGGCCCTGACCGCAGGTCGAGGTCGTACTTGCTCCATGTCCATGATCAGTCGTCAAGAGAAAGAAATTGTCGACGCTCAAGGGGTGGCGCGCGCGCAAGTCGTGGTCAAAAGTCGTGATTACGAGTCGCGTGCAAGTTGTTCAGAAAGAAAAGGAAAGGCTCGTGGAAGGGGGATTATGGATGACGTCGCTTTTTGGGAACAAGGTCGAACCCATGAACCCGTTGGATCGAGGACGGGGGAATAGAAGTCAATAACACGCGGATAATATATGCGGGAGGGATGAGTGGCAAGGGTGCAGCAGCAAAGGTATCGTGATCGGCAGATGTCAAACAAACGTCCAAAGTTAGGACAGCGTTGGGGGACCCACGGCTTTCGCTTCGACGACGGCAAAAGGAGAAAGACGACCAACAAAGCGATGGAGCAAGAGAGGGCAAACCTGGCAATAGCGGTACCTTGTTCGTCGTTGTCGTCGTCGTCGTCGGCTGCACGCGCTCCCGCCGTGTGTGGTGTGTTGGAGGCTGGCACGTCACCGACAGGGCCATTTCAAGGCAATGATGGATACACGGCCAGGCCAGGCAGGGGTGGCATTGGCATTGGGTTAGTTGGTTAATTGGTTAGTTGGTTAATTAGTTGGTTGGTTGGTTGGTTGGTTGGTTATGCCAATGGCGTCCGACACCACCCTGAGCCATCCACGCCGATTCAAAGCCTGACATGTGCCAAGACTCCAACTAGCCTAAATTAAAAGCCCCCGACCAAGGAGGTCGTCCTGGTCCAGAATTAAGAGATTGGACTAGGTAACAATATTCGTGCTTGTGCTTCTACCGTGTGTCACGTCTCACGTTGGCCATCCATCGCCCAAGCACATTTACCACATACTGTATAGTATTCCTTCTGCGATTAAGCTACTATCAAACAAGGTCGTCCGCAATCGTTAAGAAACCAACTTGATCCCCATCCTCTGAAGCACTATTGTGGCCTCTTCCTCGCCTGAAATTCACTACTTTTTAGTGGTATCAATGTCCAGATTGCCCATGCTTACGCCTTACCAAACGTCAATCCTTATCCGACTCATCAAGTGCCGTATCAAACTTCAGCCTCACTCTCCGCATTGTCGCTTTCTGTAATCAACTCTGCCGACTTGAAAGCCTTCGGAGTACTGGGTGGGAGCTTTGGTTGCGTCCCCCTCCTTCTGATGGTCTTACCTCGCGAACGCTTCCGCTTCGTGTTGGGCAAAGCCGCCGTTGCAATCTCGCCCGCATCCTCGTCCATCTCCGCGTCGGCATAGGGGTCGTGGTGCTCCTTCAGCTCATCGCCATGTTCCTCCACCAAAAAATTGAAGACGGCTTCTGCCATCTGTTCAAACGATGCCTGACCCTCCACCAGCTCCTTGTCCTTCACCATCTCAAAGAGCTGCTGCTGGGCAGCTTGCAGAGTTCGCACCGACCAAGACTGTTGCATGGCAGCTGCAACATCGTGCCAGTCAATGTTCTCTGCGCTCTCCTTCTCCCGAGTAAGCAGAGCCTCTATGAGATCGAACTTATCACCCCACCGCATCTGACTTGCGCCTGGCGTACCAATCACCGCAGAACTTCTGGGTGGCGGAGTGCTCTTCTCAGTCGCCCGCTGCTCACTCTCAGCCGTTTGTGCTTCTAGTGCGGTTCCATGTGACTCCGTTAGTTTGCGACGCTTCTTTGGTTGTTTCGTCAAACTCTCCCCGTCCGCTTCGTCGTCTTCGACACTCAATCCGCGTTTCAGCCGAGACTGCCGACGTTTCTTTGATGACTCTCCCCCTCCAAGGATAGAGCCGTCCCCAGACTTTCGGGGCCGACCACGTCCCTTGGAGGACTTTGTCGACGACTTTGGAGTTTGCAGAGCCTCACTCTTCCGAGGGCGACCACGCTTTCTTGGCGTCGGTTCAACCACCGGCTCCGCTTCTTGGTCCCGCGCGACCGTTTTTCTCGGCTTGATCTCCAACTCTATATGAGGTGGATCATTCCGATTTTGCATTTTGGTCCATTTGACCGAACTTTGTAGGCGACTGCGAGTGTTGCCCATTTCAATACATACTTGCGCCCAGTTGATGTCCTTGCTCGCGTACTTGTCGAGCGGCGGCTTGCCAACTTCGGCCCGGTAGTCCTCATCTCTCTGAGCTACGGTAGTGATGGCGCGAATGAGGAGCATTTCTTCATCTTGAGACCATTTACTCGTGTTCCGGCTATCGCCGTATTGTAGATAATCTCGCCAGCGATTGTGCACATCGTGCATCGATCGATCACCCAGTACTTGGGCAATCAGCTTCCATTGTCTCGGGTGCAGCTCATATAGGTTCTTCACATGCTCATCCTCTTCTTCCGTCCATCCTCCGCTCTTATATGAATGGTATTGGGATCGGATATGTTTTCTGACTTTCTCGGGTTTACGAGTCAGGTTGATGCATCTCATCTCATCCCAAAACTCTCTGCTTTCTTGTTCATCGAGTACCTCTTGCGGGGCCCAGTCACTTCTGCGCCGAGGCGTACTAGCATCCCTGGTATCGTTGATCCACTGTATGACTTCGACAAGTTCGGAGGTATCCAGTCCCTTTCTCTGTTGGTAGTCCCAGATTGCCCTACGAATAAGCTCATCTTCATCTTGGGTGAAGTCGCCACTCGTCTGAAGATTGGGAGGGTGATTGACGTCGCGGACCGTGTTGAGTGATCTTTCAGCCGCCGTGAGTGTATTGCTAGGATCTACCTTGCTGGCGCGGGCGCGTCGCCGGCTTTCGCTCCGTTGTGAAGAATTGCGAGCTTTCTTGTGTTCTCGCTTCGTGGCCGAACCTTTCTGTTCAGGTAAGTGCATAGAGGGGGTTTCGGTATCGCCTGTTGAATTCTCTAAAGGCACGAAATCGTCGTCTGTCGAGGTGGGCTCTAACGGCACAAATAATGAGTCGATATCCGACTCCGGCATCGACGTCACAGGATCCTCGACTCGAGCTTCGTCTGCGGACTTCGTTTGTACTTCCTTTCTTCGTCTTCGGCTGGTACTTTCCAGTTCGGCATGGCTGCTGTCCGCATTTTCTCCAACTTCTCCCTCATCTGTGAAAGCGAAAGGTTCATCCACATGCTGACCAAGCTTGCGGGCAGTAGCGGGCCAGTCATAAACTTCTATGCTGTTCGCCTTCTTCTTCCTGCGAGCAGATGGTGTCTCGTCGTGGATGGTGAGATCATCCGCGTTCTGGACCGGGGTGAATCCGTCAACACCGGTAACCACATCTGCGTTTAAGCCAGAAGAAGAATCGAGCTCAGCCTCCACTCCCGGTGTCCGTTGCCTAGACCTCTCGGGCCGTCGCAACACCCTCGCTGAACCTTCTTGCCGGCCATCGATGATCTCATCCTCATCCTCAACATCACGATCACTATTTCCTATCACTTCCCGAGCTCTGCTCTTCCGCAAATTTTTCGACTTGTTATCACGCTTGTTAAGGGTAAGCGTTCCAACTTCTTGATCAGCTACAGGACTATGCGGTATTACCGCTATGGTGTCCTCCACACTTGACATATGTATTGGCTCCGCTTGGCTTAGTGGGGTAGGTGTGGCAATGCTCGAACGTCTAAGCTGGCGCTTTGGTTGTGAAAATGAAGATGTGAACATCTCATTTGCGCTTGTTGGCGTGTTTCTACCACGTCTTGAACCCTTTTCTTCTGGCAAGATGTTGCTCGGGTCAATCTCATTTCGCAGCCTTCTTTTTCCCTTGCGGCTGGTACTGCTCATATCTGGCGTGCTGGCTGGTCCAGCGAGACTCGAAGTCATAGGCGGTGACATGAGAGCGTGAGTGGTCGTTGGTGCGATCTGCGAATCGGGCACCTCGACATCGTCGTTGTGTGGTGTTATATCGTTGGTCGTTTGCGACTTCAGCGGGGGTATTGGCCAACCGCTAGAGACGTTGTTCATCTCGTCGCTAGCAGTGAAGCCTTGTAGGTCCGAAAGGGAGTAGGATCGGAGTGGCTCGGGGAATGGCAGGTTGTGCAAGGCGGCCTGGGAAGCGGCTGCCTGCGGCGTGGACGACGCCTTCGATTTGCGCGCACCATCGCTCTTTCGCTTGTTGCGCACAGAAGAGGTCGATTCTTCAACACCTTTGACTAACGGGTCTTCTTCATTGTAATCCATTCTGTGCTCAGCCTGGGCTTCTTCATCCATGAGCTGTTGCGATGCCGCTACGTCGTCCATCTTCGGGCCTACAGTTCCAATCGGTCAGTCACAGCTTCTCACATCTTCGCGAATCATAGAGAAGAAAGAAATCATAGTCTTGCAGCGTGTCAACGCGCTATGTACTCACTATAGCGGGGCACGCGCTCGGTAGATGGGGCAGCTACGGTAAGGACAACCGTACTTTTAACTGGGTCAGGAACGGGCTGCGACGACGATAAGCCCATCACGGGCCTTAGGCGAGCATGCTTGGTGTCTTCGGGGTGTGTGTGACAAACCAAAGGGTGGTTTGGCGCAGCTGGGGTGGTCGCGATAAGTGGTTGTTTGCAAGATGATTTGCGTGGTCGATGAGCTAAGCACAGATTAGGTAAGGCTAATTCCCAAACATGCCCAGGTAGGTCATTGCCTCCCCCAAAGCTAGTATCAACTTATCTACTTCTCATTTGCTACCGAAGCCTTAAGGCAGTCCTGATACGGACATGAAGCCGCCTATGGTCCCTCTATCTGAACCGTCTCTCTAAGTGGCCTAAAACTGTATGGGTGCCTACGACAACCTGCAGACGCATCATATAAGATACATCAACCTAATCAGGAAAAAAAAAAATTCAAAAGCCTACACCCCAGCTCTGCCTATCAAGATATCGCCGGTCCTGTGTAGGCATTTTAGGTGCAGAGATAATAGTGATCACGTTGAATTTTCCAGGATAGAGATCGAGCCCAATCATGGTATCAAACCTCATCATCGTTCTCTCGTTAGTACCAACTGTCAATAATCTGCTCTCGATGACTACTAATGAGTCTGATATGACCCGTGGCTGTATAGAGGAGACCTATTCCAGAACCTCCAAGTCTCGTGGACAGTTACATCGAGATTTCTATTAAAATGACTTGGAATGACCTACTCTATACGCCTCTTCCTGGTCTCTCAATCTAGTCTGTCGATGAAATTACCTTACCTAGTCTGCCCGTCTACTAATCCATGTCCAAGCGGCTCTCCAAGCAACCATAGAATATCTTCCAACATCACAATCTCGCACGAATACGTTCGATTAGCCCCACTAGCAAATAGTGGACTAGGCCGAGGGTCTTTCACGACAACACAAGCAATCCTTCACATGATATCATCCTTTCACAATATACTATCAACATAGGGATTCTCTCACAACGTCTCAGACGATGAGCATACGCCAATCCCAAAATGGAGTCGAAGCTTCTGAACAACGAACCATTCTCACTGGCCTTGACATTCATATTCGCGGGCTAGCCGCGAAAATTGCCGCTCTTTCAGAAGGAAGGACAGTTTTGGAACAAGCAAGGAACTACCTTCGTTACATCAGCACTTCTTTCCTAAGCGATTCGGGTAACGCAAACGAACACTCCGTAAATTCTTCCAAAAACCTAACAGGCACGTCTTAGCACACTTGTCCTCGCCCTATCAATAAAGCCACTCCAAGTCTGCGCCACCAAGCCATCATCTGCCGCGCCCTAGAAGGAGACCAGTCACCATCACCTCCCGTTTCCTCAAGTCTTCTACATTCGGAAGACTTTGAAACTGCTTTTGAAGGCGGAGAAAGTGAAAAGGGGACATCTATCGATGGGGAAGAAGCAGTCATCAGGACTCGCTCTTCGACATTGCCGTCATCATCTGGTGGGATTTCGCTGGCAGCATCTCGTAACAGTAACACTAGCGCTCTAGACAAAGTTCACAGAGCGCTCACGGCGAAGCGGGAGATGAAGAGGAAGCGGCAGGAAAATGCGGCCAAGGCTAGGGAAGTTAGAAGGCGGAGGCCAGGTGAGGACAGCAAAAGGACCGTGTGAGTTAAGGTCACTGCCAATGAAGCTCCGTACGCTACTCATTAGGTAGAAACTATGGGCTACGGTCGGGCTGGGTATGCCGTAAGGATCAAAAGCACAATCATTCTCTACCAAAGGGGCTCTTATTATGATGGATAAACAAAAGCTGAGTGCAGGCTTTAGTACGACAGGCAGGCAGCAGTGGTGTGTATCAGTCCTCAATTACATTATCACACTCTTCAAAATTATCTACCTGAAAAGTCTCCCTATTTAACTCATTATGATAATAGCACCCACGCAACAAACCCCAGCGCCTCAAATAGTAGCACCAAGATCCCAATCGCCATGCCACTTCCCACTCGATCGCTCCTCTCCCTGCTCAGCGTCAATCTCCAACCCGTGCCAGCTGCGCCCATGCAGATCCACAGCAGCGCCGCTAGTACACTTAAAGTCAGCATCAGTGTGAGTGCAGAGAGAACACGGAGTGTTGATAGTGAGTGGACGAATTGGATCGTAGCGACGGTGTCGGGTGCTGCGTGAAGTTCTTCGTGTAGATAAGCCCCACAAGATATCTTCTCGTCTTCCATTTGTGGAGAGTCAAGACTTCTTGCGCGTCTGCGAGATGGACGAGTCGATTGCCGAGAAGGTGGTGGTCGTCGAGAGTCATTTGATGCTGCGACGCGGCGGGCCCAATGGACCCATGTGTACCTTGCCTTTCCGGCGAGTGGCTTCTTATATAACTTCAGCAGCCCATCTTCGGTGAAAGGCGATCTTGTATCAGAACAGCTGTCGATGCCTTCCCCCTTTTCTAGAAGTCCTGCCGTTCCTCTGACCGAATCTTGGGATGTAGAGCCGCTCCAAGTACTTGCCAGTCCAAGTTGTATGCGACAAAGTTTACGTGCGCTGAATGCCCGAGCAAACCAACCCCCAGCAAGCTCGTGGTAACCAGCTCTTAATTGTTCAGCGAAAAATCTATCGTCGAATTCGATTTCTCCGGTATTCCTGGTCGTCCTCCCGTGGCGAATTGGACTGACTGTCGTCAAATCACTTGGTACATCGATTCGCACCAAGTCGTTACTCGCGTCTTCTCCGCCGCGCCTTCTCCATGCTCTTTTTTGCAAGCTTAGCCAGACAACCCTTTCTGCATTTTCTTTCCCTGAACCGGTCTGATTTCTGATTACTCCTTGTGCATATTCATTTCTCTCCAATCGACTTCGTAGATCATATTCCCCTCCACTGGAAATCAAGCCCTGGAGGTGCTTGCCTTTCCTATCATCATACTCGGTCTTGAAATCTGGTTCGCTGTAGTCACTGTCCAATCTCTCAAACCCGCCTGCACCTCGACCATCTTCATTTTGCCCGGACTGCCTCGGCCTTGTCTTAGGCTTTGGAAATTCCTTCTTTGCAGTAAAAGGATACGGCGTTTTGATGAAATGACTCGGCAGATGAGCTGGGCGTTCGCGGTCGACTATCGATAATGGTGAGATCTTGATGCGCCGATCGGCCGTAAAGGAAGACAACCTTGGGAATTCGGAAGTGGTACCGGAGTGCGCATACGATCGACCTTGTGCTCGTGACAAGCTAGCGGATGGCGAAAGTGCCTCGAGCGCCCGCATTGTCATAACATGTGCGCCAATGATCGAGTCTGCGATGGCACTGTCGGACGTATTCTTCCTGTGGTGGCCCTTGAAGCCGTCACTACTCAGCAGGCCAGGGGTTACGTCGCTGAATCTCATATTTGGCAACGGCTTAGGAAGTTCGGCGAGGGGTGAATTGACGTCCGAGATGTTACTCCCCAAGGAGCCTCTTGGTGTACCGGAGTTGGAGCGAGTATGTACAAGGCGTACGTTATCTCTGCCTAGCCGTTTGAGCGACATCTTACGTGCTCTCTTTGTGCCTTTGTTATCGACTGAACTTGAGAGTTGGTCATTCTCCGTACCAAGCCCAGAGTCATGGACTGGAAGTGAAGTAAAGGACGGCAGAGTAGTCACAAGACTCCTAGCTCTACCTCTACCTCTCGACCCATGCCTCTCTTCATAAATTCCTTTGACTAGACTCCTCAATCCCAAGCCCTCAGCTTCGGAGAAAGTCTGTGTCACCTCTCCGTCACTGTCTTCCCACTCCGATTCAGACGACCCATCATCGAAGAAGTTGGCACCAGGGTCCCTGCCCATTCCCCCAGCCCCGCTCATTGCAGGATGTACTGATCCGTGTCGCTTAGGTGGAGGGTCGACAATGCGAGGCGACGAGGCTGGACTGGAGGATAGTCGTGCTGAGGGGTGGTTGAGGAAGATCGTTTGTGTCGCATCTGGTGAATCGGGTGGAAGTGCGGGCGAGACGGGACGTGGTTTGAGAGGTGATGCCTTCGACGAGGGAACTTGAGAGGAAGGTTGTGGCTGTGTGGTCTCCATGATAGTACTCTTTTTTTACACTGGTATTGCGCGCGGTCTAAGAATTGTGAGAGTTCGACCGTGGTCGCCCGGCCTGGATTTCCCTTTCTATTCTCTCAACTATTTGCGCTTACTCAAGTCGGCTGAAACGTTGAAATGCATAGGACAAACCCGTGTTCGGAACAAAGACGAAAACAACGTGCCCAACGCGGTGGCGTGTAGTAAAGATAGATGGTGGGAGATGACCAAAACAAAGAAGGCACGTACAAGAGATTGCAGGCCTGTTTTCGGCAATCGGCCGTCCCGAGTCTATGGTAGTGTCCGCATGAGGGTGGAATGCTGGGAGGTGCTCGTCAAATGGACCTGGTATTCGAGCCGCATTCCGGGACCGTCCCTTGCATCACCATTCGCTGCACGTGTTGCGCAGTCAGTCGTACGGAAACAAGACGGATGGAAAGAAGAAGAAGAAGAAGAAGTGAATAAGAATATTCAGGCTTTAGGATGAACGTACAGCCACGTCTAGACGGCCCGCCCTTACTTTATACACATACGGTTGGGCGGCAACAAGCGAAACGCCAAATGCGATGCCACCAATCTTCTAAAATCTAACACGAAATGGGCATGAGAGTAAAGAGATGCGTTACTGAAGCGAAATGAGGCTGCTTTCAGGGGGTTGTATCTTACTCGCCATCGCGGTCGAACATCTTCGTCATGGCTTTATGTGCAAGCTCAACACCAGCAAACGTTGCCGCATTCGCAGGGACTGCTCGTGCCAAAGCCGGTCCAATACCAGGGAAGAAAGCCTTGAGGCCGCCGCTTGCGTGAATGCCCTTGATGGTGCCGCCGATAGTTGGTCGACCTTCTGCGCTCTGCAAGCGTGACTTGATTGTGTCGATAGGGAACACTGGGATCCACATAGCGATACCTGCGGCACCACCAGCAACCATGACCGCGGACATGCTCAGTGGTCCCGGCTGTCCAGTGACTGGGTCTTTGGGTGTGAGTTTCCGCTTCACCGTTTCGTAAGTCGCGAAATAGAACGCTGAGCCAGGTCCGTCACGCGCTAATGTCATGGCTGAGCCGCGGAACACTGAGCGAATACCGCCTTCCTTGTATAACTGTCTTACAACGTCGACACCGCCGGCATATTTGGGCTTCTCGCCAGGTGCTAGCTGCTTCTGGCCTTGAATCTGAAGAAGAACCTTGACGCGCTCGAAGGGTGCGGTGATGATGGTCATGGGAATGGCGCTGAAGAAGCCGGCGGCCGAGACTTGTGCGACGCTGTACTGATTGTTCTCGACCTTGGAGACGCTGGACACGAGTTGCTTTCCGAGATCGTAGCCCCAAAATGATACAGCGACTGCTCATGGTCAGCATATACGGCTCAAGATATTCTACTTGAGAAACTGCCAGTGGTCGGGGAACTCACACATGGGCGTGACGCCCACTAACGGTGCAGATACCCCCGCATACAGCCCCCTCGCAAGCCCTTCCTTTGCAATTGTTTTCTTTACAACATCCATGGCGCCACTGTATACACCCTTCTCGGCGGTCTGCATTCGCACCTTGACCAGGTCGAAGGGATGGCCTACAACCACTGCGCATACACCGCCCACACCTCCCGCAAGCAGCGCTCGCAGCGACTGTAGTGATGACTTTGACGCTGCCTTGACATCTTCCTTGAGCTCTTCCTTGGATGGCAGCTTCTCAGCTATCGCGTCTTTTGTGTTAGGCATCGTGCTTGCTCTGGGAGTGACGCGGGGCGCGTCAAGTCAGACTACAAGGCTTTGCGCGTGCTTGATATATCGGAGAGGTCGGAGAGATGAAATGTAGCTTGAGGAGCGCTTTCTTGTTCCAGCTGCCAGCAAGATCGGAACGAAAATTGCGTGTGGGAAGGCCGGAGAGCCAAAGTTGTTAAGCATGTGAGCTCCAGTGCTCCGGAGCTTGGCCCACGTCGGTCCCTCGCTCGGCTGGGGGAGTGTCGTGGGCCGAGGCAAAACTCCGTCAAGCGCGCGTGGGAAGGCGTCGCTTTGCTCCAACAAATACATCGCCTGTACAAGGTCGAATCTAGAGCTATGTCAAATAATTTATAATTACACGTACGAGGTAATTGCTTTGAGGAAGCGGGCCCGGACGTGGTCTCGATTCGTCATGGATGGGTAGCTTCACAGAAGGCAAGATCGTCCGGTCCAGCGGCTGACGAGCATGCTGCACATTGACACTCAAACGGGTGCCAGTACCTATACTCGGCTAACTTACTAATAACCTTACGCTGGTAGTGAGGCTCTTCGGCGGCACTTCAAAGTATGCGGGGTTTAGTCATCCATCTCTCAAAAGCATGTGAAAGTGTGGGGATGAGAAGACATGCAACATAACATGTACATGGACACTTGGAATTTGATAAGACTTAGCAATCTTTATTCAATGACACCAAGCTCAATACCGGGCTTCCATTCCCCTATTCGTGTTATCATCGTCGCTCTTAATGGCACCCTACTTCTCCGAGTAACTTGACAAACACTATATTGAGGCTGACTGCGCTGGCGTTCCACACCACCTCCCGAAATCCGTGTGGAGCGCACAGCATGTCGACGTCCTATCAATACTAGTAGACGAGAGGCTTCTTGGATATGACTGCGGTAGGGCTGCTGACACTTCCCGACGCCATTCACCCGACGGCAACCACTTCCAACACTCCTTTTCATTTTCACTAACCTGACCTAACCTCGCTTCCTCATCACCATCATCATCATCATCATCATCACCCGGTCCAACAAATCTCCGACGCCGGCTCGGCAGACTCACGACTGATTTAACGCGCCTCGCCCACACTCCACTTTTGCTCCCCACCACCATACACAAAACCTTCGGACGCGCGCTCCAACGCGCACATCGCCAATTTCGAAGCGGCTTCTATAGTGGTCAGGCTGCTCACCACACCGCAACGAGCTAGGATCTTGGACCTGCCGAATCTGTCCAACGACGTTTACGTCGAGCCTTGTTCAGTCGGGCTTGCTTGACTGACCTTGGTCACTCTTCAAATAACTACGGGGCATGCAGCATGCCAGTGCTCCAGTAGACATCGGTAGTAACCTACAGCGAGCTGTCAGCAAAAGCACGGGAGCTCAGCTTCGGGCGAAGGAACCTGTGCTGTTGGGGTGGGAGCTCCATAACTGGAGCGAGTTGGGGAGCGGTGGGGCCCCCAACAAACAATCATATTTTTTCGTTGGTTTTCTTGGCTGTGCCAGAAGGCCAAAGAAGAGAGCGTCGGCCGGTCGAAGTATTGAGAGTTACCCTAGATTGGCCTGTATTTGAACCATTCCCGTCTCATGCTAACCGAAGGAGTTGAGTGTATATTTGATTGGGTCGATCTTGTATTTCTTTCCGTCTATATCCATATCATAAGTGCGGTCATCTCTGCCTCTGCATCTATTTTCCAACATTCGTGTATCGTAGGTATGGCTTAACTTCCCTAACATCACCAAACTTCTTCCTCGCTTCCTCGGTGCTGACGCTGGGCGGCACAATCTGAACAACGCAGTCAGCATATGCCCTACACATGTCTCGTTCACGGCAGCTACTTACCACATCCTCCCCAGCATTCCAATTTATCGGTGTAGCAATTCCCTTCTTATCCCCGGTCTGCAGACTATCAATCACGCGCAAAACCTCACTTGTATTTCTGCCAGTACTCGCGGGGTACAGCATCGTCAGGCGGATCTTCTTGGCAGGGTCGATAATGAAGACGGAGCGGATCGTGAATGCGATGCCGCCGGTTTTGGAAAGGGCATCGAGGTCGTCTTGCGAGATCATGTCGTAGAGGAAGGCGACTTTGCGGTCAGCATCGGCGATGATGGGGAATTGCACCGTGGTGTTTTGAGTTTCGTTGATGTCAGAGATCCACTGGTCGTGCGAAGAGAGGTCGTTGGCGCTCTATCTAGAAGTCAGCGAGGCGTTTCATGCCATTTCAAGCTTGTGAAGCGCATACAAGGCCGATCATCTGCACGCCGCGCGAATCAAATTCATTCTTCAGCTTTGCAAAGGCGCCGAGCTCAGTCGTACAAACTGGAGTGAAGTCTGCTGGGTGAGAAAACAGCACAGTCCACTTGTTATTTAGGAACTTGTGGAAATCCACGTCTCCATGCGTAGTCTTCGCCTGGAAGTTGGGCGCTGCGTTCAGTTAGACATGTATACCTTCACAAGCCCTGGGGTATTGTCGACTGACCAACAGAGCCTAACCTCAATCGCGGCTGCTCTGCAGGGACCGCCAGACCTCGACGAAGGAGCGGGGCAGCAGGGCGCTGGGAGTTCAACACAGGGCGTGCGGTGGAGCGGAGAGCTCGAGAAGCTGCACGGGGTAAGAATGAAGCCATTGTAAGAACTAGATATGTAACAATTAGGTCTTGGGGGTATTGTTGAAGCTCTGTCTACAGTCCCAATGGCAACACTAAAGATTATACCGCATTAGTGTTTTTGAGATTGCGTCATTCCGGATCGGAAAGTGTGGTCGGTCCGAGGTCGGCTGCGGTTTGCTCTGGCGAACCCATCTCCCAGAACGCAGCTTGAAGAGTAGCATCTGGAGGAATTCATTCTCAGAATAAGGAACGGTACCTGTTGCAACGCGTCGCGGTCATGCGGGGACCATCCGTGCCATGTGGCAGACGTTGGATATGACGCCATCCTGCAGCTCACGATGCCCAGGTAGTCAAGTTACCGTTCGGGGCCGCCTTGGACAAAGAACTGGGATTGCAACAAGGCTAGCTTCCCGGTGGCTGGAAGTAAAAGCTGGCCGCAAGTTCCCACGCATAGCGCGAAATCTCGCGAGCCCTTTCTTACACCTGCATGCAGGCCTTTGAGCCCAATATCCAAATTCTAGCCGCGTTTACGATCTTCAAGCCTCGAGAAACTTCAATATATATTCAACATGTCTATTACATCATTCGACCAACATGGCGGCAGCTTCCTCAACTTCAACTCCAGTCCCCCGCGCATCTACCTCACCAGCGTATCCCCCGTATCAGAAAAGGCGCTCCTCTCCTGGAAAGAAGAGGGCTTCGACACGCAACACCTCCCTTACGACCCTTCCTCCCAAGCCGCCTACATCCGCACCCTCAAAACCCTCGGAGAGTCCATCAGCCTCGGTGATAAATTCGCCATCGTAGCCTATGGCGAAGCAGCGGGCATAGTTCTTAAAATAGCCATGAAACCGCTGCCAAAGTGCTGTGCGATTATCGCATTCTACCCACCAGTATTGCCGAGCCCGAAGACCAAGTTCCCAATGGCGAATCATATACAGGTCCACGTTGCAGGCTTGAGCCAGGCGAGTGTAAGGCCGGAGATGTACGACTGGAAGTTGTACCGGTATGACAAGAATAGTACCGGGTTTGCGGAGCCATCGTCGAATGCCTATTCGGACGTAGAGGCGAATTTGGCTTGGAGTAGATCCTTGGCATGTGTGCGCAATGGTTTCAACCACAAGAGTGCTGATCTGGAGCCGATCATACAGAATGTTTGGAATGCAAAGTATGAAGATGACGTTCCGGAGCGGGCAAGTATGGCGGTGGTTCAGAATATGACGCAAAATAGCCCGCATATTTCCATTTTCCCGACACTAGAAGGTGGCGTAGGAAGGAAGAAGGTAGAGGAGTTCTACAGGGAGTTCTTCGTCCCTAGCTTGGTCGAAGATTTCAAAATACGCCTCGTGTCGAGGACCATTGGAGCAGATCGTGTAGTGGATGAAATGGTAGTATCCTTTACGCACTCGGATGAGGTTGATTGGATTCTCCCGGGTGTTCAGCCAACAGACAAATTCGTCGAGATACCCATGGTCAGCATTATAGCAGTAAGAGGAGGTAAGCTGGTATCTGAGCACATGTATTGGGACCAGGCCTCAGTTTTGATGCAAGTCGGCCTACTAGATCCCAAGGTAGTGCCGAAGAACCTCAGGGCCGGAGGCCTGAAGCGGTTGCCAGTCGTAGGAGCAGAAGCAGCGAAACAATTGGTCGAGCCACAGCAGCAAAGATACAACAAGCTGCTGCAGGAGCATGGACTGATGGATGGCTTGGAAGGGTTGAATGGCAATTGAGGCCGTCTTGCACCCTTTAGCGCCATGTTGCAATATTTGGCGTATGTATTCAACCGATGAAGCTGCAAGTCGGCAGTTTATAGTTTTCAAGAACCCAATATTTCCTCCTCACTCCTTCCCATTCGCCTTGCTCGTCAAGATTAGGCACCGAGATCGTCTCCCACTCCGTGTCAAAGCCAGCTTCGAAAAGGTCGATCTCGACAATCTTGTTGTAAACATCGTATACGACTTGTCGGTCCGCACCCATTCCGTTGAAGAAGCCGAATCGGCCTCCCTCGCCATCTGAACCACCAGCGGGATCAAGTAGCCCGATGACATATTCAGTGAAGAACTCTCTCAGTGCTTTGTATTCTTCAGCAAAGGTATCAAAGTAGATTGCATCGAACAATTCGCCCTTCTCGACGAGTCCAGGGACAATGTCCTGCCACCGGCCTTCGTGGATGACGACGCCTGGCTTTTCATGCCATCCCTGCTCTTTCAAACGCTTGATAACATCTGGATGCGCTTCGATGATGTGGTGTGACTTGGGCTGCTTTTCCTGGAAGATGCCATCGATGATACCCATACCATGGCCAATGTTTAGTACGCGCAGACCACTTGTGGGTAATAGGAGCTCTGCGGATCTTTGCATCAGTGTAGTCTCCCACTCCATCATGACACCGTTCGCAGAACCATCCAATAACCGATCGCGATCGAAAGTTAGGGTCGACGCAAGGTAGGCAGGATTTTCGGTTGACTCGTCGCCCTGTACGTCCTCTTGACCTATATCCACCACTTCGATACCCTCCATCTCTTCTTCAGCCTTTGTATCGTCCTCATCCGACTCCTCATCCGACTCGGCATCCCCAAGCGGCTGGTATTCATCTAACCGACTTAACAGCAGTTCAGCCCGCACACCCGCGTCGACGCATAGCTCGTATAGCTCTTTCAAGCCCAGTCTGCGTGCTATGCAACCTGGCGTCTCACCATTGACGTCTAGGTCATTCCATATCGCGCCGTTCTCAAAGAGGAACTTTATGGTCTTGTTGGCTGCTTCGACCTCGTGCGGCTTCGCATCCTCGTTCGCGCTTTTCGTGTCTCCATTGGTGTGACCCTTGGATTGTTGCGTGTCCTCTTCAGAGTCGGGCTCACAGGCAGCAATCGCCGCATGTAAAGGCGTAAAGCCAGTCTCGGAGTCTTGAACGTTTGCGGAGGAATTGCGGAGGAGGTTTCGAAGAGATGGAATGTCGTGATTCGCGGCAGCTAGAAGTATGCTTTGCGTTTGAAGGTCAGTCTCGACGTCAAATGCAGGGTCGTCCATCTTTGAGTTTGGATGAGGTTATTGAGTGAGTAGCTGTCCTGGAGGGGTTGAAATTTCCGGACAGGCGAGTCATAGAGGAACTACGGCCCTGTAACTCTGTGTCAGGCACGACCCGCTGCGCGTCAAACTGTTGCTTCGTATCATTTTTATTTTTTTTGCAAACATTTATTAACGTCACCCACGATACGACGCTGGCAAACATAGGAGGCGGTTTAAACTTTTGCTGCTGTGATTAGCCCCATTATAAGACATGCCTAATACAATATTTATCAATGGCTATACGGAGCAGTTAAAACCCATGTATTAGGGAATTCCTGCATACAATGCAATCGGGGATGTGATTTCTATGATGATCGCTAAGTTATGTACACTTTCGCCTTATTCTATGTCGCCAAGATCCCACGACCCGGTATTCTACACTATGAGGTAGAGACTCGTAATTACACTGGGGCCTATAAAAAGCCCAAACCAAAACACAATATTTCCCAACGTGTCTTTCCCCTTCATGAACTTGGTCTTACTGAAGGCGGCGAGCGGTAACTGCGTCAGCTGGAACGTAAACAAATAGCCCCGAACCTTTTTGAATAGGCAGAACATGAGAACTTCATGCACCACTGCGCTCAGCAGAAATGTGAAAAATGTCGCTTGCATCTTTGTCAAGTGAAAGAAAGATATCGACGAATGGTAGACGTGGCGGAGTAGAAAATTGTGTACAGGCCGATTCCAGTCGCGCGCGTACTGATCGAAGCTCACGCTATTCCACCACGCGCCGTAAAAGCCACGGTCTGCAAAGCGTGTGATCTCAGCAAGTACGTTGAGAAGACACTCCCATATGACGTACCATGCTAACAGCTGCTCTAGAAGCATGGGAAATAGCATGTCGCTGACGACCCAGGGGAACTCTTTCCACCGTTCGTCCAGCGACATTCCGGCTTCCTTCTGCTTTACGGTCTCGATGACTACTGGGTATATGTATGCTTGTGAAATAATGATCATTGTCCAGATGACTCCCAATGTGGCGGCCGATTTCTCAGCGACATACCACCAGTTCACACGCTCCTGGCGGGGATACTCGAGGTCGTAGACGAGGGTAGGCAAACAGGCCCATTCGAAGAAATTGTACAGGGTGAGGTTGTTGGGGTACACATTATCGGTCGTAGTGCATTTGCCACGTAGCTCCTCGTCGAGGATCGTGATTTCGGTAGTGAGGACACGATTGAACGCTTCGATTTGCTCTGCATCGAGTGCTTCACCAGCCTCGATTGCTTGACCAATAGACGCAATTTCTGACTCTTCTTCGGTGAAGTCGGTTGAGTACTTGGGGCCGCGGCTTCGTCGGTGTGTGAGACCATTACTGTCAGGGTCGTCAATGCCGGTAGCAGCCAAAGTTTTCGCATCGGGCGATGTTGGTGAAGGGCTCTTTTGGGCCTTCATATCGTCCAATTGGTGCAGCTTCTGTTGGAGGAGGTTTCGCCGCCTATACACGCGAGACACTGCTAGTTGTCAATTCACCATCGCAATAGCATACACATTTGACTTACAATAACCATTATAGAATGCATACGCGTGCTGCTTCATCAGCAGGACGAATACATGAAGTACGATGAAGACGGTGTGCGTCCATGGCCAGTCCCGCCAAAAGGTGATCCACATTACGGTGATAGTGAAGAAGGTTTGCCATACGGATTGAATAATCCAACCCGATCCATTCCAAGTCAAGTAGTCTTTAGCAATGGCTTTATGCAGGAAGAAACCAAAGCTAGTGGCAGCGCACATAGCTACATCCGTCGTCAACATAACAAACAGATCCCTGTCGACCATCAAATGCAAAATCTCTGCATCTCCGAAGATCGAGCCTTTCATCTTGTAGTTCCATGCAGCAATTCGTGCGAGCAGCAGAGCCATGGAAATCCAAAACAATGTGAAGAATCCGTGAAAAGGAGACTGTGCAGCGGATGCATTTTGGCGGTCGAATGTCGTGAATTGCCGCGTAAAGACGAGGTCTCGGGGCCGGTTCTTGGAGCTCGAGCCGAGTCTGTTGGTGTCTCGCTGCAGTCCAGATCGCAGAAGCTTACGGAACTCTGGGTCTTCCGTGGTGACTGTGTATTTGCCATTCTTGCGGGATTCTTCAATTACGACCTGTACGCTCTTTCTGTGTTTTCCCTTCTCCTTCTTAAAGCCCGTCTCGTCATAGGGTATCTCAATATCGCTCCCGTCCGATGGTATAGCTGTTGTGCTTCTGCTTCGTGGATCCGCTTCATCTTCCATGGCTTTGGGCTTTAATCGAGTTACTCCATCTACATCTGACATATCCGATGAAGTGTCTGGCGTCCACGACTCTTCACTTGCCAGCGGTGGTCTATCCGAAAGTCCTTGAAGCGCATGCGACATTGCTGACGAAGTCACACTAGGTTTCGAGCGTTTCAGTTCATTTTCGACGTCATTTGTCGCCATTGTGGTTCCATGAACAATGTTGCAAGGCGATATCAAGAGGCGCGAGTTCCAGTTATCTTGTGACGTTCATGTGGATTCGTATTACGATGGAGCTGCGACGTGGGGCCAGCTTGCTTTTCGGGTCTGACGGCTGACACATTTGAATGTGTACTTTGCAACTGCGCAGCAAGGAACAAGACAGAAAGCAGGCTCTGACTGTGTAGATTAGTGCATGCGACTTCTGAATATCCGAGAGAGCCGGGGCATAGGAAAGGGCCGTGAAAGTTGGGAAATTCGTGACTTGGGTGCAGATCGGGAACAAATAGGAGCTGATGATGTAATGCCACGGATGCAGGGCAGAGGCAGGTACGACGATCAAGCTCCACCAGCCACACAACACAGCCACGTCAAGTCACGTGTGATTTATCTACGAGGCTTTCCTCTCGTCCAACCCTTACTTGCGCCCTTGAAATCAATGGCTTTGCACCGGCTTGAATCTTTATGCGCTCGAGCTGCGCCGCGATTTTAAACGTTAGTCTGCCCGTATTCGTGATGGACCCGAGACGGCCAAACGAACTTTGCTCACCGGTCACTCGCATCCTTCGTATTCGATACTTGACTAGCGACGAAACCTAGAGATCCCAGGCTGACTTTCTTGTCAAGTGCCAACTAGGTAGACACCAGGACGCCGTAGGTGAGATGCTCTATAGTGTCTATGGATGATAACCTTGGAAGGGCGTGCCCTCAGCCACCCAAAAACGCCCTATAATGCTTGGCAAAATCCTAGACTTGAAAGGCGACCTACAGCTGACTTATAGTGGCGGATTGTAGCCACAAGAAGGCTGCAAGGTGTGCGATTACAGGGTTAAGCAGTTGAAAATATAACAATCAAGGCTGCTGCTGCATACCGCTGCTGCTTCAGGTACACTGTTCGCAACAGACGGCACAATTTCCCGGCATTACATCATCGAGCATTCTCGAAGTTGGTCACCACTATCGCAACCTTGCTCTGTCTTCAAACTCTTCAGATAACCCCCACCCCTCTCAACATGGCACCAAAGCGCAGTGGCGGAGGCAGTGGTTCTCGAAGCGGATCGAGAATGTCGTCTTGTCCTGGAGCATTCGCAGAGACGTATTCCCAAGTCAACCTGGCCAACATCGTCCTGTATTTCGCCGTCTTCCTCGGCATCTCCATTGCTCTATGCTCCGTCCGCAAGAAGAGCGGAGCTGGAAGGAAGATACTCGGATTACCTTATATCCTCGCGATATTCCTCTTTCTCCTGTGAGTAACTCCAACCTACCATGCGTCATCGTGGTATTCGGAGGTGCTGACTAGCTGTCTTTAGCTCATATGGCTTGGAGCTCATCGCCGCTATCCTACAAGAATGCGACACTATAAACACGGATAGGTACTATTCCTTGCTCATCGCGACCAACGTGTTCTGGTACCTCGCCTACTGGCTGCTCCTGTTCGTTGTTGTCTACGTCCTGAACACCATGCTCCGCGAGCGTCTTAGTGGCGTGACTGCAGTTTACAAGGTCATCTATATTGCTATCCTTGGAGTCATGTTCGCCATCACTTGCGGACAAATAGGTCTGACATGCTACAACCTCTGGACCCAGACGGAGGCTGGATATGACGCCAATGCAGATCTGATCGTCCACCCAGCGGAGCAGCTCAGAGTTGCGTATAGTGTGCTGTATCTTATCAGCGTGATTGCTTCGGGGGCTCTCTCACTAATGACCATTGCCACTCTCCGATCAAGGCGGCACCCTGTAGGCGTAAGTTGGCCCTTGCCCTTGTGTGAGGGAAATGAATACAGCGTTTGCTGACACAGCAGCAGGATCTTCAAGGCTGGATCATCGCCCTAATCTTCTCCATGGTCATATGGGTTCTTCTCTCCGTTGTTTTTGCCGCCGCATACCTCCAGGACACGTTACTTACATTCGAGGCGTCAGCAGCCTTGACGTACATTAGCAACTTCTTCCAAGCACTCAGCTTCATCTTCCTGCTGGGCATTGCAAAGCACGCAGCGTGGAACAAGACCGCAGAGAGCGCTGCAGCAGCCCAAGGCTATCCACCTGTCGTCGCGCAACAGCAATATTACTATCAGCAACCTCCGGTGTACAACGGAACAGGGACGCCGGGTTCGCTTCACGGGCAGGGACATTTGTCACAAGTCAAGTAAAGAAATGATGATAATGATGATGGAAACGCACGAAACGCTGAAAACGGGTGATACTTTCAACGGTTGTCACGATATTCATACATATACTTTTCTCCATTTTTACAAGTCAAGTAGCCTACTTGTTTCTTATCGACAAGTCTTGTACAACCGACGTTCTTTCTGCTTAGCTATATACCCAAACAATCTATGATGAATCTTCCTATCGTTATTTTCTACAGCTAGTTCCATGCATGACTTGTGCGAAAACTGTGATGGTCTCTAGCCGCTTTTTCAAGTAATGCATGATGCCTTTCGGAAGAACGTAGATTAACTACTATTTTGGGATTCAGTGCCAGCGTGATGAAAGTAAGTTTAGCGATCAACGATAGGCAGGTCAATAGTAGCGGAGATGACGTTTAATCATGTCAAAGTAAGAATTCTATCTATCTATCTTGCACGGGCGTCTCAGTCATAATGTGACCACGTATTTGAAGGTCGTCATCATAGTGAACAACCCCCGTCCATGTCCATGAGCCGGGGTAAACACAAAAAAGAAAAAAGAAAACTTAAAGAGAAAGGGGACGGGATATGGCCAAACATCAAGACAGGAAGACAAGGTCATGTATAAAAGGAGAAACGTGAAATAAGAAGCCATTATCGAAACAAAGTCGCCAAAACCTTCTCAAGCTTGTCCGCGACCGGGTCGTCGCCCCTCCTACGCCCAAGCTCATCAAAGCGCGGTGGAAGATCAACTGTAGCATCCGACACATCTGAGCCCGGAGAATCATCACGACGGTGTCGTTTGCGATCTCTACCCGAGTCCTTTGAGCTATTCGACCGCTCATCGTCCTTGCGCCGTCTGTGTCTCTCGCCTCGTTCGTCGCCGCTTTTATGTTCTCTTTCTGGAGAAGACTCTCGCGACGGCTCCTCTTGCGGATTCAAATCGAACTGCACAGTCTTCTCCTTTGATTGTAGTGGGCTCGGAGTCTCTGGCTCATTTATACGATCTACTGCCTTATTAGTATTGGTGCTCAATAGCATGGGTAGGCAGCGGCCTAGACCCACCACGCGCAGAAGCGAAAGTTATGTGCTCGTTGCCAGAATGTACAGGGGCAGAAGCACTCACATTGTCATCGGGACGACGAGGCTGGCCATAGTAGGGATCATGGTGCTGGTGTTGGGGTGCGTATGGGTTTCCGGGATTCATATCCTCGTGTGGCGGTGGGTTGACGTAACCTGCGTTTGATGGGGGACCGTAGTTGCTCTGTGGCCCCGGTGGGTAGTCTGCTGGGTTGTAGGGCGGGTAAGGGGCATTGGGGTTGTGGTCTGCGGGTGCTGTCGGGGGAGGGGGGAAGTAGTTTGTTTCGGGAAAGTAGCGAGAGTCATTGGGATGGACAGTGGATGGCTGCGGGCTGTCATAGCCAGGACTATAGGTGCCAGTTGAGTAGGCGGAGTCGTCCTCGCCTGGACACGTATGAGAATGCTAGTTCCGGAATGGGCGAGGGGTAGACTCACGTCGTCGTTCACGTTCCCTCTCCTCCTTCTCGGCCTTCTTACGGTCGCGGCGTTTCGCTGCCTCGTGAGCAGCCAGGCCAGCAACACCAGCAACTGCGGCAGTCTCTGCTACGGATCGTGCGCGACTCTTGCTTCGGCTTCGACTTCGGCTACTACCGTGTTTACCGCGTCGGCCGTCCGAAGAAGAGGACGAGCCTCGTCGCCGCCTGCGCCGCGAGCGGCTTCTCGACGCAGGATCGGTATAGATTGGATCACCACCGTACTCTACTAAAACAGGTTCACTCACTGTGCTTCCACGCCTACTACGGCTGCGGCCAGTAAGGCGGGAGAGCACTGACCTTGATCTTGAGCGCGACCTTGACTTGGATCGCGATGCCGCCCTAACTTCCTTCTTAGCCTTGCGTTTCTCATAGAGTCCAGCAACAGCTGCGCCGGCGGCACCAGCAGCAGCGATTGGGATGCCCTGTCGAACTCGGCTCGGCGATCGCTTGCCCTCACGTTTTCGGGATTTGCTTCGTTGGCGCTGAACAAGACCAGCCACGGCAGCACTGGCAAGGCCGACTTGTGCTGTTCGTTGGCTGCGATGTTCGGGGTCTGTGTGCTTACTCCTGCTGCGAGACCTGTGCTTACTCCTACTTCGAGACCTGCCCCCGTCAGACTCGACAACAGTAACAGACTTGGACCTGGACCTATGTCTTCCTCTCCTAGAGCGCGAGCGGCTCCGGTGGGTCCTCTTCTCAACGACAGTAGTAGTGTCAATGTTCTTGGTCTTGTTCTTCCGCCCCGCAGCGTAGGCAAGAGCCCCGACACCTGCAATAGCAGCAAGCGTGCCCAGCTCCTTGACTCGCGACTTGCTGCGATGGCGGGACTTGTGACTCTTTACCCTACCGCGCTCCGAGGAAAGAGATCGAGATCTATCACGGTTGTTGAACTTGTCGAGAGCGACGGCACTCACTGCGCCTAGCGTTCCGTATCCGAGTGCGTTGCCGATGTTGCCTCCAGCGGCCTCACCCTTCCTCTTCCGGTGATGCCTGACAATCTGGCCAGCAGCTACTCCAGCAAGGGCACCGGCGGCGATGTCTCGTTTCGTGTGGGTTTCGCTTCCGCCCCATGTATCCTTCTCTTTATGAATGTAGACGACATCGTCGTCGCTATAGTAATTCCTATCATCGTAGCGTTCGCGGCCGTACTCGCGCTCGTCAAAGTATCGTTCGTCTTGACGGCCGGCTCGGTCCACTTCCTTGACTCGACGCTCGTAGTAATAGTCCTCGTCATGGCGCGGTCGAGCAACCTGTCTGTCTTCTGTTACCTCGGCACGCTCAATAAGCTCGTAGGCTGGTTCTCGCTCCCTAATAATAATGGGTTGGGGTGCTTCCTCGCGGAAGATGATGGGCTGCGGAGCTTCGTTGCGAATGATGATAGGCTGTTGCTGCTGTTGAGGCAGGGGCTGGGGTGGGGGCGGAGGTTGCTCAGGGCGGAAGTACTCGGTGGATCTCGAGTACCTCTCCAGCTCAAACGGCGGTTCTCTGGGAATCTCCCGTTCGCGTTCGTAGTCTCGTGAAATGCGAATCTCGCGGACCGTCGCGGGTGATGGCGAGCGTTCTATTTCGCGCTCGATACGGTACTCGCGAACGTCGCGATTCCGCGGCGATGGAGAACGGTCAACATAGCGGTACTCGCGAACTTCACGGTCGTCTCGGTCCACGACGTATTCTTTGGTCGAGCGGCGCTCTTCGTAGTCGTTGCGCCCGCGGTGCACGAGTCGCATTTCAGACTCGTAGGTATCTTCTTCCAGGCTGTGGTCGGGAACCTTGTAGCGCCTTACAGTAGTATAGCCGCCGACGCTGCCGCCTGCTCCTCCTCCTGCTCCTGCTCCTCCACGCGATGAGCTAGTCTCCCAGTCGCGCTCGCGCTCGGTGCGCTTGTAGATGACAGACATGGTGAGGGGTGGGTGCAGTGTCGAGTAAGGGCAGATGGCGGGGTAGAGGGTGCGCTATGGTGGGATGCGGGCGCGATCAAGTGCAGACGGGCTCGGGGTAAGATATAAAGTGTTGGGTGATGTAGTGATGCAGACTCGCCTACGCAGCTAGTCGTCGGTCTGGTGAGACGTCTCTCTGAGTAACAGTGACGGGCTCCGGAGGGCGCGGGAACCCGCAGTGGCGCCGTTGGCAAGGGTAGTACAGTGTATCAACACGCTCAGCAGGCTATGGGGATGCGCAATGCTCGAGGGGGCACACGATAGCTGAGGAACACGGCGTGATGAAGAGAAAGGCGTAGGGTGACGAACAGGAGGGGGGAGGGAGGGGGGAAGAAAGGAGTCAGTCAGGCGTCAAGCAGTGCAGAGTGGGATCAGGTGCAAGACAAGGTTCGCGACTGCCCAGTTTGAAGAGAGGGTGGGAAACCATCTGGTGCTGACGTCACAGCGAGGCTCCACGACCACCTCTCACACACACACACTCTCGCTCTCTCGACTGCATGACCCACTGGAGCAGCTTGCGCGAAGAGATGATGATAATAATACCAAGAAGCTATCCAAGACTCATTCGACTTGATCCCCCCTCCACCTACTGTCCGCAGTGGGACCTTCACCGCGCCGTCGCAGCCCTAGGCGCAAGGGCGCCACGGTTGGCGCAAAGCCCATCATGCGAACGACTAATCGAATGCCGTCAAACTCGAGCCAACATGGCCGCCTGTCGCCTGTCTAGCCCACGACCGGTTCTGAGCATAGCCCCGCATACGGTGAGAGTCAGAGTGAGAGTGAGAGAGGGCGAGGGCAAGGAGCATGCGGCCGTCGTGGCGTCAAGCGGCTGACATGCGGACTCATTGCTGCCGAAGATGCGCAGTCAAGCCTCTGCTGCACAACCACCTTCTGACACACAGCTATGCTCTTTGTCCAGACGACAAAACATATTACACCCCCTTGTAGCCGTCCACAATGCTCGAGCTGCCCAACGTGACTGGGAACACCTGGTCAGCCTCTGCATACCTGCATATGCAACCAGAATCAAGTCGGCTTGCGGTGCGACCAACGCAAAAACACATGCCATCTGCCTCTCCCAGCGCCCAAGCATAATATGAAGGAAACGCCCAGACATTCTTCCCAACTTGGGAACGTGTGAAGTAAACATGGTCTCCTATGAACAATACCCCCCGTACATGCCATCATGGCAGAACAAATCTTTGTCCAAGAACAAGAGAACAAAGGCCTTCCCCATCCAGGGCGTGCTTTCTCCCATGCTGTACGACGTGGCACTCGACCGTCGTGTTAGTGGAGCGACGATACCCAAACCATCAACACCCAATCCTGCTTCCTCACATCTCCGCAATTTCATCCCCACCTTGCACACTATACCTCACCGGAGGTACAATGCTACCGGTAAATGTATCAAGCTAGTTCCACGCGTGTCATCTCGGCCATGTGGCTCCCCGTCTGAACACAAGGCTTGGGCTGTCACGAATAGGAGCGGGAGCCGAGCACCACTTTGTGCCTTGTACAAGAAAGCCTTATCCGTACATGGTACATGACTAGGTGACACTTGAGCTTTCAATTTGTGCCTAGTAATACAAACCCATGTTCCCCTCTTAGATCCAAAGTAAGCAAAAGCAACCTAGTGCCACCAACAACAAGCCCCCAACGCCATACATATACAATGTCTTCTCCCGACCTAATCAAACGATGCCGTACACCCTCTTCGCGATAAAGTAGCAAAGAGCACCGAAGCCGATCAGGCCTCCAGTGATACACCAGAACCAAGTCAGGCTCTCGATATCTTGCCCAGGGACGAGACTGTCGATAATCAGTGCCAATTTCTCAACAGCTGCAACGTTGCGACTTACCAATTCATTCCCCAGATACCCGTGACCACGTTCATTGGCAGCACAATCGTGCCAAGGACCGTGAGCTTGCCCAGGATATCCGACGTCTTCTCCTGTCGCTCGTTCATGCGGATGTTGATTTGGGCGAGATAATTGCTGTGAGCCCGCGAAAGTAGACTGCAAGTAGGGTCAGTATTATCCATCAACCGACTCCATCGAGACGCAGCACTTACTTCTCGTAGTGGCTCAGGTTGCCTGTCATGGTAACAATGTGATCCTGTATGTCTCCCAGATACATGCCAATTTCATTGCGAGGTGCGATATCCCATTGCTCATTACACCTCTTCGCAAAACCCTTGATGACGTCGGCCTTGTTGCCCAGCAATCGGTACAGGCTCATGACCTTCTTTCTGCACTCGCCGACACGTCGCAACATGTCTCTACCACTCTCTTGCTGATCCTTCATGGCTTCTGGCTTCTTTTCAGAATTCAATTCAGCCTTCTCAGCCTCCTGTTCCTCTTCATCGGAATGAAGTCGCAATATGGCTTCGTCAATGTCGTCGACCTCTTCCTCGATCCTCTGGATCATAGGAGCGTAAGCATCCGTGATATCGTCAATGATGGCGTACGATATCCAGTCTGGTGACAACACCAAATAATCCGAGAGTTGGCGGATGCGTCGGCGTACATTCGCTGGATGTGGTGTCATGGAGAAATGAAAACTGATTACACCTTCTCGGAACACAACAACGTAAAGATTGACGGGTTCTAGGTAGTCTTCACTGTTCTCATCCTGTTCGAACGTTCGGTAGTTGATGAAGTAGTAGTGCTTGAAGAGCTCGACCTTTTCACGCTGCTCCTGCATCAAAATATCCTCTGATGTCAATGGGTGGATGCCAAACGTCTTGGCAATGACCTTCATCTCCGTTTCGCTGGGCGACATCACATCGAGCCACCAGGCAGGTCGCGGGCCATACCGCTTTGGCTTATCTTGGTCAGGTTGAGGTGTGCCTGCTGCGGTGCCTGCTGGGCGCGGAGTGGTTGAACGGGTCTGCTCGCCAGAAGATTTATCCTCTGCTTTCGATGGCGATCGAGTTGTCGCTCGGGAGTGCCCGAATCCATTTGCGCCCAGGTGTTGAAAGTCCTCATCGTCCGACTCACTGTCGCTGCTATCCTCTACTAGAGGAGGATCCGGGACGAAGAGAGTCCTAAATGTCTGCCCCGGCTGCACAAGCTCGCTAATAGTCTGGCTATGAATCGTGTTGTCGAATGTTTCGTTGAAGTAGGTAAAACGGAACGGCGCATCGCTGGCCTCCCGATGCCAGACGCGCTGCTTTGGACGCAATCGCCCTTCCACCATCAGCGGCTCACTGACTTTGCGCATACGCATACCCTCAATAGTCCGCTGTTCTTTCTCTTCACGTGCCCAATTCTCCAGGATGGACAGGTCAGGCCAGCGACGACGTCTCCTACGACTCGTCGGTTCTCCTGTGGCCGGGGGGTTAAGGTAGTCTTCGTGGCCCATCTCTGACATTGTCTCATGTGGGAAGCACACATCTTCAAGCGCCGTGGTCGTCATTCGGCGCCGGAAATCACCTGGGCCAGGGGGAGAGCCTCCCGGACTGGGCTCATCGATGTCGATTAGCGCATCGCGAGACCTGTTGGTAGTCCTTCCCGGCTCCGACATGTGATCGAGGTCTTCGGTGATCATGACATCGTCGAAGCCAGGCGCGGCCTGGAAGGCTGGGCTAGTGGGCACAGATGGCGGGTTGTTGACATCGTAGTCTTGGAGATTGGTTTGCGAATGGTGATGCTGAGTGAACAAATCGGGATGTCGTTGGCCACTCGAGGTAGATGTCTTGCTTGCTCTTCGCTGTCTGCCAGAGCCTGAATGCGCACTTGTTCCGCCATAGCTGGTGCCTGTCCTGATATCCCGCTGAGAAGTACCCATCAAGGGGGTCTGGTCATCGACCTCGTCCTCTTCATCATTGCTGTAGGTGACCTCGGGCGTATGCGACAGCCGCGATCGACCAAAGGCATTCAATGCGTTTGGTGCATTCAGACGCTGGGGAGAGTTGATGGAAGCTTGACTGGCACGCGGTTGGTATATGGAAGTGACGGGAACGCTCGGTCGGCGCGTTCTGATCGTGGGTTGGTCGCGGTGGTCCAGCAAGGCCTCGCTCTCGAGGCTCGTGCTGCTGAGATTGCTATGCTGGCGGTAGAAGCTGCTGCTCCCTCTCGAGCGGCCGTGGCCAGCGACATTGGCCAGACTGGGGCGCTCGTCGCTCATGTCTTCTCCCATGTCATGCGTGGCAGCGAAGGACTGGCGGCGGTTGCGCCGCTTCTTGCCGCCACGATGCTTCTTCTTCTTCGCGGGAGCCGTCGAGGAAGGCCCAGATGGGTCCTGCGAACGTTGATCTGCAGCATTGCTGGATCCTGCAGCGTCTGCGTACGACGGGCCGCCTTGATTCGCGCCCATGGGTGGAGCAGTACTCGGCTCAGCAGGGCGAGGTGGACTCGGCGCCATTGCGATAACGAGCAATGCCAGATGTAGCAGTGGCAATGGGCCAGGGAGTGGTAATGCAGCGATGGGCCACTGGACTCGAAATGCGCAGCCTGAGCGCTCGTGAGAAGTTAAACCGGGGAAGAAGTGCAAAGGCAGAGAGGCTTGAAGCTATCGGGTTATTGAATTGAGTTTGGTAGTGACGTTATTGGTCCGAGCGTCGTTGGATGGAGTCTAGTTGAGTCCAAATGTAACGCTCGAGAAACATAGAGTGCGCCTCTCAGACATCCGTTAGCAAGCATAGCTGGCATCAAACTCATTGCCGATGGGCCGTTTTGACTTGACTGAACATCACTCTCGAACTTCACTCAGCTTCACGTGGGTAGGGACTAGAAACCGAAAACGGAAGGTGCGCGCGTGCTCTCCCACCACCTCTCTTTGGCCTGCACAGCGGGAACAGGGCTTGCTAGCATGCACGACCAACTCGTTCGCTATGACGCGACAACCACGAAACCCTTATCTTTGTTCTTGACCTGGCACCCTGCTATTGGCTGCGAGCGGGAGGACAAGACCGCAAATTGCTCATTACTGCAAGCCGAGCAGTCTCCGCTTCTATCGGCTACAACCTACGAGACGAGACGAGTGTATTGCAAACCTGTCGCTACAAGACGTATCTGAATAGTGGGCCGTAATTTTCCACTCCAACCTCGCGCTTCGCTTCACCTCTGCCTGCCGCCTCCTGCATAGCCAGCTTCTGTTGCGCTATGGTTCCATACTTTCCATCTAGCTTGCCATTTTCCCAAACGAGCAGTGCCCTCAATCCAAGTGCTAGAAAGCAGAAGAGAAACATAAAGGCCGCGCACACCGACTGGCCCTTTACATACAACGGTTTCTCCGAGGATGGATAGAGTCGAGTCCCAAGCAACGGCCCGCACTGTCCAATCAAGTTCAGAATGACAATTCCCGTACCCCTTCGCGTGTCCGAGCCTTGATTATTGATGACCCAGGGGAGAACGTTGCCAATGGCAGGAAAGATGCCCGCGGCAGCCAGGAACACGCCAAAGTATCTGGCCCCAACACTCTTGGATGTAGCTAGGATCACATAACCTGTACCACCAATGGCGGTAAGGATGGCGATTGTTATGCCCCGCTGTTGCGTTCGGTCTGCGATGTAGCATGTCGCAATAACTGTGAGAAAGGAAAGGAAAAACGGTGGTGCAGTCAATCCCTGAGCGTGGACCGAGCTGAATCCCATCTCGTTCAGGATGGTAGGTAGGAAAACCGGGAGTGACGAGAACGCTACGTTTCCGCTGAAGTACATCAACTGATCCTGTCAGCTTCACTATAACGCGCATCACACGTCTACGTACCCCTAGGATCCAGCCTTTCACGTCTGTCAAACCCTCAAGCAACTCCTTCCAGTTGATGCCTCCAACTCTCGTTGCTGCGCCAGCTTGTCTCACGCCCCTCGCTCTAGCAACAGCCTTCTCCTCCTCGGTCAGAAACCGCGCCTTCTCTGGACTATCAGGTATAAAGAACCAAGCAACCGCCGCCATAGCAACAGTGGGTAGCCCTTCAACCAGAAACAGAAGCCTCCATTTAGCCATTGCAGGGCTCCCACTGGTTATGCCGTACGCCAGGGCTCCAGCAAAGGTATTTGCCAACGGTGCCGCGCTCAAAAACATGCCCGCTCTGAGACCCAACTCATGTCTCAAATAAAAAAATGACAACAAGAACGGAACGCCAGGCCCATAAGCAATCTCAGTCACGCCCATGAAGAATCGCAGTGCCATCATCGCACCCCATGAATGTACGCCAGCTTGAACAGTTGAGACTAGGCCCCAGCCGAAGACGCAGCCCGCAGCCCACATATGCGGGGGCACGACTTTCCACATTATAGCAAGAAAGCCGAAACAAATGTAGGAAATGTAGAAGATGGTGAGGAGCCATTGGTATTGTGAACTACTGAGATGGAGGTCTTCTTCCATACCAGCGATGCGAGCATTGCTACGAAATGTTAGCATGACTATATGGTAAGTCGAATGCAACAAACCCTATGTTTGATCGGTCCAGAAAAGCGAGGAGGTACAGCGCGGAAAGAAGTGGAACTAAGTGGCAGTCCAGCTTTCGTCGTACGCGTTTTTCAATTTCTGGATCGATTTCCTCGTGTATAGGTGCTGCTGGCACAGCTTCAACATCGCCGCGCTCATTTCGGATACTGTCGGCTTTATTCTCGTTATCGTTGTCCATGAAATCGCGCTCTTGCGCATGAGACGCCGGCATATTCAATGAATTTTATACAGGAAAAAGAGTGTGTGTGAGGTGAGCAAGGGAGCAATAAGCATCTCAAGCACTTCGCTTAAGCTTGACATTTTGCCTGCCCAGACCACTAGAGAGGCATCGGCATCTCAATTCGTGTTAGATTGCATCATATTTACTGTGATGGGCAGGTGAAAATGCTTGTTGGGGTAAAGTCGTTGTTCCGCAATGAGGGGTTAGTGGCATCCGAGGTCATCTTTTTAAGGATGCCGGAAATAAAGCTACGGCCCTTGGGCGTTAGTGAAAACAGCAGTCTCGCGAACATGCATGCACATGGAGGAGTTCGAATGGCAAACATGTTGAATTATTCGCCGTAATATACTTCAGCAAGTAGAATAATGAGGAACTGTGTATTGTCAACGCATACATGAAAGTTAAAGTGGGTGAAGGCATTTCTCCGCTACGTATGACTCGTCAATAGGCTTACTCTTCTCCTTGTTGACAAATATATTCGTACATAATCTCTACTAGTCCGGAACGCCAAATATACAACTCGCCGATCCAACCATTCCTGTTCGCATCCGAAGTCCTCTCAAACAGCAATGTGCTGCATCTTCTGGCCCTGCCCCACCTGGGGCCCTAATGTTGGGAGTCCCTTCGGCCTCTGGTTCTGCACCGGCACCCTGCTTCCCTGACCCGGTAGCGTTTTCGTCCCCGGGTATGCTGGCTTCGAGTCCGCTTTCTTGTTCTCCGTTGGAGGAACAAAAGGCTTGATTTGACCTGGCCTCACAGCTGACTTCTTCTCCGACGATGGGAAGGCGTTGGAAGAGTTAGGTTTGGGCAGGTTGTTTCCGTTTGGGTACGGCTTTGGAAGCGTTTTGTTGGGTGCGGATGTCGACGTTGGGCCTTTGAATGGGGGAATGGATCGCTGTGCTCCTCCTACGACGCCACCGGTGACTTTTGATGCTCCTCCTACTGCTCCTCCTGTGACCCCGCCCACGGTGCTTTTCGCGCCATTGATGCCACCTGTAACGGCTTTCTTTGCTGTGCCAGTTGCGCCGCCAACTTGACTCTTGCCAGGATATTTATTGGCCCCGAGTGGTGTTTTGCTTGTCGAGCCGATTGCTTTTGTGCCACCGGTTGTTGGCTTATTCGACGCGGGCGTTGAATTCGACCGCTTGACGACTGGTTTGCGCGCTGTCGATGGGAGAGCTTTCGGTGAGGGCTGGTAGGTTTGGCCCGTTATGGAGGAGCCGTATGCAGTTGCTTTACGCTCGATGTCTAGCTTTCGTTAGTACATTGCATGTGAAATTGTGTACTTGGGTTGTTTGAGAGAGCTTACTGTTCCCCACACCTCTTCCTCCATTCTCAATCAAATCACCAGCCTTAATCAATGCATTGCCTGCAAATTCGCCCGCTGTTCGAGTACCTGCCTCGACGAAACCTTCGACAGAGTTCCAAAGGATGTTTTGGATGAAGCCAGCCATGTTTGCTCAAACTTCTATAGATTTGTGATAGTTGGTGGTGGTTTTTACGAAAGTATTCGATTTTCCATGTTCACATACATCATGATGCTCGATGATGTCCATGCCGACGCCACATCTTCGATCCGGTTTCGAGATGGGGAAACCGTTGGTCGCCCCCGCCATGACGTATTTTATGGCACGGGTACTGACCAGGGGCCCGGGGAGCCTGGCCTTCAATATGCAAGGGGCTAAATTAGTCGCTCACTCTTATCGTCTGCGTCACAGCTTCAATTCAAGCAAGTACTGTAACTCTCGACGTGAGACACTTGGAGATTTCAAGCTCGCAGTGTAACAGTATACCACTGCATGAGAAAACAGTGCACGTCAAGAGGACGCCATTTTGCGGCATCATGATCATAGTACATAAACAAACCAGCTTTGATTCTCCTCCAAATATCCTATCGAAATCGTACACTACCGAAAGAAGCATTTTCGTAACACGGCAGATCCCAAACTCACTATTGAAAACATAAGAGACACCCAAGACTCCGTCGAAGCTCTCATAACGATCCTACATATCCACAAATGTAATCTAAGCACCCTGTCTGGCCTTCTCCGCACAAATCAACGCAATGATCCTTGACAGCTCAGCACTCTGCGCAAACTGCTCCTGCTTCGTCTGTTCATCAACATCCTCGCTCGCCGCAATATCGTTGCTCACTTTGAGCATCCGGTTTTGCAGCGTCAAGAGCTTCGAGAGCGTATTGTCCAGGAAGGGAGCGCTGAAGGTGATGTTGGTAGGCGATGCGCCGGAGTTGGGAATGCGCATTTCAAGTTTGCGAGGGGGTTTCTTTTGCGCAGGCTTGGAGGGCGCCGCGGGTTGTTGAGATTGCTCCTGTGGCCTACGTATGGGTCAGTATGATTGTGCGATTGTTGACCCCTATTGGTGGTACACTGTTGCTTCACCAGCCAGTAAGGGGACTAAACGTACTTCTCACGCTCGACAAACGTCATGTTCTCTGCCATTTCGGCTACACGATTTGCGATCCTCGACGCCATAATCGTGTAAGGCGACATTTGCGGTTGAGACGCACCATTTACGGCGCCGTTGGTTTGAGGTTTCTTAGCCACACTTTGCGTGGGCTTCTTCGTCCTCGAAGCTGTCGTTCTGTTGGCCGTCCGTTTGACTGGTGCTGATGCTACTGAAGCTGGCATCTTGAAGATATTCTGATGGAATACGATTCTAGCAAATGTTCGTTAGCCACAAGCTCAGGATGAATATAGAAGGGTTGCTCGCGTGTGTGGCTCGGCGTACGTCAAGATCGTGAGGATAGAACCGTGGTACGACAGCTGTCAGGAGTGGACACGAACCTTTGTTTAGATATTGAATAGCAACGAAGATATGACTTTGAAGATGATTTGGAGTGAAATCGAGCGGTGGATGTATTCTCCCAAAATCACAGAACGATGACCTAACGAAGTGTAACGGGGGCGCTCGATATCTTGACTTGGGGTGGCACGAAGTGGGAAGGCAGCGCCACACGCGACGTCATCACGGCACGGCGACAGGGGTCATCGATGTGAGCGGAGCATCCATCCTGATCTCGAACGTTGACGTCGGATGGAACCTAACGAAGAACGTTGACTGCTTTCATCGAACAAAACACATCAGAGAATAATGTCGGGTTAAACTCTTCGTTCAGATCTTTATCCTATTGTCAAAATGTCGAACGCTCTCAAAAAGAAGAAAAAGGATGATCTCGGTGCCGGGTTACGAGTCTCAAAAGACAATATAGCAGCGCATCCTGCAGGACCACCACGATATGGAGAATTAACACAAGCAGAGAGGGCGTTCACGCTGGCGTCGACGTTCTTGTCTGGAGTCCTGGCGTATGCATCTCTGGTCTTCGAACTTCGCCAGCAATCGTGCTAACGCATCCTTACAGAATTAGCGCTTCGCAATTCCTGGGAGCACCATTAAAGCTCATTGATCCTCAGTTCTATGATGGCTACATGGCCTACACTAAGGAATGTTTCGCAATTCTCATCACATGCCTCACGCAATGGTGGGCGCCAACCGTCGTTCGTGTCAGCGGCGACTCGAGCATGGTGGGACAGCTCATCAAGAAAAAAGACGGCAGTCTTCAATGCAACTTCGCTGACCGCATGGTCCTCATGGCAAACCACCAGCTTTATACTGATTGGCTGTACCTGTGGTGGATCGCGTATACAAACAACATGCATGGCTTCATCTACATCATTTTGAAGGAGTCACTGAAGAATATACCAATCATTGGCTGGGGAGCACAGTTCTACAACTTCATCTTCCTATCCCGTAACTGGGAGGAAGACCAGCGAACTTTCAAGAAGCATCTGAGTCAACTGAACAAACCTAATGACCCTATGTGGCTCATCATCTTCCCTGAAGGAACCAATCTCTCCGCAACAACTCGAGAGAAGAGCAAAAAATGGGCAGAAAAGAACAGCATACAAGACATGAAGCACCAGCTCTTACCAAGAAGCACAGGCCTACGATTCTGTCTGAACGAGCTTAGAGAAACAACAGACTGGCTCTATGACTGCACAATCGCATACGAAGGCGTCCCACCCGGCCAATTTGGCCAAGATATTTTTACACTCCGGTCCTCCTTTTTCGAAGGCCGGCCGCCGAAATCAGTCAACATGCACTGGCGGCGCTTCCACCTCGACTCCATACCAATCCAGAACACGAAAGCCTTCGAGGTTTGGCTTCGCAATCGCTGGAGGGAAAAGGACTATATGCTCGAGTACTTTAATCGCAACAACCGCTTCCCGGCCGAAGACTTCTGGAAAGACCATCTTGATATGAGTAGTCAAAGTTCGCACAATGGAAACAAGAGTCTCCGCAGTGTTCCCCGCCCGGCCGTCCAGATAGAAACAGAAGTCAAGTCTGGCAACTGGAACGAGTTTGTCAAGATCTTTGCGCCGATCACTAGCGTCATGATGGCGCTCACAGTCGCCTACGGAGCGTCACCAGATGACCTACCCATCCCGGGTGGCAAAGAGTTCTTCGAGCAGCACATCAGAACACTGCTCGGTCAAGGCGGTGAGTTGAAAGGTTTACCAAGCCCGGAGCAACTAGAGAAGATGATTGAAGGCGCTGCGCAGATGGGCGCTGCACAAGCAGCCGAGCCCAAAAACTTAACAGGGGCGCAGAAGTTGACGCAAGAGAATCTCGCGAGATTGGTAAAAGAGACGGCGATTCAGAGTGGAGTAGTGCTTCCGGGTGGTATGAGAAGGGCAAGTACGGCGTTACCTCAAGCACCAACGAAGACTCTCGTAACGCCAACGATATCTGCTACACGGAAGGCGAAGACTGCGGTCAATGTGCCGACTGCTGCGAGGAAGCTTGCTACCGCGGGACCAAAGCCAGGCACAGCCGCACATGCGAGAGCAAAGGTCACGGCCACTAAGCCCACAGCAAAAACAACACCTTCGAAACCTAAGCCAACACCGCCAACCGGACCAATGAAGGATGTTATGACCGCGTCAGGCGTAATGATCAAAGTCCCCAAGTCTGAAGTCGAAGACGCTAAGAAGACCGGGACCATTACTACGAAGAGCGGGGTTAAAATCAAGATAGGAAAGGAAGAGATAGAAGAGGCAGAGAAGAAGAAGGGTAGTACATTTATGACGGCCTCAGGGGTACCGATCAAGATTACTCCTAGCGGCGCCATTACTTTACCAGAGAAAGCCGGTGCGCAGAAACCGGGTAAGAAGCCTGGGCCGGCCGCCGCAACAGCAGGCCCGAAGATTGTGCCAGCGGCGAAGAAACCTGCTGGTGCTGGTGCTCCAAAGCTGAAGGGCCCGGCAGTGGCAACGAAGAAGTCTCCTGTGGCTACCGGTGCTGCCAAAAAGCCTACGATTGCTGCGAAGAAGGGCTAGACAGCAATTGGAGCGACGAGCTAGTAATGATATGTTGATGGACTCCTGTATGTATATTTTGAGTGGGCGCAGGTGACATGGATTGGGAGTTGGCTGCTGTTGGACATATGGCTCCGTTTCTAAATTATATCCTTGATTTGGCAGGTTCTGCTCAGGCATACATGTTTCACCTTTCGGGTTTGGTATTTCTGTATGAATTATGTAGAGTAAGCGACGCAATTGAAACAGTCTATAGCTAGTATGTTTTGCAAGAATAAGTCAAGCAATTGAGGCGATGGAACCAATCAATCAACTTCTTGCCTAGGAGTTTCACTTCCGCAAAGCAGCAACTGGTTCCCCTACTTATTATACCAGGCACTCTCTTTGACATGAGTTCCCTGCCATTCCCAGCGCTCAAGTAAGCGTCCATCGTTCATGCGTAGTCCACTATATTGTTCGTTAATAACAGGTCCAGCTATCATTGTAGCAGGAACATACTTAATGCAGCAACAGAATTGAGCTCACAACACAACAGTAAACAACGAATACAAACGCGAAATGCACGTATTAGTAGTTACCTCTTCCCCTTAGCTGCTTCTTCTTGCGCCTTAAGTATCTTGGCTCGTGCACTCTTCGAGCCACCCAACTTGGGTCCTTTCGGCGCTTCTTTCACACCCTTCATACCACTCGCGGGTGGAGGAGGTTTGCGTTGCTGTTGTTCTTGCATGTTTTCGTAATACTCAAGCCGGAAACGCTCAGCTATCGCGTCATCGTTGTTACTTGAGCCTGAGTTGTTGGAGAACGGGTTTGTGGGCGCTGTGTCGTCGAAGTAGTCCACTATACCACGTTAGCTTGTCGATGGAGTTGCGTAGGAGGGGAGGAAGGGACATACGTTTAGCTTCTCGTAGTACTGCTTCAACCATTTGTTCTCGTCGCATGGCATCGCTGTTCCTGCGTTTTGGTTTACGCCATTGGTATCCGTACTTGTCTAATCGTGACTTCGCTTTAGACTCCTCGGCAGGCTCGGTGCCGTCGAGTCGTTTCCAAGCTTGCTCAGTACGCGCCGCAGCATCTGGACCTAGGTCTACTTCATGAAGCTTGCCTTGGCCAGCCGCCAGGCGGTTACTGTGGTCCCTATCCGCGGGGTTATCGGCTGCGCCTTGTGTTCCTTGGGTAGAGGAAGTCGCGGTAAACGTGTGCTTCAGATCGGGCGCGATCGTTGCTACTGCAGCTTGAAGATTTGTTGGTATGGGCCAGCCATACTGTCGATAGTTCTGTTCAGCCATGCGAGCTTCTACGTATTGCGTCCTGGTAGATTAGCTTCTGTACGTCAAGTTTACCCAAAGTCCAAGCCTCTCTACTCTTCTCCACCATTCCAGAGCGCGATTAAGTGATTCCACTCACATCTGCTTATCATCGCGTTCCACAACTTGGCCTGTCTGCGCAACAAAACGACTGGTATACTGGTCTGGCCGCGGCGCATTGACTTGCGCGACTTCTGTCCTTGGGGGCTCTGCTTTGCGCGCAGATTCTCGTAGGCGGTCGCGCGGTCGCTTTCGATTGCGCAATATCTCTCTCAGATTTGGCACAGAATCTTCCTCCGCGTGAGCCTCTTGTGGCGGCGAGCGCGCATCACTCGGGGTTGCAGCGCCGGGAGTCTGAGGGGTGGATATCGTAGGGACGTCGTCGTCGAGGTTGACACGCTTTGGATGTGCGATCTTGCGACGCTTGAAACGGATTGAGGGCGGAGGATCGTCTTCTTGGACAGCGGCCATTGTCGTTGGTGATGTCTGTGTGGGGACGTTAGATGTAAGGCCGGAATTTGAGGTGAGAGGGCCGAGGCTGGCGGGCGTCACATGTACCTTCCCTCTCATTTCATTCACTATGACACATCTATGTGAATAGACCCTGGCGAGTGTTGTGGCATGCCAAATACACAATTCCACAATGGTATAGTCACACACATGGTGCAAAACTCCTTCAATGCCATAGAGAATTTTACTCCAGATTATGAGCAGATCATCACAGGAAGGCTATTGGCTGATATACAGTACTTTAAAGACCCTATGAAGCCGAGAAGATCAGACAATTCAGACTCATCGTCTGCTCATAACTCGTAAGGAGTTTCAGAAGGTGTCCGCCCTCAGCCAGGCAACCCTAATTAGGGCAGTGCAGCGCCTTGATTTAGAAAGTCCTCCTATCCTCGATAGATTGGTCGCAGTTACGCCCTGTATACCCGGTCGCGGCACTCGAGTGAGTTTGTGTTCAGACTCACCGTGACTCTGAGTCCGGTCGAGGATACTAATATCCACCATTGCGGCGGCACTACCAGTGAGCAGATTGCTACCTAAGACGAGGAAGAGCTTATGGTGATAGCGCACAATACTGTCGGTCGTGTAACAGAGCTAGTTGTCGAACAGAAATGGTATAGAAGGTAGTCTACATGGCGCTGCAGCTTGATCAGCTACCGATGGCTTTTGCTAGAATTGCAAGGAAGGATCGCACATATATATACAAACTCCATCATAGAGCGCCATCCTTTCTTAGAGTCTCATTGCCCCAGGGCTCGCCTGTCAAGCAAGTCAAGCCACCAGCCGGCTCACAGCTCTTCCTCCCGCTTAAGGGGCCTGGTGCAGGCACCTTCACACCAGCCTCGCCCTTGGCTGCCGAAGGACTGCCAGTAGCCTGTGCTGCATGCCTCAGGGCCTTGAGCAGTGAGACAGTTGAGTCGTATGTGAGATCCTCGTAGAAATCGTCGTTGATCTGGACCATGGGTGCGTTTGCGCATGCGCCCAGGCACTCGACTTCGGTCATAGTAAAGATGCCATCCTTGGTAGTCTGGCCGTGGTGGATGCCCAATTCGTCCTCGCAGGCCTTCATCACAGCATCACTATTGCGGAGCATGCAAGGCGTCTGTATGCCATTAGTTACTATCCTTCCCGCCCAGCACCGTCTTGACTTACAGTCGTGCAGATCTGAACATGGAACTTGCCCATGGGATTCCGGTTGTACATGGTGTAGAACGTGGCAACCTCATACACTCGCATTGGTGGCATCTCCAATAGCCGAGCTACCTCGTTCATGACGCTGATGCTGGTAAAACCGTGTTGGCGCTGTCCGAGGTCGAGGAGCGGCATTACGGCGGCCTTCTTGTATTGTGACGGGTATCGCGAGAGGATCTCCTCGATGAGCTGCTCATTTTGCGATGTAAATTTGAAGGGAATTGACGGGTTATTTTCAGGCGTGTCGCGGTGCTGGAGCCATGTCAGTGGTGTAATTGGAACTCTGGGGGGCAAGGTAAGAATTGCATACCACAAAGAGCGAGTCGCTTCGTGCAGGTCGCGAGACGCTGAAAGCCCGCCATTGAGGCCTTTGAAGCTGTCGCAAGGCCCGTGGGGCACTCCGGAATGCAGATGGTACCAGTCTCGAGGCCATGGTGGATTGTGCTGCGGGTTGTAGGCGATGCCGGCGGTCAAAGATGTCAACGATGGACCTGTCTGGCGATGCCAAGAAATCTAATCAACTAATCAGCCCTTTCCTGATTGGTTCATCAACTTTTGATACTTCTCCTTCATTCCTACATCTCAAAACCTTTTATCTGGGAATCTGTCTCCTACTCTTTGCCCAATTGTTCAGTTACAGTTAGGTGTGCTGACAGAACGTTACTCAGCCTTGTGGCTAGCGTACGAGTGTTGCACATATCGCGCAAACTACTCTGCCCGTTGCCGGCACGTACATACTACAGCCGATGGCTAAGATTCAATAAGGGAGGCACTAACCCCTCGTCCTTCTTGCTGTGTGTTCTGTTACCCGTCTAGCTCAAGCATTTCCTCTTCTCCAGTTAGCCCAAATATGGATCTGGTACGAGCGAGAGATGCTTTGTCATGATCTAGATTACTTTAGCACACCTTGTGCATCTCATTTAGAGGCTACAAAGCTCTCTGAAGAAATGTAGCCTAGTAAAGCAGATGCCTTTGTCTATGGTTCTTCATATACGCGCGATTGTACTTTACATGAGTATCCCATTCCGTTTGTCTAAGTTGCACTGACGTTTGCACTGACACTTCTAAGAGTTGCTATTCAACACCGATCACATCCTCGTTAGTTCTTCACAGCTTCCAGTGTCACATGCTATGATTGTGTGTACAAAAGCATCACCACCTACTCTGCTTCACCAGACCGCCAGGAATCGCAGTACAAGTATATAAGTACGAGTTTCTCCGGCCATGGAAGTTCCAGATCTGTCTCTGAACAGCACCTTCTCTGTACCTACATCTGAAGACCAAGAAGAAAACTCTGTATCGCCCGTGATGTGCAAATACACACTTTACAGCTACGAGTGCGGCCATCCAGCTGAGGACCACGTCGATTCCGGAACCTGCTCAGAGTTCCAACGGACCGGTGTTCACTGTGACCGAGACAATCCAGCGAATAAAGAGCGAGTCAAAGTAAAGAACAAGGATCGCAACGGTATCTGCGAAAAGTGTATGCGCAATGGGCCAGACTACGATGAGATAGTGACAATGGAGCGCGAGATGGAGCAGGCTAGTGAACTGAGCCTAATGGAAGCCAGGGCCCGAGAGGAGGATATGCGGCGTGTAGAGCAAAGAGTTCTAGAAGAGTCTCTAGCTGAGGCAGAAAGGATGACGGTAGCCCATGAAGCGCGCATAAAGGAGCTTGAAAGGGAGTCTGCGGAGGAATACGCCCGGAAAGTGCGTCAACAGGAGGAGGAGGACTTCGAATTTATAATGAGGAAGTCTAGGGCAGATGCAGAACGCGCAGCGCACGAGCAGGAAATGGAGATGATACAGCGAGCCTTCTTGGAATCACTAAAGACGGATCCTTCTCTTCGAAACTACAAAGACGAAGTGGTAAGTGACATCTGCGATCTTGTAGTATTCTGGTTCACTCTAGACTAATGCATCACACGTCGATCACTGCTAATCAATTCGATTGCAGATTACTAGTGGATCAATTGATCTCGGCGGAGGACTTACAGAAAAGTGGATTGAGGTCAAAACAACCTCACGAGAGACACTTCTGAAACAATCGACTGCCCCAATAGCGCCTCCGCCTCCGCCCCCGCCGCTTCCACCGCCACCAGTTCTGGTTCCTATTGCTCCAAATTTTGTCAAGAAAGCCCCGCGGTCCCTTCCTGTCAAGAAGCCAGCGCCAAAAACGGTAGACTACACCCTACCTGCTATAAGAGATCAGAACATTGGACGCTTCACAGTGGGCACTCGGCACCAGCCCACCCACCCATCACAAGAGATCAAAGACAAGCCTACTTCAAAGGTCCCTATAACGCCAAGCTCTCCTGCGCCTTTCGCTCGTCTTGGTGGCACGATCGCACCTAATATCCCAGCCATTCGTGAGGTTCGAGGTCCGAATATCCGAGTGCTATCTGCTCAGGATGCGAAAGCAGGACTTCGCCGCACTTTGGGACCCAGGAAACAACTTCCGCCCCCGGACGAGCCGTACGTTGACCCAAAGCTGAAAGCGGCAATGGCGAAACGACGGCAGTGGGAGGATGAGGCGGAGGACACCACTTCGAATGTTTCCAGTACCTCAATCACACCCTCGCAGTCCGCTTCAAACGTTCCAGCGCGAGCCAGTACAACATCATCTACACTTAGCAGCTTGAGCACTGCTCGCAGACCACTACCGGCATCCGCGGAGTCAGTAGCTTCCCCCATCACGGGTGCTACAGAGGAAGCATGGGGTGAAGACGATGCCAAAACGATGAGGGCGAAAAGGATATCAAAATTGGATTTCGATAGGAACAGGAAGACTGGTTGGGGAGGAGAGTGATCGCGAGCTATTTGTAAGCGAAGACCTAACACTAGGTAGGTAGTTTTGTGAAACCTAATTAGGAAATATTGGGTGTATTGAAGCTAGTGAAGCCATACGATAGAAGCCGAGTTCCTACTCCGTTATCTCATCAAGGTCATGCAATACGAACGTATGACTAGATGTTACCGATCCATACTTACAGCAAGAGCATGAACTCAAACTTTTCTGTTTTCTGGCCTGGTCTACGAAACGTAGTACTCACGCTCCAGGTAGTGAGAAATATGCTTAACATCGCGATCCAGGAACAGATCAGCTTCGTCACCCTCCAGTTCATCCTCGCACTCCTCGAGATTCTGACACTGCCAAGGGTATCAGCGATGTGTTTTTCAAGCACGCAAACACTGGTGTAGACATGGGGTAAGCATGCCTAGACCAATAACGTGGTAAGCCGACCCAGAATCATGTTCTAGTCTTGCTCAATTAAACTCACCATTTGCTCATCGTGTTCCGCGTACTTGAAGAAGGCATTGGCCTTTCTCTCGTAGTCGGGATGCAGTGGGCCCAGGTTGGCCTCTAGCTTGCGCATGAAGTGGCCTGCGTATCTGAATGACGTTAATGTAAGTCTATATATTGTTCGTACTATCACCGTGGGCTTACACTTTGACGTTTGCCCTGATTTTCTCCTCCTCGATGACCTCGATGACTAATTTGGCAGAGATGGTATGATCGGCGTGATCTAAGTCTGTATTGTATTCATGAGACACCGAAGCCTTGTAGTTCAACACCCGAATGTCATTCGCCTGCCTCTCGTGAAGGACAGTAACAATGATATCCTTGAGGTCCTCAAGCGTGTATGTTACGTTTCCGTCTGTAGTCGTGATACTCTTGATCTCCTTGTTGTATAGCTTCTTCAGTGACTCTCCACCATTTGTGTCATAGCCCTGCCCAGCAGGCGCACCATCAGGAAGACGAAGGTAGAGGATCTGCATACTTGGCATGTCTTTCGGTGCCCAGGACGGGACCTCGTACTTGCCAATCTTCACCAAAGTAGCCTTCCGCTTTGGTTCGTTCGCTGGCACGCCAGCGATCCAAGAGTATGCTTCTTCGAGGCCATGCTCAAGCGCAAAGGAGAAGTTGTCCGTATTACCTCGATCGCCTGAAGTGAAGACAACAGTAGTGACGCATTTTAAGACGAATAGATCGTGGAAGAGGTCTGGGTTCTGGAAAAGTAGGCTATCGACAGGGTGGGCAGTGAAGTAAATCGAACCGCTGTGCGAGAATATTAGCAGGAGCTGCCGAGAATATAGTGTTCGGCCTACCTGGTGCACGAGAATGTCCCTGCCTGCGAAGGGTTTCGTGTGGCTAGTGCAACTGCTAACCAGAGCAGGATCAGGAAGGACCAGTGCATGGTGACGAACTTGCAGCAACAGAATGGTAGAACGGGTACAGCGAAACAGCGTATGACCGGCAGCTCATTAATTCGATGCGAGAGTATAAGTGAGGGAGATTCAAGTTGCGAAGGTTGTAAATCATGAGGAAAGAGCAGCCTGTCCAGTCACGGTTTCTAGCCCACCTGCACGGCAAGTGCTATTTAAGACAAACCAATACCATCCTTCCTCACTTTCTACTGTTTTGCCTTCTGCCTCTTTCTTTACCTCAAAATTAGGTATTTTCGCTAAATGTTTGGTTTCCGTCGCTACAATCACTTCAGCACCGCACTCGGCAGCAGGATGCAGGCTGCGCGTGCTCCTTGCCATCCTTCAACTCCTATTATCTCACCTCGCTCTTCTCGCCACCGCCTGGAGTCTTAGCAAGACTAGGTTGGCGCAAGATCCATAGATTATCATAGCCTGGAAGTGGCTCGTTCTAAGTCTAATATCTAAGGTTCCGGTTCTGACCACCACGACTCACAGGTACATAATCGAAGAGCCAAGCATGCTTAAGTCTTTAGTTGTCCAGCCTGTAGCTATCATTTAGGTAATGATATCCACCATGTGTACGTTGTATGTATGTTTCTCTGAGACTAAGCGTGACTATCACGAGTTAAAATGGCTTGCCAAGGGTGGCAGTGCTCGCTTCTTCACTTCTTCGCCATGTCTCAGTTCTCCACAAATTTCTAGGCTTCTCAGTCGCAATTGCTATGGAACTCTACCAGTATCAACCTCTCTCTGATAACGATTTCACTCGTTTTCTTAAACTCTATCCCAGCTTGGTCTACTCGGCACCGCTTCAATGTGACCTGATACATTGCCAGGAGGGGCAAAACCGCACATCCCGAGGAGGAATTTAGCGCCATCGAGCTTTCAGACAATCCGGACCGTAGATGGTACGCCTTTTTCGAAATTGTGACTATGGGAAGGCGCTTATGGGATGGGAATGCAGTGCAACCACCCAGCGACTTTATCAATCTCCTTTTCAATGGACAGAGAGAGGGACCCGAGACTAAAACAACAAAGGCTGGGTTGGATGCAACCTTGCACAGCAGAGTCGTCGAACACGATTCGACCGACCTAGTGGATTTGTCCGACCAGCAAGCGCTAGTCAAATTAGCAGCAAGTAAGCTGCGGCTGCGATCATCTGTCAAGCAGTTGATTGAATTGATGGAAGGCCGCTGCTTGTGTGTCAATAGTAACGGAGAGCTCATGAACTGCCCAAGCGACGCGAAATCTGGCGACGTAGTGGCCGTACTTGCCGACATCGATAGCCCTTTCATAATCAGGCCAGTGAGTGTAAGATCGGGCATCCGAGGTCGCGAGAAAAGGTATTGCCTGATTGGGGACGGTTATGTCGAAGGTATAATGGGAGGACAACTCGAAGCTAATAGGGCACGTGGGGAGCCGTGTGAGTTTCTCTTGGTGTAATCAATTGAGCAGTGAAACTACAGATCGATTGATCTGTGCGAGTCATCTCATTCTTACATTGCCTACTCTTGCTGTAATCGTAATCGATGTGCACTCTACTTGTGGCCGGGTGATACCCACAATCTACACTCACAGACACCAAAAAGGTCCCGAGATGGCAGGCTAATACTTCATCGTCGAGCGACTTCCCCAGGGGGCGTATGCGAACCGGATCGTCAGCGCGACGGCTGGAGTGTTTCGAAACATTTTGGGTCCAACTAGGGTGCATGAAACGAGCCATGCAATGACGATATGTTGTGGACGCGCCGTTGCTCGTTTCCAGAAACCCGGGTGTGGAGTCGTGTTGCATCACCCACCCTTGTATAATACAACTTTTCTTCCTTGTTTCTGTGAGTCAGGGCGCAAAGTCCTGCTGGCAAACAACGCAGCATACGACTTGTGATGTGGACACGCCGAGCGCCGTTGAGAAATGAAAAGTGGCACAAAGTGGGAATGGCCCATACATTAGGTTGTGCAAGCCAAGCAGCGCTTATGCAGGAACTAACAGATTCTTATCGATAGAACGAGCTATCGATAGCGCGGGCCGAAAGACCAAGTCCTTCTGTTCCTATTGGATCTGACGTTTACGTGTTCAACGAATTACATGTCGTCTTGTGGATATTTCATTTAGCTTTCATTCGGCTGCAGTGGGCTGAGAGCAGGATGGATGGGGAGAAAGTTCTGGAGCGCAAAATGCAAGGAGAGCCCAACAGGACAACGGGAAAGATACAGCCCGCCAAAAGAACATGTGAAGTGGAAGATGTAGAAGGGGTCGTGGCATTGGGGGTGCACCATGTCAACGTGGTAGCATGGTGACAAGTCGGGGGCTGACATGCATGTCCAGCGACAGGACCATTGTTGCTACCGTCCTCAAACAGAGACAAAGAGCGTCCAGATCAAACACACAAGGAAGAATGAATGGCTTTATGGCTCACGGCTGGGAATTTCCACGTGGAGTCCACCTCGTGTTTGAGGAAACCGGCCGGATACTTTGATCAAGGCAACGTGGACTGCCCATGTTAGGGGCCGGTAAGCAAGGGATGCCCCCGCAAGCTCCCAGCCGCTCTCAGGAACAACGTTTGTTGAAAAGACCGTGCGATGATGATATGGTGCCTGGACAAAGTCCATCTGCAAGTTTCTGGAGATGAAAAGGTGCCATCATCGCAAATCGGAACAATAGGGCCACCATGTGTGCTAAGGAGCTGAGCTGACCGCATAAAGCGACGAGGCCGAGCATCGCGATAAGCCTCTCCATCTATTTCTGTTGTACAACATCGGCAGGTATTTTCGTTTCGAGAACAATCGACACGGAGGCGTCGTCAGCATCCTTTGGCTTGCCGCTGTGCCCCCTCGGCCCAACTTCCAGACAAGGCAGGCACCAAGTCCGTTCGACTCAGGCCCCAAGCACGGGAAAACTCGACTTCTTTCAACAAGTTTCGACTCGACAACAAAACAAAGCAACAAAGCAACAACACGAAACCAAAGCCTGCAGCGCCGTCTTTGAGAACGTCACCTCTTATTTCAATAAAGTTGAACAATCGCCGGCTGGGAAATGAAGGCGCAGGGCTGAGATCGCCAAGTGGAGCTCCCACCCGCGAAGGTGTCCGGCGCCCCGCCTCGGTGCCATTCGACGGCGATGAAAGGATCAAAGGCCTGTTCTTTTTCTTGCTGTGTGGGGACACATTGTCCGAACTATATGTGACGACTATTCTCACTGGATAAACACCATGGCTATCGATAGATCAAGCTGCAGCTGCAGGGTAAACGCTCCCAGCCAGCAATGTGCCAACGACAGACCGCTTGCCACTTGTTTTCACGCCCCCTGCAGCTGTACCTGGCATCTGTGACAGCGGCGCAAGCCACGGCGTAGTCAAGCTTTGATCATGCCGATCGTTGACTTGCTAGGCTGGCGCCCTGAAAATATCCGTTGCTGTGAATGGCTGATGGAGCCCGTATCCAACCTTACCCCTGGATTACCCGCTGCACTGTTTGCTCTTTGTGAGACTAGGTTTCTCGATGGCTGACATGGAGAGTCTAGGCGTATTGTAAAAAGCAGCGATTAAGGTATTCGTCATCCCCGCCTTCCAGTCCAGTATATTAACTGAGTCCCCCCCGTGTGGCCCCGTTTCTTGTCGCTCCCTCGAACTATACCACTTGCTGTTGCTATCATTCCTTTGAGCAATTTTTGCTCCCACTTTCCTTGTCGTTAAGACATCACATTCTTTGTTGCAATACGCTGGTCGGTTTATCTGTCACTGCGCTCCAGAAGCTGCATTCGCCTGTACCTGTCCATACCCCTGAAGTTTTACGCCTTGGAATTTCCACGCATCAGTAACCAACATCAACATGTCCTCCTCCACCTCCACCATGAAGCTCAGTCTCCTGGCTCTTGTTTCGGTCGCAGCTGCTGTACCACACTATGGCGCACACAGCAAGTTCCACAGCCTCAAGGCGTCTAGCCAAGGAAAGCCCTATCCATCCGGCGGCTGGTCTGGTAACTACAACAGCACTGCTGTCCCATATCCAACCGGTGCTGGGGACGATAAGACTACCACCATCCACAAGACCTCGACGTCAACCCACACCATCGTCTCAACCATCCGTGTCAAGCCCTCTGCCTCTGCTACCATCGGTGTGTCCGCTGCGGACGCTCCTACTGGTCAGTGTGGTGCCACCGTGACTGTGACTGCCTCTGAGAAGGTCACTATCACTGTCACCCCAAGCGGTGGCTATGATGCTCCGTCATCCGTCAACACTCCTGCCCCACAGTCGTCCGTCATCCCAGTCGAGTCAAAGTCGTCCCTTAAGGGATTTGGCGCTTCCTCTAGCAGCCTGGTTGTCGTCTCCAAGACGCCTGCTGTCGAGAAGCCTACTACCACCCCGGCTACCGAGTACTCTGCCGCCACTCCCAAGGGCAAGCAGCCCGCTACCACCCCGGCTGCTGAGTATCCTGCAGAGACTCCCAAGGCTGAGCAGACGACCTCTTCCAAGGTTGAGAAACCTGTCGTCCCCACACCTTTTGTTGCTCCGTCCTTGGCCCAGAAGGAGCCTGTTGCCTATAGCAGTGCTGTACCCAGCGCTGTCTCCAGCGCCGCCTCTAGCGCCGCCCCCTCTGCTACTCCCTCGTCAGGTGGAGGCTCTTACACCGGCGTTAAGCGTGGTCTTGCCTACAACGATGCCGGTCTCTGCAAGACTTTCGGCAGCAACTACGGCTTCGGCTACAACTGGGGCCAAGTCGAGAACAATGACATCGGCACCAAGTTCATCCCCACCATGCATGGACCTTCCAAGTCGACTGCCGAGGAGTGGCTCGCCAACGTTGACAAGGCCGTCAAGAAGGGCTCCAACGCCGTCATGGGTTTCAACGAGTGCGATCACGCCGAGCAGTGCAACTTGAGCCCCGAAGCTGCCTGCTCCGCCTGGAAGCAGTACATGAACCCCGTCAAGTCCAAGTACCCCGAGGTCACTGTCATCGGTCCCTCCGTTACCAACGGTGCGGCGCCCATGGGTCTCGACTGGCTCGATCGCTTCCACACTGCTTGCTCTGACGCTGTTGTTGATGCCACCAACATCCATTTCTACGACATCTACGAGACCGCCACCATCGACCGCTTCAAGGCCCAGGTCGAGAAGGCTGCCAAGATCTACGGCAAGAAGGTCTGGATCACCGAGTTCGGTCTCAACCCTGGATCCGCTACCCCAGAGCAGGCTGCCAGCTTCCTCAAGGATGCTATGACCTACCTTGACAACTCCGACAAGGTACAGGGCTACTCGTGGTTCATGGTTGGCAGCGGTGAGAACCAGCTCAACTCGGGCAGTGGTCTCTCTGCTCTTGGTAAGCTCTACGCTGGTTCTTACTAAGCCCCGAGGCGGTTTGAACGAATTGGGATTTGCATTTTAGGCGCTTACAGAAAAAATCTTGTATATGGGTCAGGAATGGGGTTCGGAATCTCTGGGAACAATAGACGCTGCACATGGATGCGCGATGACTCTGTACAGGTTTTGGGTTAACTTCTATCGTACGAATTTGTGTGAAGAGTGGTGGTTTGGTGTGTAGCGAAGCGTTGGAATGAAATGAAACATTGTCCACACAACACATCACTTCCATATGTTCTTCCGTCATACTGATCGAACTGGATTGATTACTACAGCTGAATAAGTGAGCGTACGGGTGACGTTATGCTTCGCAGCCATGACCATCAAAAACGTACCTTGTATTCGCAACTCACATCCTCTTCCTAAACACAACGTCAGGTCCGCATTCAAGACATTAGATGTCGCTTCTCAAGTTAGTTTCCGAAAACATCTCTACAGGATACTGTGCTCCAGTTTACCAGATGTCTTTCTTCGTTGCATCATTTCGAGTCATAACGTGCTTTGCTGTGGAACAATCAGGCAAAAAAAAAAAGTCATTACCACACTATGAATGCCTCCAAGGGGAAAGCAATATAGGAAACTCAGATTCTAGTCGTCCACCGATCTGCTGAATCATGCACTATCAACCTGAATTCGAGCCAGTAAGGTCCGCGTTACGAACAAGCAGCCGCGTTGAGCCAATTGCGTGCTGGAAACCAACCCGAAGTTATCTGGTTTTATTCTTCCTATTCCATACCATACCATACCACCCATCCAAACCCCAGCATCTTCAAGAGCGCGTAGCTAACCCCCCAAACCCCCCAAACCCCACAATGCCCACAATATCAATGCCTACTTTACCGCAAGTTACGCCTCCCTTCTCACCACTCATTTTAGGCAGCAGCAGCGGCAGCGACAAAGAAGCGGGGCCAAAAGGTCTTGCGGCGCTTAGTAGCTTTGTTCTCTTGTCGTTCGAGACCGCGGCGGGTCTTTGTATACTTCCGTCCATCGTCCACGCCCGCCCAGCCCACAGGGTCGAGAACTTCAGTCCTGAAAGTCGACGTTGCAGGGGGGTCTCCGGTGTTGTCATAGAAATGGGGTGTTGCGCTGACTGCAACGTCTTGCACGTTAACAGCATCTTTGCTGGCGGTAGGGTTTGTAAGTGCAGGTTGGGGAGTCCCGAGGTCGATGGGTAGGATAGACATTTGGTTCTTCTGAGATACGGATTGACTTGTGGTGAGGGTTGTTGTTGATATGCTTAGGTTAGATGGTGGAGGAGAGGTCGGTTTTCCAGGCACAAAGTGCGACATGGAATGTGGACATGTTGTGCTTGTCGATGGACTCGTTCGGTTCCACGAGCTGGCCGCGGTCGATGATAAGATGCTCGAATTTGAGGATATTCTTGAACTCATAGACGTTGGTAGTGGGTTAAAAGACCACCCTGGCACGCTTATCGATGTCGTCCCCGAAGGCCATATCGCAATCCCGTCGATAATACACTCCTCGGTTGGTGTCAAGCATATCAGAGTTGGCGCCGCGTAGGTTCGGGTACTGGACGGAACAGCATCTTCAGGATCCTCAGTACCCGTAGGCGGAGGAGGCACAGAGTCCGGACGCGGCGGAGTGGCATACCCAGATGTATACCTCGTCGTATCGGAGTAATGAGAGTCTGTCGAGAGAACAGGAGATTGGACTGTTGTGTCGGAAGTCTGAGTGACAGTAACTACTACAGTCGTGGTAATTTTGGTAGTCTTTAGGGTAGGGGAAGCCTCGTTTTCATCGTGTGGTGATGCAATGGTGCTGGCTAGCAGCACCAACATGCTCAATACGGTGGGGTAAGGGTGCATATTCGTGCACGCTGGGAGATGTTGCAGGGTACTGAATACAGATTCGTTTTCGTGAGCTGGAGAGCAGAGCGTAGAAATAGTGGCGGAGAGAAGAGAAGAGAAGATATTTGGCACAACGAAGTCGCGGGATGAGGGAGTTCAGGACGTGAATGGAACATTCAAATGTTGGAATGTCATGCTTAAGAGCTGTCAATGTCTAGCGCTCGAACATGATATTTTCCTCGTCACAGCGCTAAGACCTTCACGGTCCCGACGAAGCGTTCGTTTGCTATGATTCATTCATGTCCTGATCTCAGCAGCTTTCCTGAGACGATTCATGACTGCAGCTGCGATATCATCGCCGGCTTTATCACTGATACCCTCAACATAAATCGTTTCCACGCCCTTTTTATCGAGCTCCCTCAGCGCAGAAAATAGACCTCTTGCAACACCTTCTGTTTCTGCACCAAGGCCAATGTCCCAGATATCAGAACAACTCGAGGTGTAGTGTTCCGCGTGTGGTATCTGATGTTGAGCTACGGAGCGTAAGAGGTTCGACAATCGTGAAGGGGTGATCGCGGGGGTCGATGTGTTTGCGTATTGTGATATGCCATTCGCGTGTCCATTCCTTCCCGCGGCCTTGTTTCTTTCGATATTTAGACCCAGCGCAGGTTCCCAGTTCTTTGTTCTTATAATTCCAATAGTCTTTTTCGTGTCAGTCTCCTCGATTCCAGGCCTTCCCGCGCCTGCCTCGAATAGGATTACTTCTGCCTTCGGACTATAATGTCTGTACTTCATCCCCGGCGCCCTAGGTTTACTTGCTCCTCCCTCTTGTTGATCTTTGTACCCGATTACTACATTCTCCCAACCTGGACATTGCCTTAGCTGCTCCACCGTGACACCGCCAGGTCGTAGGATAGTCGGTGGACTTGACAACCCGTCTACGACTGTGCTTTCCACGCCAACTTCGCACGGCCCGCCGTCTACGATAGTATGTATCCTTCCCTGCAGATCGTCGTATACATGTTCAGCGGCGGTAGGGGAAGGTCGGGTTGAGGCATTCGCCGAGGGAGCGGCAAGAGGGCGTCCGCAGAGGCGGAGGAGGGCCAGTGCGAGAATAGAGCGCGGCATCCGAGCGCCAAAGGTGGGTAGACCTGCTGTGACCTCTGGCGCAAGGGTTGATCGCCCGGGAGCTGGTAGGATAATGGTGATTGGGCCAGGCCAGAACCGCTCGATCAGGGGCTTGTATATCTCAGGGATGGGATCTTTCTCCACTCTCAAAGTTTCTTCGCTAGTTTCTTGTTTCCCAGATAACAGCGCTCGGAGTTGCGGCAGCGAATGAACGTGTACAATGAGAGGATTGTCCGCAGGCCTTCCTTTTGCAGCGAAGATAGCTTTCACCGCTGAACTTCTTGTCGCATCTGCTCCCAGGCCATAAACAGTCTCTGTTGGAAATGCGACAGGGGTGTCTGTGTTCACGACTTCGTCCGCGGCTCTTTTCAAACTCTCGTAGGCTTTTCCTTCCGCATAGTGTATGCTCCAATCATCGATCAAATCATCTTTCGACTCCTTGAACGTGATGTCTCCCAGCTTCTGAGAATCTACGGGTAGGATATCGGTATGCATATCGGAGGCTATGCGCTTGTAGAATTGCGCGTTGGTGGTGATGTGTGAGCCGGCTAGGCTATTAGTCTTTGACGTGAAGAATGCGGCGGGTATGTTTAGCGTGGTAGGAGGAATAAACAGGGGCTCTGATGCGGTAACTTGCACCAGAGAGCGTAAAGGGAGAGATCGATTGAAGAGGCTTGTGGATTTGACATTTGGGATGCGGGGATAGCGTGTGGGCATGAGAGTGATGACTGGTGGTAGGGCTCAAAATTTTGATCGGAAAGGCGGTGGAGAAAGTTCCGATCCTTGCATGCGACGTCATGTTCGAGATTGGCTCTAGTACATTTTTTGTCCCAAGCGTGAAAAAGCACAAGAGATTTGTTATCAGTTGTAAAGTATCCAATATTCATCATCTAATAAGACTATCTTATTACCATCGCGACAAATCCTACTGCCAATGGCACCACCTTGGAATAGTACAAAGGCCAAAACGCCAATACACCTCCCCAGACAGCCGTTTCAAATGTAAAAGCAGAATCATACACATCTAAGAAAGGGTATCCAGCAAACGCCGCCAGATGAACATACCCGCCAACCCTAGCCACCAGACAGCCGTAGAATAATACCGAATTTTTACGCGGAGACAGACACCGCAGGAGGGCTTTGGACTTGAGGGGCGGCTTGAGCCTGGGAAGCCAACTCACCGCTGGCTGCTGTCTCAGCCCACTGGCCCCAGAGTCCTCGCTTAGCGCGAATACGAAGAGGGCCGCCTAGCTCGTCGGTAGCCTGCTCGACTTTGATTGCATCCTTGGTAGCTAGAACCAGAACCTCGAAGAACATCTTAGTCGCGTCGGCACGTGAGGTTCGGGCCTCCGGCAGCATGTCCTGAAAGACAATGCTGTTCTTCTGTCGCTCTGATTCGCTCTCCTCGGCTTCTGATCCGAAGCGCTCTCGCAAAAGGTGTACAGCGTGCTTTGTACCTAGTGAGATAGGACCAGCTTCTGCAGGGTGGATGAGAGGAGCCGTCGTGTCGTCAAAATTTTCTGGAACTGGCGAGAAACCATCCGCCTCCTCTTCTCCAATATGCTGAAAATTAGGCTCGTCCGGAAGTTGGATCATGTCGTCGGATCCTCCCAGTGTGGTGTTATCTTCGCCGATTCCGAAGTCAGCACCCCCTAATGTCGGCTCGTCTTGCTCAAACTCCAGCTGTGGCGTCTTATCTCCGTCAGCTACTGCTGCTTCGTCTTCTGTCGTACCGAGATCGGCAACACCGCTATCTCGCTTGCGCTTCTGGCTCGGACGTGACACAACCTCTAGCGACAGTATGCCTCTCAGCTCCGGGGCCCAGCCTTGACTTCGTCCATCACCAAGAATGCTTGAGACGAAACCACCAGACCTTTGCATGTTGATGAGAGCCATGAGAAGAGGGTCACGGGGTAGGAACGAGGCGGGCTTCAGAATCTTGTCGCGGTTGTTTTGCTGCTCCCTGAGCTGGTGGCTCGAGATCATGGTCTCAGCGTCTTGCCCAATGACCCTCCTACGCTTGGCCCTGGCCTGATGAATTGATTCCTCCTCCTCTGGCTCTTGGCCAGGCTCGAACATGGTCGTGTTCTGTTCGGCCACTTCTTGCGCAAGCCTCGAAGCCTCGTCTTCATCTAGCTCGGAAAGCGGCGATTCCTCGCGGCGAACAGGTGGTACGGGTACATCGCCAGCCATCGAGGGTGGCCCTGAAAGGCCCAAATCAGGCATATCATCCATAGTGACGTCCAGGTCATTGTCGACGTTGAAGTTGGGAGCTTGGGCAATCTCAGTGGGATCATCGTCAATATCCAAGCCTAAATCGTCAAGAGGCAGGTCCTTGAGGCTCGAGGCAAATTCCTCGGAGGCGCGTCGTTCCAAGGGCGCATTACGGCCGCGTTCAATGCTAGTGCCCTCATCCTCAAATGCGGGCGTTGGCTCTAGGTCGTCTTCAATGTACAGATTCAGGTCGTCTTCTCCCAACGCCATTAGCTCCATGCGCGGCTGCTCAATGCTGCCAGACAGGAACTGGCTGTTGTCCCAGTCTGGCACAGTAGTGTTTCCAAAGTCTAGATTGTCGTCGAGGTCCTGGGATAGGAAAAGCGCAGGATCAGGCATCGGGGCCAAGAGGTCGAGATCGGTGATCATATCCGGCAGAGTCAAACTTGTGGGGTTCGCGACGTGAGTCTGGGTCGGCAGATCGATGTTTCCAGGACGGAAGGCCTGAAGACGCGTTAGTCGCGTCTACAAAGAGAAGGCAGCAAACTTACCATCTTGATCTTCCACAAGGCTTCGTTGCAATCATCCTGCAGGTAGTGCGCCTTCCTATGATAGATGCGCACGACACCAAGAAGCAGCTGCCCATTGAGACGCAATGCGAGTGGGCCGCCAGCAGCCCCCTCAGGCCGGATGATGACTTTGATATCTTCATCAATCTTGTCCTGCAGCACCTGAGCTTTGGTGAGCTTCTTGTGCTGATTGGCGGCCAGCCAGACGCGGGCAAGCTGGCCAGACTTGAACAAAAGGTCCTCGGGAAGAAACATGGCAGTGGATGGGTAACGCGGTGTGCGGGCGGGGAGGAGAGAAAGTGGCGCGTCGAGTGGTGTTGTTTACAGTCGGCGCGTCGGCGGCGAGCGGGATGCGCCAACTGAGATTGCGCGCCGACAGCGTCGAAAATGGGTTGCAAGGGCGCGCGAAGCCGTAGCAATGGGAGTGAAGGTTGGAAAAGGTGGAGCGACTGATGGCGTTGAGGAGTGCGCGTCGGTGGGTGTGTGTGGGCCAGGTTCGGTCTCGATGAGGCTGGTCAACGTGACGCTGAGGCTGGGAGCAGTCGGGCGCTTAGTCATCAACGCGACTAGCCTCACCCATCACCACTGATGGGCACCCTCTCGAGTAGCCCTAGAGCTGGACTTGGTCAAGATACAGATAGAACAACGCACTCAGGACGTCGTGCTTTGGTAATAGAAATGATAGGGAAAAAAGCGCGCCATCACTTTCCATCCTGTAGCTCGAGCGCTGAATGCGTACCTGTCAAGGCCAGATGCTGTGGGACATGTTCTGTTGCTGCAGCCATCAAAGCTGGACCAGACCATGTCAGATGGCCGTACGTGGCAGCTGTTAGTAGCAATCTCGAAGCCTTGTCTCTGGCTGAATCTGCGCAACAGTGCTTGAATCTATCTAACAAGACTTGTTTGACTTGAAACTCGCGGCCAGACCCCGGATCGCTGCTGATGGTGGCTGGCCCCTGCAGTGCGCGCCACTGGTGGTGCCTCGACGTTTGAATTCATCGATCTACATCCGGATGGCTCTACTATCCGGAAGAACGACAACTCTGCATGTCTCCATACGTCCGCTTCTCTTTTCTAGTGCCCTTGCTTACTTCTTTGTTGTTGCACGTTTAATTTCTGAATAGCATCCATGCGTTAATTGGCCCACCAAGACCCCTTTCACCCTTCGCTGTCGACCGACAGGCCACGTTTGAGCGCGGCGCAACAGTGGCCTTTTGGCCATGCCAACATGTCAAGAGAATCGACGCCCTCATTACCGCTGTATCATGCCTCAGCCGGAGCCTCCAAGTCAGCGCGTGAGCCCTCGCCGTCACTGCAGCCCCCAGAGCCGCCGCAGAAGCGAAGCTCGACACCCTCAGTACGCAGCACCCTTCCTGGCATCCACCTCCAAGACGAGTATCCCGACCAAGTAGCCCTGCTAACACAATGTCCAATAGTCAATAACAGCAGCCTACTCTCTCCTGTCGCCGCAAGAGACGGCGCAAAAACTCTCCACGTCCGTAACCCATGGCCTCGCTGCCTCCGACGCGTCGGCGCGCATACACATCCATGGCCACAACGAGCTCCCGCACGAAGACCCAGAACCGCTATGGCTTCGCTTTATCAAACAGTTCAAGGATACGCTGATTCTGTTGCTGCTGGGCTCTGCAGCCGTGTCATTTCTAATGGGTAACCTGGACGATGGCATTAGCATAACGGTAGCAGTGACAATCGTCGTCACCGTGGGTTTCGTACAAGAATACCGGTCTGAGAAGTCAATCGAGGCACTGAGCCAACTGGTCCCGCACTCCGCACACATCATTCGCGCTGCGGTGGAGCACGCACGGAATGGTCGAACACCGAATGGTACTGCGACTGAAGGCGTGGAATTGGAGCATCTCAAGGATACCACAGCCTCACTGGCAGATGCCGAGAGGAGATCGACCGCCATTTCCGCAACCTTGTTGGTCCCGGGCGATTTGGTTCTCTTTCACACCGGCGACCGTATACCAGCTGACATCCGTATTACGCATGCCGCAGACCTTAGCATCGACGAGTCAAACCTCACAGGAGAGAATGAGCCTGTTTCCAAGTCGCCAGATACCATTACCCCTCCACCAGGCATAAAACGCCCATCCTCGCCTTTCTATGCGTCCGAAGCTGCCGGGACCGTTGGCGCCGACATACGCCTCAATGACCAGAAGAACATCGCCTTCATGGGGACATTGGTTCGCTCAGGCTATGGCCAAGGAATTGTCATTGGTACAGGAGGCAACACAGAGTTTGGAGCCATTTCGGCGTCGTTGCAGGAAATCGAGAGCCCGCGAACGCCGTTGCAGCTCTCCATGGACCGGCTTGGCAAAGAGCTGAGTTACATGTCATTTGGTGTCATTGCTTTCATCAGCCTGGTAGGATTGTGGAGGGGTTGGCAGTTTCTAGAGGTCTTTCAGATTGCGGTTTCACTTGCGGTTGCTGCTATCCCAGAAGGACTGCCCATCATCGTCACCGTCACGCTCGCGTTGGGCGTGCTCAGAATGTCCAAGCGTGATGCCATCGTTCGACGATTGCCCAGCGTTGAGACACTGGCATCGGTCAACGTGGTCTGCACCGACAAGACAGGTAACTCATTCGTGCCCCAAGATGGTTGACCAACTTGCTGACTCTACCTAGGCACGTTGACAACAAATCATATGACCGTCACAAAGATATGGCATTTCGACGAGGCAACTCCGATTGATGTCAAGCAGAAACATGAAATCGCCGACCTTGACTCGCCGACCCGCAACATTCTGCGCATCGGCAATGTTGTAAATAATGCCCGTCTCCTGAGCGATGAAGCTGCATCAGCATCAACAGCGGCAGTGCTATCGTCAACCCTGGGCGATGACAACTCTTTAGCCAAGAGCCGATGGGTAGGTCAGCCAACTGATGTTGCCCTTCTCGACCTTCTAGACGCTTTTGAGGAAGACGATGTAAGAGCAAGACTAGGGGATCGTAAGTTCGAGACTCCCTTCAGCTCAGAAAGGAAGTGGATGGGTGTGGTGATCAACGGCAGCTCTGGTGGAGAGCTCGCCCCTCGCACCGATTTCGCATATATCAAAGGCGCCTTGGAGAAGGTGCTGGATCGTTGCGACACTTACGTTACCGCGCAAGGAAGAGAGGTTGTCATGGATCAAGCACGCAAACAAGAGGCCATGAAAGCGGCAGATTCGATGGCGCAAGAAGGGTTACGAGTCCTGGGTTTCGCAAGCGGGGTCTCCAAGGGGAAGAAAAGGAGTACCAGTGGCACTTCTTCACCAGCCCTATCCACAGGCTCCGCATTGGGTGACGACGAACAGTATCGAGGGCTCGCATTCGCTGGGCTTGTTGGCATGAATGATCCGCCACGAAAAGGCGTAGAAAGGGCCATTCGACGTCTAATGGCTGGTAAAGTCAAGGTCATCATGATCACTGGTGACGCTGAAACGACAGCAGTTGCTATCGGCAAGAGCCTAGGGATGCCAATTACTGCAAACTCAGCAATAGGACGCTCTGTGATTCGAGGCGACGAACTCGATCGGATGAGCGAGGAGGAGCTTGCACAAGCCATTGCAACAACCTCGATTTTTGCGCGTACCAGTCCGGAGCACAAGATGAAGATTGTCCGCGCACTCCAATCACGAGGGGACGTTGTAGCCATGACCGGTGATGGAGTAAACGACGCACCCGCGCTGAAGAAAGCAGATATCGGAATATCCATGGGTCGCTTGGGCACTGACGTTGCGAAAGAGGCGGCAGATATGATCTTGACCGATGACAACTTCGCGACGATTCTCAATGCCATTGAAGAGGGCAAAGGCATCTTCTACAACATTCAGAACTTCCTCACTTTCCAGCTCTCCACCAGCGCCGCAGCACTGAGTTTGGTACTCGTCAGCACCTTCTTGGGCTTCCAGAATCCGCTCAATGCAATGCAGATTCTATGGATAAGTGCGTCTCCCTCGCCTTCTCCGCAACACAACCAAACAGACATCCACTGACAAACCAAACAGACATCCTCATGGATGGCCCACCCGCGCAATCCCTCGGTGTCGAACCTGTCGACCCAGCCGTCATGGCGCTTCCTCCTCGCCCGCGCCACGCCCGCGTCCTCACGCGCCCCCTCGTCCAACGCGTCATCCAGTCCGCCGCCATTATCATGCTCGGCACACTCACAACCTATTACCGCGAAATGAGCGACGATAACTTGGTCACTGCGCGCGACACTACCATGACATTTACTTGCTTTGTGCTCTTCGACATGTTCAATGCGCTTACCTGTCGCTCATCCAGCAAATCCGTTCTAGCCGGCGAAATCGGCCTCCTGGACAACAAGATGTTCAACTACGCCGTGGCAGGCTCTCTCATTGGTCAATTAATGGTTATTTATTTCCCGCCGCTACAGCGCGTGTTCCAGACGGAGGCTTTGGGTTTGCTCGATTTGTGCCATCTACTGGCTATAGCGAGCTGTGTCTTCTGGGCTGACGAGGGCAGGAAATGGTATGTGCGGTGGAAAGGGAGACGAGGCTATGGAGCCGGGTATAGTACGGTTGTATGAGTAATCAGCTTTTGTGTAGGTAGGTATGGCATTGTAATTGATGGGTTGATGAGTCCATAAGAGTTCTACCTATGTATACAAATACAATAGACACGAGTATCCAGCTAGCAGGCCAGCCAGTCCTACTTTGTATAACTCAAGAAGTCATCTGGGCAGCTTGTTTGTCGAGGGGGCTGTAGAGATTCACTAATACCACTAGCCAAGGTGCTGAACGGACACTTCGCCGACGTTCATGAGTACGTTACTGTTCAACTAGTCTATCTAAATAGATCCTTGTTTCTACTTCGTCCAATATATCGTGGAGTAAAGAGAGGCATGTCGTCTTCAAAATTCCTCGCCAGGCTAAGATTCGCAAGGCAAAACCAAAACCAACACATTCAAAACGGCCAGACCCAGTCCTCCGTCATCTTCGGATCGATACCTTCATGGAACGCATAGTTCTTCGCTGCAATCTGCTCATTCAACAACGTGTCCCGGGCTGCAGCACCCTTGTTGCCCAGTCCGGAAACCCGGTCAATGGCATCAATCGCTAGACTGTAGCGATCAGTGCCGTTGCGAATGGCCAACTCCAAAGGCGTGTCAATGTTGCCCTTCTCATTGTATCCGCGAACGTGGAGGTTGTGCTGACCCTTGCGTCCGTACGTCAGGCGGTGGATCAACCACGGATACGAGTGGAAGTTGAAGATGCAGGGCTTGTCGTCAGTGAAGATGGCCTTGAACTCGTGCGCGCTGAGACCATGGGGATGCTCGCTCTCGTCTATGAGCTTGAACAAATCTACGACGTTGACGAAGCGGATCTTGAGTTGGGGCAGGTGTGTGCGTAGCAAAGCAGTCGCAGCGAGGGATTCGTGCGTAGATGTATCACCGCACGATGCCATGACGACATCAGGCTCTTCCCCCTTGTCATTGCTAGCCCACTCCCAGATTCCGAGGCCCTTGGTGCAATGTGCGATAGCTTGATCCATCGTGAGGAACTGCAGATGATCCTGTTTATCAGCAACGATGACGTTGACGTAGTTTGAGCTACGGAGGCAGTGGTCCATCGTTGAGAGCAGGCAGTTGGCATCGGGTGGGAGGTAGATGCGCACAATTTCGGGGCTCTTGTTGGCTACGACATCGAGAAAGCCGGGATCTTGGTGCGTGAAACCGTTGTGATCTTGTCGCCAGACGGTCGCCGTGAGGAGGATGTTCAAAGATGCAATCTTCTGCCTCCATTCAACTTCGAGGCACTTCTCAAGCCACTTGCAGTGCTGGTTGACCATGGAATCGATGATGTGGATGAAAGGCTCGTAGCTGTTGAGCAAGCCATGCCGTCCTGACAGAACGTAGCCTTCAAGCCAACCCTAGGGAACGTTAGCTGCGCTTCTATAGCAGAGATGAACATCATCTCACCTCACACGTGTGCTCTGATAGCATTTCCATGACGCGACCTGCGTGAGTCAAATTGCCACCATCCTTGTCTTCTTCGAAGTATTCGCCAAGCCAGACCTTTTGTCCGGCTTCATAAATCTTGGAGAGTTTGTTCGATTCGGTCTCGTCAGGGCCAAAGACACGGAAATCCTTCGGGTTCTCCTTGATCACGTCTCGAAGGAAGACAGCGAAGTTCGCCATGCTGCCAAGCTTGGAAACACCGCCCCTTGTAACCTCGACACCATAATTGCGGAAGTCGGGTACGTGAAGCTTCCGTCTGACAAGGCCGCCATTGGCAACTGGGTTGGCGCTCATTCTCCTGTTGCCCGTTGGGGCTAACTCTCTGAGCTCGGGGATAAGCTTGCCGGACTCATCGAAGTGCTTCTCAGGATGGTATTCGCGCATCCAGTCCTCAAGCAACTTGAGCTGTGCTTTGTCTTTGAGGACATTGGTGAGAGGCACTTGATGTGATCGCCAATAACCTTCCAGGTGGTGTCCATCGACCTTTTTCGGGCCAGTCCACCCCTTTGGTGTGCGAAGAACGATCATGGGCCAGCGAGGTCTAAAAGACTTGCCGGAATCACGAGCCTCTTTCTGATATTCGCGGATCTTTGTGATGCAGCGTTCCATCGTCGCGGCCATGGCTTGGTGCATCGTAGGAACATCGCTTCCTTCAACGAAGTAGGGCGTCCATCCGTACCCGATGAAGAGAGCTTCGAGCTCCTTATGGCTGATGCGGGATAGCACAGTCGGGTTGTTGATCTGGAGATGGTTAGTTGAGCGTCAAACAACTCGGACTCGGACCCAACATGCCTTGTAACCGTTCAAGTGCAGCACAGGCAATACAGCTCCGTCCGTAATGGGGTTGAGGAACTTGGTCGAATGCCAGCTCGTGGCTAAAGGTCCAGTCTCAGCCTCGCCGTCACCGACCATGGTAAGCGCGATCAGATCCGGATGGTCAAAGACGGCGCCGAAAGCGTGAGAGATGGAATAGCCAAGCTCTCCGCCCTCGTGCAGACTGCCGGGAGTCTCTGGTGTGGCATGCGATCCAATACCACCTGGGAAAGAGAACGACTTGAAGAAACGTCTCAAGCCCTCTTCATCTTCGCTCATGTCGGGGTAAACTTCGGAGTAGACGCCCTCGAGGAACGAGTTTGAAAGCACAGCCGGCGCACCATGGCCAGGGCCGGAAATGAAGATGGCGTCCAGGTCATACTTCTTGATCAATCGATTCTAATTGAGAAGAATATCAGCACACGGCTCATTTGGTGCATGTCACGACGCTGCGTACCATGTGAATATACGTGAAGCTTTGTCCAGGGTCTGAGCCCCAGTGTCCCAGCAATCGTCGCTTGAGATGGTCCACCGTCAGCGGATCGCGGAGCAAAGGATTCTTCTTCAGGTAGATCATTGCTAGGCACATGTACAATGACGCGTGGAAGTAGTCGGTCATCTTGCGCACTTCCTCATCACTGAGCGGGTGCTCCGTGATGGAGGATCTGGCGGGTCCGAACGGAGACAAGCTCAAGTTCTCGACATCTTCGGTGACCTTCTCCGGGTCGACCGGAGCGGTCGTGAGCATGGCGTCCATGTTTGCTGGTGAGGTAGTAAGGCGTGCGCCCTCTGCACGTCAGGTTAGAGTCGCGTCGGGTGTCGCAACAGCTGTCGGTGGAAGCGTACAAATGGTGGAGCGCGACAATGAAGTCTTGGAATGCTACAAGGTATAAATCAGGCTGTCAATTGAGCCTGAGGAAGAGGAGTATGATGGTTGGAATGAACAAAGGGTCCCTGCCTGAGAGCTTTATGAGCTCGCCGGCCGCACCGAGGCTGTGCCATTGGCCGTTGGCAGGCGGGATCGAGATACTGCATACGTATTTCCTCGTAATTCCTTGCGACGTGAAAACGGGTGGTCGAATTAGATCTCTGATTGTTTGCATGCCTTGCTGCGTCATGACAAAGTATCCGGTCACCCCACTACCTAGGTAGGTCACTCCAGGGCCAGAAGCGGTTAGTAGCTAAGAGTACTGAGAGGCGCACGCCCTGCCATCTCACCCTCACCTGATGTTTTGTCGCCTGCATGTACGCCATCTTTGCAACCCAATTTTTCCTTCAAGTCAAGAGCTCTGCAGACATGGCTATATGCCGATATGCTGGCCTTGAGCCTCTCGCTGTGTAACGTCGCCGTACTCCGACTCGGTTACCGGAACATGGCGGACGCGTATTGCATGTGCTTCTTGATCCATCTGATTATTTCCGATACGGTAGGCCAATGCCACTAACTCCAACGTCGACCCCGCCAACCCACCCACCCTGGAGCAACCCTTGTAAATCCTACGTCTTCTGGTGATCAATCATACGGTGCCTGGATATCTACCGGGTCCTTACGTAAAGCCTACAGCGAGGGAAATCGATGTTGTCTGCGGGCAGAAGGGGGAGAGGAAATGCCATGAATCATACAACTACGACCTCTAATGCATACCGTAATCGCCCTCTGCAGCAAGTGTCCTCTGGCACTCGGCAAATATCGCAGCCTGCCTTGCGACATCCGCCAACCGACCTATAACCTGCTTATTTCCATCTACGAACCCGTACAAGGCGTAGGGGATATCCACTTCGTTGCAGAATTCTTGGACCAGCTTCTGTGTCTCTCGAAGTCTATGCCTGGGAATCCTTGGGTACAAGTGATGAATGGCCTGGAACTGAAGACCACCGTGGAAGAAATCTAGCCATTGCGGGCACTCGACATCCATGCTTGTGCGTAGCATCTTCTGCGCAAACGACTCATGAATGCCAAGATCGGCGGTGCTCATTGCGAAATGGGAGAGAGTAATCTGAATGTGGAGTGGTGAGGTCAGAGCATGGCTGATTAACACGAACCAGAAGCGGCTCCAGTTGGTTGGAATCGACTTGTACACGACTCCGTAGCCGTACCAGGTCCAGAAGACTGCTATACCAGTGAGCTCAAAATAGCGATGCCACCACGCCGAACCCTTTTTCGGTCCTTTCCCGCTCATCAAGTGCTCCAAGCTCAATCGGTAGAGATTGAAACGCGCAAACAGCATAATAGGATAGTACGTGTAGTGTTGGATCCTGACCAAGACCTTCGCAACGGCGTCGTACTCCATGACCCTCTCGTAGTAGGTTGTCGTAAGGCCCTGCAAAAAACGGTGCGTAACGGCGAAAATTGGTATATACTGGATATCTGGATCATGCTCTGGGTCGTTCGTGACGAGGTGGTGAACGTTGTGGTTGTACTTCCACCAGCAGGCGCTCAAGCCGCCCACATACGATGCGATGAACATGGCGATGGTTGAATCGGTCGTGAAGTCGTGGGTAACGCCAATATGTCCAGCATCATGAACAGTAAATGTAAGCTGGTGCCACAGACAGGCCAGAGGAATGGCACTTGTAATATACCAGCCATGGGACAGGAGGTAAAGAAACGCGCATAAGAAGAATCCGTAGCGTAAGCATTCGATTCCGTAGGATGCATAGTGGCAATCGTACAAACCCTCAGCGACAATGCGCTGTTGTAACTCCCGGTATTTCTGGGTGATGTTATCTTGCGTCTTGAAGTCTACCGATGGGTATTTAGCCTTGTCAAAGTCTAGCTCCTGTTGTGTTCGCCTGTCAAGCACCGACATCTTCGGTGAGGGTGTTGTCTCGTCAAGATCGACTGACGATATGGATGAGGTAGAGGACGGTCGAAGGATCGTCGCGTTGCGTTGTCGTAAGGAAGCGGCAGGACGGTCGGCCGGCTCGAACACTGGGCTTTGGTCTGCCGAAGAGGAAGAGCTGGGCGTCTCTTGCTCTGACGAGTGACCTGATTCAAGATACTCTTCTTCTGACAGTCTATCCAGCTCCTCTTGTGATCTGAACTTCCCTCCCTGAATTGGCGGTAGGAAATTTGTCCATCGTCCTTCAATACGGCCAATCTGGTAGCGGTTCATGAGCTCAAGTGTCTGCGAGGAGTGGAACCTGGTACATGATTGTTAGCAGGAGAGAGAATCAGTTTGCAAGCAGTGAACGGACATACCGAGTGACCTCGTCTGTAGCATCTCGTCCTACCATATGCCGGATAGCTTTGTCCCCACCAGGATGGTACGGCAGCCAAGCGTCGGCTTTCAAGACTTTGTTGTCTACTATGAAAATGGAGCGGCCATTGGCAATCTGTGCCTCAATCTCCCTTCGGCTGAGGATCCTCGACTTCCTCTGCAATTGTGCATCCATGATTGCGGTGTGGTACACAGTGGAGGATACAAAATTCTGGGTACGGTTCTAATGACGAGCGAGCGCTTACGTGTGGGGATCTCACGACATCATTGGCATCAAGCCAAAACGAAATGGTCTGCAAAATGCTACCAAGAGCCAGCCACGGGAAAAAGAGAGGATGAGGTGACAAAGTCGGTGTTGTCTCTCTCCGCCGCGGTTGAGGAGCTAGGACCCTTGCGCCACCATTGCGCCTCGCTTGCCCCACGTGGAATTTGTGACAAAACGGTTGCTCCAGACCCACATACCCATCACCCGACTTTGAATGTGTGCATTTCAACCCAGTGGCTGCTACTCTCCATCAAGAAACAAGTCCAAGGCCAAGCTTGATATGTAAGAGATCCGGCATGCGCTTCCGGAGAGTGTACAAAACCAGCAGGTGTACCAAGAGAGAGCTGGTGCTCTTCCCGCTTTATTAACCCCGGCCAACTCCGCCATCACCAGATTTGCAAGAACTTTATAACCTGGCTCTTTTTCAACGCCTTGATACCCTTATCAGGGTCATCCCACAAGTAGACTATCTCCTGTTTCTTATGACTCAATAATCCTTCCTCCCCTCTTCCGCGATAATCTGGCCCACCACCAACAGCATCATGACAGAGGACATTAAAGAGCTAGCTCGGGAGTGGCTAGAACTCGACGAGGATGAAACCACAACCGACGAGATACACAAACTGCTAATTCGTGGCGATACCAGTGAGCTCGAAAAGCGACTGCGGACTCGCATTGCGTTTGGAACTGCTGGGCTCAGAGGGCCCATGCAGGCCGGCTTCGCGTGTATGAACTCCCTAACAGTCATCCAAGCATCCCAGGGATTGGCGGCATACCTCTTGAAGACTGAGCAGCACGTCAAGGCAAGAGGCGTAGTAATTGGCCGGGATGCACGTCACAATTCAGAAAAGTTCGCCAAGCTCACCGCAGCAGCCTTTGTCGCAAAGGGAATCAAAGTGTGGTGGTATGAAGATCCTACACATACACCCCTTGTTCCTTTCGGTCTGCGGGAGTTGGGTGCCGCCGCTGGTGTCATGATTACGGCAAGCCATAATCCAGCCCAGGACAATGGATACAAGGTGTACTGGTCAAACGGGTGCCAGATCATTCCTCCTCACGACAGCGGGATTGCCGAGTCTATACTAGAGAACCTGAAGCCAGTCAGCTGGGACACATCCGCTGTGGACGAGAGTCTTCTCGTGGAAGGCGCTTTAGGGCTGGTTAATGACAAGTACCACAAGGTGATCCTCCATGCAGCACAGCCTGGGCGCGTCCAGGTCAAGATGAACCCGGATATTAAGTTTGTGTACACACCCATGCATGGTGTTGGTCTCGTTGCGATGAGGCAATGCACGGAGACGCTGGGTATTGCTTCCCAGATGACTGTTGTGAAAGAGCAAGCTGAGCCTGATCCCGACTTTCCAACCGTCAAATTTCCAAACCCAGAAGAGAAGGGGGCGCTCGATCTTGCCATGCAGACAGCAGACAAGGCATCGATACGCTTGATTCTGGCTAGCGATCCAGACGCGGATCGTCTGGCGGCAGCAGAGAGGGTTGACGACAGATGGCACATATTCACTGGAAATCAGCTTGGAGTACTGATCGGCTCATACCTCTACGAACGATACCCGGCTTCCAAGCCTCGATATGACCTCGCCATGCTAGCATCGACAGTCAGCTCCAGGATGCTAGCGGCGTTGGCCAAAAAAGAGGGATTTCACTTCACAGAAACATTGACGGGCTTCAAATGGCTCGGAAATGTGGCGCGCCAGCTCGAAAGCCAAGGTTACGACGTCGTTTACGCGTTCGAAGAAGCGCTGGGTTACATGATACCTCAAACCGTACACGACAAGGACTCGATCAGCGCAGCAGCCATCTTCCTCACAGCCGCGTCACACTGGTCCACGCAGGGCCTCACACCATTCGCTAAACTTCAGCAGCTCTACGAGTACCTAGGATACTTTGAGGACGCGAATACATACCTCGTATCGCCATCGGCAGCGGTAACGACAAGCGTATTCACGGCGATTCGCGCATTGGGCAACCCACACCCCAGCACCATCGGACCCCGCAAGATCGTGCGTTGGCGAGATCTGACCCTGGGCTATGACTCAAAGAGCGAGGACCACATACCAGATCTGCCGGTGGATGCGACTAGCCAGATGATCACCTGTGAGCTGGACGATGGGGCGGTATTCACAGTCAGAGGGAGCGGGACTGAACCCAAGATTAAGCTCTACATTGAGTGCCAAGGAAAGAGCAGCGAAGAGGCCAAGAAGGGAGCTAATGGGATATTGGGAGATCTGCTACGAGAGTGGTTCAAGCCGGAGGAGAACGGGCTGAAGCTTGCGTGAGGTGGACAAAAGTACTTGATGAGTATAGACTTTAGACTTGGTGGGGGCATGAGCATGTACTGGAGTTCTCAAACAGAGCACAATAGATACGCACCTGCATCTTGAGCTGGGTTGTAGCCGCCGAGAAGGTTACATGATGTTACACGACTTTTCTTCAACAACGTCTCTCGGGTAACACCAAGATTGTCGCCGATGGAGGTCGTCACTCTGATACGTACTACTCGTCGCGTTCCCATGATGTGGTAGAAGTAGTATTGCCTCGTGTTCCAGATACGCGCACCTTGATAATCAGTCGGCCATGTAACCGGTGTGGGGCGCTGCATGTCAAGGCCTCGAGAGGTGATCTATCACATCCTTAAGCTCATAGCGTCCTCCCGTTTCGAGCAGTCTGCCAATGCAGCACGCCATGGACATGTGCAGACGCAGCGCTGACGACAGCAAGTCACGTACATTTCTGCCTTGAAAATGCTCGCCAACACCAGGCGGGTATCGGGGTCTAGTGTTGGCGCTACCCACGGTGCCATGGTCCCGCCTGTTCGAGGTGCAGATGCGGGATGGTCCTTTGAGTCTGGTCCAATCGTGGGCGGCCGCCGTAGTGGATATAGGGCAAAAAGCGACAGGTCGTCTTCGTTAAGAGGCGCGAATTTTTGCTGTTGGATGGGTGTAAGGACAGGGGATAGTTCGCCCAGCGCTGAGCTAAACATGGCGTCCGCGAGTTCCCCGGATGTTTTGTGTGTGTTTGAGCGTATCAAGCTGTCGCGATAGCTGCATAGGCGCGTTTCCACACCACTGGGAGCGTTAGAGGCGTCATTCACTAGCCGTTGCGAGGGCATGCGTGCCTGCAGCCAAAGAGTCACGGCCGGGCAAGATGATCGAGTACCAGTATGGTATGGTATGGACGGCCTCCTCGCTCCACCACCCCCCTCAGTGCTCCACTCTCCCAACCCAACCCAACCCTCGTCGCCCGGCCAATACACGCGATATATAATAAAAGCCTCGTCGCCTGCCCCCCGAAGGAATCTGGTTCCTTCGCAAGCTGCTCGCAAGACTCTCGGTACGCGCGCTCGGCCGCCCCCACTAAAAAAAAGGTCCCTGAGTTTCTGTGCTAACAGCATCAAGGCCATCATAGACGCCCAAGACATGTCTCACTCCTAGATCGAACGCGTCCTCTGCGGGATGCTCAGCTGCAGCCGTCCATGGCGGGCTTCGCACACCCAGACACGGCTCTTGCGCACCCAATTCTCCCCGCGACGCCTGATCGAGCACCGTCCTCGAGACAATCCCTCCCCAATGGGCCGTGCAACTATCGCGACGCAGCTTTAGGACAATGTGGATGTGACCAGTTCTGGGACAAGGACAGCGCCGACCTCCACGATGGAAGCGCTGCGCATCAACCGACCAGCGAGCGCTCCACCTGGTGTGTCTGCAAACACCATGCTTGCTTCCATCTGAGAGTGTCGCGTGCCTCTGAGCCACCCGCGCCCTCGATAGCTACTGCCATTGCTCCTTTGCATGCCAACTGGAACGACCAGGCTCAATTGCTGCCGGGGTCGCAGTCCAATGCATACACAGGTGCTAGAAAGCGCGAGGCCCCTCGTTCCCCACAAGATACTACTCAAATTGTACACAATGGCCACATCATCAAGACATCTCATGCTGGGCCTAGTCGCTATGAACAAGGTCGGGACACTCCATCGCAGACCAGCACGACTGGCCTTCCTGGAATCCCTTCAGTGTGCAGGCTATCTTATGACCAGCGTCCAGCAGCTGACAATGCATCTAGGCATGGCGTAGACCAGTCTCGCCACACTGTGGCAGGCCTCGGTCTTTCAATGATGCATTTGGAGAGCAGGGGCACTATTAACCGTCAACAGTCTCCTTCGCCGACGATAGCTGACGACGCCAGTGTCGTTCCCGTCCCCCAAAGATCCTACAGTGATCCAGAGATCGCCTCGACAAGAGCAAACTCTATTCAGATCGAAGCGAACCGAGTCCTCAACCCGTCGCGTGGCATTATAGACCAAGTGTTCGAATTCAATCGTAACCTCCAACTCGACGTGCCCGGCGATACCATTCCGAACACGTACAACCCCGACGACTTCATACAAAGCGCTACAGAGGTTGCAACACCAAGTGTGAGGAACACACCCGATCTTGCTGCTGCCGACCAAGCTGTGCAGGAAGGGAAGAAGCTGATTGACACGCTCGCCCGCCTGACGTCAAACACGCCGCAAGCAAACGGCTCACCGGCGAGGCCAACGAGCGCGGCGTCCGCTCCTGAACAACAGCTTTTATTGACAAACTCTCCTTCAGCGCCGCAAGAGCAGCTGCAAACCCTCCTTAGATCGGCATCCCCGCAAGGTCTCCAAAAGTTAGTTTCGTATCTAGCCCCACTGCACAACCTTTTGAACTCGATCCCAAATGTAGCCAACACCATGAGGGACCTCGGCAGCCGCTTGGATATGCTCGAGAACGGATCCTTTAACTATGTCCAGCCTGAAGACCTCAACCAAACTCTTGAGATGTATGAAGGCAGACTCATCGAGATTGAGCATCGTATGGATGAACACGAGCGATATCACCAGGCAACCGATGACCAGCACAGTAGTAGCTCGTTTAGCAGAAGGCATCTCGATAATGTTGCAGCGTCCTTTGGTTCCAATCACTCTTTGCAATCCACCACATCGTCAGCAGTTATCCTTGCTGCCATGGACCGGAAAGATACGGATATGGAGATTGGTACGATCAAAGATCGTCTAGACTTGCTTGAGGCAGCATCTCTACCCACCACACTCAATCCTTGGGAAGTTGAGGTCGTTTTGTTACCGTGGGGTCGAGAACTGCGCGGCATCTGGTTTTCGCCTGACGAACCCATGCATAGCTCGTCCAGGACCACGACCCAGGACTCGGAAGAGTGGACACAAGCGCGGGCCTCGAGGCTTGATCCAAACCTATCATCTCCGCAAGATCCGACACGAGATACAGACTCGAGTCCTCAACCCGGCACTAGGTCGCAAGCCAAAGATTCCATCTTCAGTGAAACCGAAAGTGGCTGGAGTAGCCAAGCCATCAGCGATTGGGCTTCCAGGTCGACTGACGACTGGCTCTTCCCAAAAGGCTGCGGCAGCAACAACATGGTTTACAAAAGGCTCCAGAGTCGAGGTTTCATACGACAGGTCACAATGAAGGGTGCTAGTGCTAGAGACATCCAAGCTACTCTATCAAATGCATTTAGCGATCTACTGGAGCACCTGAGCTATACCGATCAGGATCAGCATCCGACCATCGCTGCGTATCCTGGCCTTCGAGCCTCCTTCATTCCTTTACGAAAGGTTTTGAAGGAGTCTAAACTTCGCTTCCTGACACCGGCCGAGATGGCTAGCTCCGCACTATGGTCCGCGCAGTTCCTCACTGCCGGTGTTATGATGCGCGTATCAGGTGGCAGGAAAAGGTTGTATGTGACACATCGCGAAGCATACATGCAGCAAAGCGATGCAATGGGGACTTCATGGACGTGGCAAGAGCTACGACAATTGCCCCGCTTCCAGCCTGATCAAGACTCGCAGATGGAAGGCAACGATGAGCACTGCCAGCCCGAGGTTCCAGAGGCAGATGCGAAGGAAGCCTGCTGGCAGTTTGTCGAGGCCTACGATGCCCCTCCTGCTAGCGTTCACTCCTCGTTCAGCAGTAACCAGTCAGTCCAGCTCTCTATGCGGCCAGCTGATCGTCAATGGCGACGGTCGATTACCCCGAGCTCAATCCTAAAGAACAAGTATCTTCAGCCTATCTCTCCCTTGAGCGAGTTTCCTCCACAACGGCCGAGTCAATTCCGGAACCGCACAGCTTCTGCCTCTGTCGTCAACACCTTCCCGCCTGGATCGTCAAAGCGCCGCTTCAATTCGTCTCCAGTCAAACAATCGTCTGCTCCGCAAGCCACCTCACGCGCTCCAAGTATCTCCATAGCTAGGCTCAAACGCCGTCGCGTCACAGACTCTTCGTCTCCGCGACCAGAAGAGAACGTGCGTGCTGAAGCGCAAACCACAATATGGGCCGCCACCCCGCGACGTTCCAGGGAACCGCCTTCTCCATTCTATTCGTCGCAGCTCGCACTACCGCGCACGAACTCGGATGTGACGAGCCGACCGAGCCAACGATCCATTGCTGTCGTAGGTAAATCGACGCCGTTTGCATATGCAACCCCACATTCTGGGCCGTTTGTTGGCGGCCACGACTTTAGTGCCTACAGCAACGGCGGAGATACCGAACCTGACGACGACGACGATGCGTACAATGATGATGACGGGGAGGCAAGCTGGCGCGGAGTAACCGATGGCGATGAAGACAGTGCATCGAGCTCCGCATCTGACGCGCATGCTGGAGCAGAGGAACCAGGCAGCTTCTCGGGTGAAGATAGTGGATTTGAATCCGAAAGTGGAGATGATGGACGCTCAGAAGTGGAAGGCGGATTTGGCGCTCAGCAACAGCACAATGATGATGACGAGGAAGAGGACGTTTTTGATTCCTTACTCGATGTACTGGAGCAGTAAAGCGACTGCGGGGTTGTTTATGATATGTGGATATGTATTGATTTTGGGTTTGGGATTAGGCGCACTACGAGTAGGGGTCCTGGACTTTTAGGGTATCTTTTCTGTGCTTTACGGATACCACGACAGTCAGGACACACCGGAGAACGGGCTGTGGGCAACTTTTTTGGGCAAGGCGAATGCTCTTGTACGATTCTTGTTTCGTATATTCGGCTGCGCATTCTCACCGCAGCGATCATCTTTCATCAGGCCCTGCTTTTCCAGTCGGGGTTGTATACTATCAAAATTAGCATCGGACATCCTGCTCTCCTCGACCTCGCTGTCGCACTCTGCCTGCCACTTTCTCGTCTCCACCCTCATTGCCGCCCTGCGCTCGTCTCCAACACCAACGCTCTGTCAGACTCCCCTCGTCACCCATCAGGCTTATCACACGCTACGAACGGGTCGCTAAGGGTTGGCTGCGAGGTATATAGGCTGCGGCAGCGGTTCAATCAACATACACGTAAACCTACTGCCATCTCGCCTATTAGAAGTGTGATTGAGCGATCTTTACACTTGCGTTTGTTTTTAGGGGGGTTTGTCTTTTCTAGGGCGATTTAATCGGTTTAGAGGGAATTTAGTATGTTTTTCAAGGAGATAGACTTCTAGGGGCCGGCACGCGCTCTTAGGGAGCGGCCTTTAGAAGACTACTTACTCTCAAAGCCTCTGAGATAGACGCTAGAACCCACGCCACTAATACTAGCGTTCCTTATCATTGCGCGAGCAACCATCAGACATCAATGTGACCGGAGCCAGGTTGTGTAGATGCACTGCATATTTTTTGGCGGCAGCCAAGGGTTTAGCTGCACTAAATTCTGCCTATATTTAAAGGCGTTTCTCACGCGTTCCCACTCTTATAGCTATGGCGCTACGCGTTGGGCAAATCGTGCGGGTGCGAAAGGGACCTATGAGCTGTTCCGCGCTCTCAAAGGCTTGACGGTGTTCAAGGCGAAAGTTTTGTCCAGCCCGTCCAATCAAGCAGAATGGCAAGAGTCCCACCCACACAATATGCCAGAGATCCACGGCACCTACTAACTATTCTTAAATTCCAGGGCCATAATCAAGACTGCGACGACTAAAGATGAGAGTATGTGCTTGCGTAGAGAATACAACAACTACCAAGTCCAGGAGATTGCAGCATGCCCGCACATTCGCACTTTGTGTGATACAGTACGATCAGATAAAAGCCCAGAAGACCTATCTTGCCTGGTTTTTGAGTGGATGGACTATGATCTACGCTCAATCATTGCACCTGAGCTACGTAGCCGTCCTGTTCTGCCCAAGGCCATGTCTAGTGCTGTTCTATCCGCACTTGCTGTGTTGAAGTCGGTACATGGTGTACACACTGGTAAGATAACAATACTAGGCACCTTCTTCTACCGCTGACTCAATAAACTAGATGTCAATCCAAACAACATATATCTCTCTGACGTTGACGGAAAGTTTCCGATCGCGAAACTTGGTGATCTCGGTAACCGTAAGTGTTTCACTTGACTCTTAACCTAGAGTCGCCTCTTATCAACTGTAGTAATGGAGGATGGTTCCATAAAACAGCGCTGCCAGAGTTTACCTTGCAGAGCACCAGAAGTATGGCAGGGCCAATCATGCCGTCATGCCTCGGATATATGGTCTCTCGGTTCCACAGTTAGTATTAGTTTTTATCTCTGATAGATTACAACAAAGCTAACAACCGTAGTTGACTACTGTTTTATCAGCAATTCCTCTCTTTGGCGCTAGTGATAAGATAATAAAAGGGGAAACCGAAGCATGGTGCATTGCAAAGATTATCCGTCTCGTCGGGCCTGTACATCATCCTAACAAAGACCATCTATACAAGGAGGAATTCGAGCGTGCTGAAGAAATGGCAGTCATGGATCATCCACGTGGCCCTGAGATGAAGCTCATCACCAGAGTGAACTGGCGCGAGGAGTTGGTAAACATCCCGGATCCGCCCGTCCCATCTGATCTGCTGGATTTCATTGAGACGATGCTTGCCATTGATCCTGAGAGGCGTCCTACGGCTTCAGACTTGCTGATGCACCCCTACATACGATCGAGTGGATAATGAGGCATTTGTTTCGCAATGCGTGCAGCTTAATCCACGTCCAACAGTGTGCACGAGCTCGACATGTAGCCTAGGAATGCGATCAGCTCTTAAATACAGCATTTCACAGTCTTACTAACAGTCCTGCATTGGAAAGTAAGGCTAGTGGCATTATCTATGCTATGGCTACATGCTCGTGATAAAAGAACAGTTTCTTCAGGATAAGATCTCACACAATGAAAAACAGGTTGCGAAGTACTAAGATAACGGAATAGGTTAGAAACCAGGCTTATGCTGTGAAGAAGCAACGAATACGAGGTAAGAGTGCAAGGAAGAGTTATATGGGGCATGTACTGGTGATCCCTGAATGGCGTCAAGGCTTAAGCAGTACAGCCCACGGTCAGCGAGCAGCCTGACGGGTGGTCTGTCAACCGGCTTATAGTTTTTAATAGTACTAATCTTAGTAGAGTTTAAGTAAAATAGTTAGCTCGCTAACGTAGCTACCTTACTTGTATATATCTTAGTATGAAGTATTACTTTCTTTTACCTTTTCTTAACTTTTTCTCATTGGTAATTACCAGTTTCCTAACCTATCTTAAAATTACTATTTAGTAACTACTAAGTAAATCCATGTTAGAACCCAAGGCGCTTTTCGTACTCCTTCCATGCACTCCCAATCGGCTGTATCAGCGTATAACTCAGCGCCGTAGTACCCAACGGCTGCACACCCGTGACCAAATACAAAGGCGTCATCTCTCCATCCTCACTGAAAAACACTTTGGGTCGTTCCCGCCGATTGAACGTCTGCACGCTCCCATCCGTGAAAGCGACAGTGGAATTAAACGCTTCATGTAACTTGAAATTCCACCGCCCTTGGAGCGTGCGAGCAAACATGTGCGCGCCCACGCGCGGATACTTTGTCCCCTTCTTTTCGACAATGTCAATCATCCAGTGCGCAAGCGCGTGCCAATGGCCTCGCTTGTCTTGCCAGACAAAGGGATCTTCGGTCCATGTGGGACTGTAATCGGACGTGTTCCACGGCGGCGTAGTGTGGACGAGCTTGTACGCCGCATCCCAGCGGTCCGCGACATAAATCTTTAGATCTTCCGCCGCGAGTGCGATTCTCGAGTCTATAGCATCGCTCCCTTGATGTGATGAAGCGGAGAGGACGGGAAATGGCGCTGGATTCGTCCCATTAACAGTGATATGGAACTTTGACCACGGGCCTTGGATCGACGACGCAGCAGCGACAGAAATATTATTCGGCCAGGACGTTTTGGACACGGATTTACAACTCGACGGATCCGCGACGTCGACACCAATCGTCCAGAGGAGATACTTTTCCTCGGCAGGATACCAATGCACATATGCATTATGTCGAAAACTCCCCGTGACGTTCTGCACCCACGTATACGGCCCTTGCGGACCGGTCCTCGACTCCGCTCTCGCAACAAACGAAGTAGGTCTCCACGCGCTCAGGCCACATCCATGACCGAACTGGTCGACGAGGAGATGGAAAAGTGCTGGGTCCCCACGGTCTTGGATGATTTGCCCGCCCCAGGAGGAATTGCCGCGGGTATTGTAGTACGTGGGGTCCGTGTAGTTTGTGTGGTTGTAGCCTGTCCAGCGGGTTGCGGGCGCGAGGTCAAGGTGTCCGCAGTCCGATCCGAACCAGCCAGCGTCGCAGAGGCAGGAGTGCGTTTGGGGCGCGCAGATGCCGTTGAGCGAGCAGTCTTCATCTGTTGTACATGTTTGTGCTTGTACGAGGGCGAGGGAGGAGAGAGCTGTGAGCGAAAGAAGGAGAGTTGTCAGCTGCATCATAGGTGGTCTAAAATGTTCTAACATGCGTAGACAGACGTTCGGTACAGCATAACAAAAGAAATGTACTTCTTCCCATACTAATTAATATCCATGTCCCTTTTTGGTTCCTATCCCGTTTCCAAGCCTCCTTCTCTATTTACCGATGATCATGCCAGATTAACTCTAAACTCTGGGTAGCAACGTCGAGATGACCCGAAGGAAACGAAAAATCGGGGTAATTCATGCTAACAAAACTCATACGTTTACCCCGCATTCATTTTACCCTAAATTCCACCACTAATCCCCCATGCATTATTTTCATCGAAGCGAGGCAAAAGGCGGGTTTGTAGGCTTAGTGTTGAGTCTGCGAGAGACTTGCCAGCCAGAGAGCGGCGGTATGATAGGTTTACTTCTTCCTAATTATCACTATCTACTTCACATTAGAGGATGTGGAAGGGTAAAAATTAAGCATGGTATAGTATGTGAATTGCTTTGTCGAGCCGTCGTTATGGGCCCTGATATGAGCGAACGGTCTCGTACTCTATGAATCACGTACTTCGGGACTCGGCCGTAGTGTGGATTTCGTTCTCGTCGTCATCAGAAAACTTCTTTCTCACGCACATGGCTTATGAAATGCCCATTGCGCTCTTTTCTACTTCTCCTGTGCCGTGCTAATACACATCTGAAGCACTACTTCAACTTGTCGAACTGCCCTACGAGTTGCGGTCCTCCTTCATAAAGTCGAGTCGTACCGTGTACCATGTACCATGTATCGTGCCCCAGCCATATTAATCGGGTGCTTGTCAGCTACGCTCTCAGAAATCTCCATGTTTTGCTAAAATGGTCAACACAACTGGATGGACCAGCCTTGAGTGAGAGATCCACCTGTGATCAAATAATATTTCTCGTCGTTTTTGGGCGCAGTCTTTCAAGGCGTCTTCTGCGCGCCCCAAACAATGCTCTCCATAAGCGCGTACGGGCTTGATTCCAAATCCAATCCCAACAACGGACTCTGGCTAAATAGATTCCCGTCGCCATTTTGTAGCGCATTATTGAGATCGTCCGCAGTGAAAACATGCATCGTGGGGCTCGCCTGACTCCCTGAGTCGCTCGTGTTCCGATTATGCGGACTCGTAATCTTCAACAGCCGCTCAAGCGCCGACACCGATCTTGTGATTGGCGTAGCCAGCTCCGCAGGATCAACGTCCTTGGTGACGTCGGTCAGGATTTGGATTATGTTTTGGAGCAAGCCGCGGGCGCGCTCGTTGCGGTTGTGTTCGCCGAGGATGCCGAGGAGCAGGGCGGAGCTGAGGGATCGGTGGACGGCCGCCCAAGAGCGGGTTGCAAAGGGCGTCATGTTTTGCAGGCCGAGAAAGGCCTCGACGGTGTTGGTGAGACTGTCGATACACGACTTTCGCAGTGTTTTGGAGAGGTCAAGACCGGCAGTGCTGGGGCTAACGGCAGGTCGACAGAGCTCGGAGGTGATGTACGAGATGTGAAGGTACAGGGCCCAGTGTTCTAATTGATCGCGCATCGAACGACACCGTCTTGAGTCTTTCAAGTAATCGGCTGCTTCTACCATGATTTCTTGGAGCTCGTTTCGGTGTTCAGTAATCCTGATCAAAGCATCGTGGGAGTTTTGCGGTCGTTGTCGCTCGCGGACAATGTCAAGGCCTACCTTGCACAACCGATACATGCTTTCGACGTAAGTCCTTGTACCGGGCGCTGTATGTTGACTGAGGGGTACGGTGTGGTCGATGGTAGTTGTTGACGAAGCCCTGTCGTATGAAACGGACAACAACGAGTCCTGCCACAGCAATGCCCACCAGACTTTACTTCGAACAATCTTCTGTTGCACGGGGGTGGAAGGAGGACACAGCCGATGTAGCCCAAGCGTCTGTGAAAGACGAACTGTGAGACCCATCAGGCTCCAGGCGACTCCAGCGTTCATGTTATTTGAAATGACGTTTCCGAGAATCAGGAGTGTCTGGATGTTTTCCAACGTCGCATGCGAGAGGAAATTGGTGAAGCGCAGGCATTCGAAACTGCAACACACATAGACTTGCGATGTCAACTCCCGCTCTCTTCTCGACAGACTTGAGCATTGACAGCCCGAAGCTAGGATGGCAAAGACAAGTCCAATCCAGTGGAAGTCTTTGGTGTAGATCTGCTGGTCTGTTATGCCATTGGAGCCGTGCGAGCTTGCACGGTTAATCAAGAACAGCAGGAGTTCTGATTCAATGCCCTCAATGTCAGCGACGGCGGGATACACAACATGGGCAGTTTCGCGATAACTCCGGAAGAAGCTCAAGCATTCTGAATCGCTTGGTAGGGCGTTGGCGAGTTCGGTGGCGCGCATGATCGAACCGTGGGGAAGGCCCCATAGGTCCACAAAGGGATAGGTGGCGCTCTCGTTGTCCAGGCCGAAAATGGGCAGCATGCTCTTCTTGCCCAAGAGATCCTGTACACCGGGCGCCCACTGTGTGTCTCCTCTCCCCAAAGCCATGACAAGTGCAGGTACGGAGCTGGGCCCAATATGGATGGTCTGGCCGGTGATGTCGTTGCGCGTGTGTATGCCTTGGGTTCGAACATGGCTGTGCTCGCCATCTATCGGGGCAGTAGCAGCTAATGGCGTATTTCCAGACGCGGTAGGAGAGAAGCCGTTTATAGGCGGCGGCACCTCTGAGACGCTGCTGATGGAGTTTTTCAGCTCGCCGAGCGACTTCTCGGCCTGCTGTAATTTGGCGCATATGTGCTCCCAGTCCTGGTTTTTATTGTTAGCGATGGACCCGTCCCATGGTCCTTCAGCCGCATATGCGCACCTCTCTAGGTAGGGTGACGGTTCCGCCGTGTATGTGGACTATGCCATTCGAAAAGTCTTGTCCGTTCTGCCCAAGGCCCATGTTTATGCGTTTGGCGGGCGGATGCGCCTCGGTGGGCGGGTGGTAGGTACATAGCTCTGGATGTTCGCGAACAACGCATGTCTTGCAAGGCACATTCTGATCGCACTTTACTTTTCGCTGCCTACACGGGTAGCAGGCCTGGTGAAGAGTTAGCCCAAGCAAGGAGCCTCAAGGTAGGGCACTACAATACATACCTTGTACTCGCGCGCCTTTCGCTTCCGTCTCAAAATCTCGTCGACATCAGAGCGCTGCGGTGCATCTGGCGTCAATCCCGACTGCGACTGGTCAGGCGCCTTGAAGTCGTCCATGGTCGCGAAGCAGGAAGAGAGTGATGTAACTTCGAAGAAGGGCCGGATAGACGCGCTCGGTGGAGTTGGTTGCTCTGCTGCTACGTCTTTCGGCTCCGCTCAAGCGCCCCCACTCAAACTCGAGCAGGGGTAGGTAGAGGTCGATCTGCGGTTGGCTAGTGGGTTGCTAATTGCTTAAGTCACGGGCCTAAGGAAGCGAGCCGAGGACTCTTCCAAGCTTCTTTGTACCTAGCCGCCCTTACGACAAGGAATAATTTCTCAAGCTTTGCCCGGTAATAGGGAGTGATGCCCTCAAATCTCTTCAATGGCTCCGTTCGCCGAGTTCCTCCACTGGTCGATAGATGCTGCCTGGGACTCTTTTGGGCCCAGGATGCACAGGCTCCTGATGCCTTCTACAATCGTCATTCAACAATACAAAAACATGCATGGAAGCGACGTAGAACGCGCCATATGAGCATCTGGGGCGAAACATGTGCATCATCTATACATCTCCCTGCGAGTTCGATTACCAATATAAAGTCATCAAGCTTCGAACAGCTACTTCCCCACTCCAACCTAGACGAGGTACCTGCAGCATTATGACACCCGAAGCTACTCAATGAGGTATGCGAAAACTGTTTTAAAAACACCAACAGTAAATTATTGTTAAGTATTAATGCTTATTGGAGCTATTGTCTAACACTACCTATGAGGAATAACCTCTGAGCCAGTGGTCGTTGCGTCCACCTTGATCCGAGACTCCCGAACACCATGCCAATGCAACCGAAAATAGCTCACGATAACCGCCGCTAAACACCGAGTCGAATGCTTTGAAAATGCCTCAACAACGTCGGGATCGCCAAGGAACACCGACCATATTTGACCAATCAAGCTTCCTGCTTCTCCGACTTGCCCATATTTTCCTCGTCTTCGCTGTAGGCATAATGAGAATGCGCCCGAATTCGGGCACCGTAGAAATAGAAGACGAATGGGATCGCACAGCAGGCCAGACCGATAAAGGCCAGGAGCGAACTGGCCCACTGATCTCCCAACCTGTCGTACATCTGGTTGGTAAAGAGCACAGCGCCAGCACCCCAAAACGAGCGCAGGAACGTCTTCGCGGCCAGCGCAGATGCTGCTTGATGCTGGTATGAATCGACAAGGTAGTTGTTCGCGGCGTTGTATAGGAAGATGAAGCCGAAGCCAACAGGGAAACCGCCGAATGCGGGTCCCGCCCAGTGTAGGTCTGTATAGGATGTCCATGCGAAGATGAAAACGCCAATGGGGATGAACCAGCAGGAGAGCATCATCGGGATCAGACGCACTTCAGCAGGAGGGTGGCCGTTGTGCTTCTCGCTGAGCTTGAGGTAGTGTTTGTTGACAATGGGGGCACAGGCGGCTGAGCAGAGCACTCCGACGATAAGAGGGATGAACATGAGACCTGTGGTCCCTGCGCTGTAGCCCTTGCCTTTTTGGTAGACGATCGGGAAAGCGACGAAGAACATGTATAGGAGGCCGTAAAGTACAGACATGTAGACTGAGACGAAGAAGACGATGAGCTCGCGGAAGAGGAGCTGGAAGGGTCGAAGGAGGAAGAGCGTCAGGCGCTGGCTGAATGGGCGAAGGTCAAGATCTTGTTCTGTGACGAACTTGTCATCGCCAGTCTCTTTGCGGAGCTTCTTGGCTCGGGTGGCGAGAAGCTTAGGAGCATAAGTCTCTGGAACTGTAAAGGTGATTAAGATCCAGACCACACCGCTGAGGATGAGCTGGATCCAGTACAACCATCGCCAACCTTTCGCATCGCTAAGAAAGCCACCGACGAGGGGACCGACACCAGGACCGATGAAAGGAGCAGCACTGAATGCAGCCATTGGCACGCCACGCTCTTCATTTCTCCACAGGTCGACCAGCGTTCCACCAACCAAAGACATTGGGGCAGAAAAGGCGACACCGGCGATAAATCGAGTGACAAGGAGGGTTCCGATGTTCTGAGCGACAGCTCCAGGGATCGTGAAAATGACGGCAACAGCCAACGTAACGGCATAGATGGGTCGTCGACCGCAGATCTCGCTCAAGGGAGCAAACGCCATAGGGCCGACACCGAAGCCGACAACGAAGAGGGTGATGGTGAGTAGCGAAACTTCTTCACTGACATGGAACTCCTTCGACACACCCGCAAGATCGGCGGTAATGACAGCGGAATTGAAAGCGACGACGAAGCAGGTAATAGCGACGCACATGGTGCACCACCACTTGCGCAGCTTACTCCAGTTCTTGGGGTTCTCGGGATCGTCGATCTTGAAGGTGACTAATTCGTATCGTTCAATAGTGCCAACAGCTGAGCGAACTTCGCGTAGCATCTGGCCATCGATGGTTTCTTGCGTATACTCGTCGAGGTTGGCATCGTTGCTAAGCGTGCGAAGAGGTAAATTGACGACATCCTCGATCGTTGGGGCGCGGTGTAGCGTTGGGGTGCGGTTTAGGTCGTGGTGGGGTTCGTAGTGTGTTATTTCCGACGAGTTGTCGTTTGTGACGGTGTGTGTGGGTTGGGCGAAGTCCCTTGCCAAAGGCGGCTGTCTGTCGGCCATGCTTGGTGGCAGTGAACAGTATAGAGGCTATTCAGCCTTGGTCGCCTGTGGACTATATTTATGGTTGACAGAAAGCGTTGGTCGGATAACGCAGAGATGGGACCTTCGTATGTACCAAGTATAATGGTAACCGTGCTCGCGATGTTTGCCCGGTTATGGAAGTACCAAGGTGTATGTTCGATGTATTAAAGAGTGACATTGGGCGGCGGCACATGCCTCTATATAAGTGCGAGTAATGCTGATAAAAGTTTTCATCAAATTTAAAGGATGGACAACCTGACGGAGTTCGCTCGGAACGATGATCACATCGAATGCGAAATGCTCAGTCGACGGAAGCGGCTGGCTGGTTGCCGCGTGCTAAGACAAACTAGGTATGGCGTATCCAGCGATATCGTGTTTATGCGGTGACAAAGCCGAACGTGCCCCGAAATGCCTCTCACATCTCGAACGTCTGCAGGATCTTTCTAGATGATCGCCCCACTGTTCGTACGGGAATGGTTATCTTTGACTTCTAGCCTTGCATAGCTGTCAACGTCACCTAACGCTAGGCTTCGAGTGATCAGCCGGTCAGTTAGGAGTGCGTTATCGGGATCACATCAGACCAAACATTCAGGGGTAACTGAGAAAGGTTCGCTGCATTGTTAACAACTAGTCGATGATTTAAAGTATAAGGGAAGTCTTCACGCACGGCTACTGAGGAGGCTGCAAGCTTTTTGAGTACCTAGTTGTAGATCAAACAGGGAGCACCCTCTTTGGAATCATGGACGCGCCGCCAAATTTTCAAAATGGGCCTTCCACCGCACGCACAGCCCGACGCTTATTGGGTTCGACCTAAACGGATCGTCCCGAGCTGCACTGAGTAACGGCTTTGTGATTCCATCGTAAAACAGTCGAACAAAGTCTACATCTGGACATATTGCGGCTTCGGGGTGCGTCTCGAGACTTCGAGAACTGGTTCGGCCGAGCGTCACGTGCAAATCGCGGTGAAAGCTCGGCAGGTTCCTTCAGCATCTAGAAAGCGTCTTAAAGAGTTGCGAATCCTTGAAGAAGCTCTTGAATCGTAGTCGGAATTTCGGCTAGCAAACGGTCCAGGTATAGACTATACAGGTGTTGGGAGATTCTCTTAGGCGCTTCGTTATCAAATCAAAACCATGCATATAGAATCACAATCATCATTCATTCGTCGTTGTATCTAGGGGAATCAGGTGCCAATACTACATATGTCACTACATTGATCTGCGTTACTCAATTGAGAAACCGAAACGCCAGTGTCGAGGTTTCACTCCTAGTGTCGCTGGTCGAGCTTCCCGTCGCCGTTCATCCGTCCATTATATTCCTCCTGTCCCTAGTCGAGATGAAGCCAAAAAAAATGTAATTAACCACCACCTAGTACGGGCTGTTCACGATATCATTCCTACCTAAATAGCTCCCTCGCACACCGCTTCGTCTATTCGCACCCACTCTGCTAGGCGTAGCGATACTCTCACGCGTTGGCTTCTGCAACGCACGCCGAGCGACCATGTCAACCTCATTTGGTAGCGCCACAATGAGGTTCTTGTCAGAGCCAAACTTGAAGTTATCCGCCTTGACCTCCTCAGCGTAACGTTTGATGCTGTACGGATCTCTGCGGTTGGCGAGTATTTTCTTTAAACTCCAGGTAACGATGAAGGGGCCTGTAGCAGTGATGATGGTAGTCTCTTTATCGTCAAGTCCAGTGTTGAATCGACCAGTCGTAAACGATATAGGTGCTTTAGTCTCATGCTGGAACTGTGCGACGTGCGCGGGCGTGAGCGCGAGACGTCGTGGTTGTGGCTTGTCGTCCTTCGCGAAAGATTTCTCAAACCCGAGCTTGCCGTCGTTCTTGCCTCCCTTCTGGAGGGCATCGATGAGGAGAAGGTAGGTCCTAGTAGTGGCGAGGACCCATCGACCGTCCGCCGATACGTCCATGCCAATGATAGGGTCACCAAGCGCAGGGATGAGTGTCTTGGCATTGATACCGAGCCTGTCAAACAACCGAATGTCTCCCTTCTCGGACGCGACCGCGATGTGACCTTTCTCGGTCGTTGCAGCGGCCGAGAAAGCGTTCTTGGTGGCGTATTGCTTGAGCTGGTCGTCGACGAGCTTGTTGCCCGCCAAGCGAGGATCAACTCGGTAAAGGGCGTTGCCTGACAGACCCAAGAAAGTCTGCTCTCCGCTCATTTGGGCAAATTTCTAAAATCCTGTTAGTTCTGAATCCTGTAAGACAATGGTCTTGAAAAACTTACGTTCTCTGGCGCGAACACCTTGACTGGAATGTCATCGTGCACCTTCCACTCGTCTACAACCTGACCAGTCTCGAGATCCATCCGGTATAGCGCATTGGGATTGTCTAGGTTCTGCAAGATCATGTCTTGATCTTGTTGGTGAAGCATAACTTTGTTAGGGTTAAAGGCCTTGCCCTTTGGTGTTCTGACATTCGAAATGGTGGTTGAGAACTGCAGCTGATTATCATCAGTGTGCTTGAAGACACCAATCTTGTTGCCTCGCACAACGAACGATCTGTCGTGTTTGTAGCCCACAGCGAGTTGGGAGTTTTCGGCACCATCTTTTGGACCAGTTTCGACGTCTTCCTCGGACTCGTCTGAATCGTAGTGCTCGCTCCGCTGGTCATTGGTGCTTTCGTACTCGTCCTCTTCCTCCTCTTCCTGCTCGTCCTCTGGAGCGTCTTCCATAGTAAGGTCTTGAAACGCCTCGAGAACATATTCCCGATCTGTGTCTTTGGCCTTCTGCCACTTGACTTTGTTCAAGTGCTCCCATAAGGCTTGCATGACACCGTTTTGTAGGTTCTCCAGCTCTTCCTGGTCATTGAATCGCAAAAGCCACGAGTATGCCGAGCCGTCATCGAGATAGTGGTTGAAGATGAAGGATTTGAACTCGTAATTGAAGACTGGGTTTATGTCCTCTACAACTGGTTGGCCAAGCCATTCCCGCTCCTCGCCAGCAATATGCAGCCAGTAGTTCCAGTTCCCAATCTCCGTCACTGTGGCGAGCACCTTGCTATCCTGCTTAATGAATGTGCCAGAGGGGAAGTCGAACAAGTGAAGTTCGGCTACACCTTCTGCCAGTGTCTCAAGAACCTCTGGCTGCGCAGCAGATGGCGGCGCTGCCGTGGGGTCTTCTTGCGCCTGCGGGCTTTTGCCCTTACCTGCGACCTTCTTCACCATGTTTTCCTTGGTTGTATTTGGGAAGAGCTCCTCGGCCGTCGGGGGCGCGGCAGGTAGCATGAGAGAGTTGCGAGTCGGGCTAGCAACAGGGCTTGCGTCGGGGATAGGTTCTTCGTAGTACGCAAGAGCTTCGAGGTCGTCTTCGGTCGCGTGTTCGTGGCTCCTTCTGTACTTTCTCTCGTACTGACACTGCAAAGCAACGCGCTCAAAGAGCGCAGCAGTCTCTGGTTTGACCGACGCGTCGCACACAAACTCCCAAAGATCGTCTACGTCACCGCTGAGGTCGCGCCACGCGAAGATCTTCTCGCCAGTCGAGCGAACGTCGTCCCGGAACTGGAGGTCCTCGTCCAACAGAAACGTCTTCTCGTCCTTTTCGCCAGCTAGTGTGTCGAGTACCGCGTCCTCGCCGCCTTCTTCCGCCAGAAGGTCCTCCTCGCCTTCCTCGTATGCGCGCTGGATGACAAGTTGGTATTGAAACTCCTGCCCGGTGCGACGTATGGTCGCAGCGGCGTCCTTGAAGATGAGCTCGGAGTAGCCCTTGACGGAGCGCGGGCGGACGAGGTAGAGTTGACCCTGCGAGATCTCGACGATGGTTTCCTTGGAGCTGTCGCCGAAGACGAATTTACTGACTGGTGGTACTGGTTAGTGTCGCATCGTACAATAGCGGGGGAGGGGCAGGGGCAGGCTCCAGCAAACAAACTTACGGTTGCGGAGCATGAACATGGCGAGAGCTACTGAGTGGCTGTTGTAAGAGCTAAGCCGTGTATATAAGCTCAAGGGAACCCATGCATGTGGGTTCGCATCAAGGTGAAGCTCCAAGGCAGCATTTGTTATCAAGTTAGCGGTAGCCAGGGTCTCGCAGGCAAACACTCGCTTACAACGTCATTGTGTTCCCACGTGATAAGTGTGGCGTTCCTTAGTAATAATAGACCTCTACCCGCCACTACTCTGTACACACCACGCGAAAGGGCAGCTACCGAGACGGACACTTGCAGGCACGGGTTTTGTCTCGATGGATAGCGCCCGATCCATACTTCGAGAAGGCGGGATGTATCGATTGGGATGGGAGATCTTATGAGAGACAATAGTACAATTTACGTCGATAGTAAGCGTTACTGACAGTTGTAGCGGCCATCGTCAAAGATTAGAGTCGCTGGTGCCCGTCCTAAAATTTCGGAAATCAACATGGTCTGCCAACCTGGGCTCCAGCGACACCAACCTGATCATGTCCGGGCATTAGATATTGTTCATCGGCACAGTGTTTAAAGACCGACCGCTCGTCGCCTCCACTATTCGCCGCTAGCAACGTCACAAACATGACCGTCTAGTCGCATGTCATTTTCTGAATGATCTTGCTCGATACGTTTCGGCCACACCCTTTCTCCGCCGAGAGTACAGGTCAAACTTGTTGCGATACCGAGCCGGTCATAGATCCCACGCCATTAAGCAGACTCGTTGAACGTAGCCTCTGTCGACTCACATGGGAATATAGACCCATCACAACATTGGCATCTTTCTCCAACACCACCATGAAGGGTTGCTGCTTCTGGTCGAAGTCGAGTAATCAGATTGTCTGGAATTAGGATTGGAGATAACGTGGGCTGTAACTTCTCAGGATGTTGCAAATGTCATTGCTGTACTTCGTGCATGTTGTGCATGATATTTCTTTCTCAAGAAGAGACGCTGCCTGTGATCTATAGGTACTTTGCCAATCACGACATGCTCCTCCAAAAGACGGCAAAGGCATAATCCTATACAGGACGCCCATTCTATTTCGCCCTAGGGCCAAACGTCACAAACCATCCTGTCCTTCGCAAAGTTGGTAATCGTTTCGGTGTCACTTTTACTACAATTACTCGGACTGGCATGCCTTGCCTGGAACATCTACTAGTGACCTACATGGAAGCGATCGATCTCAAAAGTATGATCACGATCGATGGGCTATTGAAAGCGATGCAGAAGAACGCATCCAGACTCATCGGCATCATCGATCAAAGTTGTTGGATTGGAACTTGATACACCTAGCCTATTCAGTCGGCGCTTTGCGGAGTCCCGAGTGTAAAAAAGCTTGACCACAATGGCGACGGAGTATTAATGCGCGGGGTGCCGGCGCGGGCGTATCGGTGTCTAAAATAACCGTTTGTTGTCGTTTTCTTACTAGGCCCATGGTCAACCTTGGTCGGTTGTGAAGTCGTAACTGTTTAGGTCGACGCTTTAGGAGAGAACCCTTCGATTTCGACGACTCCCTAGTAGTGGCTCCAACCAACGGCGAACTTCTCTATGAACTCTAAGCTCACGGGAAAAGCACTCTTCGATCCATTGGGCGCCCTTTCTTGTTGGTGTATCAGCCACGCCAATCATGTTAGGCCCTATTCGCCGCGTCGTAGTCTCAAAGTGTACCCTCAATGGTAGTATATCCACTTGGTACCATGGTCGGCTCAGGCGCCATCCACCTTTGAAGGATCGAGATCCACCATTACGAGGGGTAATTCACGCCGTTAGCTCAACCAACCAGATCATGACATTCCGTTCAACAAACAATACGGCTTTGGACGGGTGAATCACATTTCCCCGCTCCCGAAACGGAGTCCTGAGGTCTCAACAAAGCATCTACGCAATAGTAACTTGATCAACGTGCTCTCTATGGGGTTCTTTAATTTATCTAGACGTCAGAAAGGCCTTAGTAAATGGCTCATCGACCGGATAGACTTTAGGACCTATAGATTCTCACACAGTATAAATCTGGGCTTGCCACCAAAGTTGTCTCTAGCAGTCCCTTATCCTTACTTGTATCGTTTGGTTTGCACCTTTGTCTTACAATATGAGGATTTCAATCTTCTTCTCACTCATTGCTCTAGTGATCGCTTCCCCTCTCCTTCAGCCCAGGGGTAATGGTGAGGAGCCATGCACCGATGATACGACTTGGTATGTGGGCAGCACGTTCCCATGACCAAACTTCACTCACTAGTTACTAGGCCAGGAGCCGCTTTGAGCCACCCACCAGGACCGTCTCCATATTCGAGCTGGGTCCCGAGTTCTGTGTCGACTACACACACAACCTCTAGCGTCTCTGGAAGGTCTTCAAGCCCAACTCCTAGCTCCTCTTCAAGGTCTTCAAGCCCAACTCCTAGCTCCTCTTCAAGGTCTTCAAGCCCAACCCCTAGCTCCTCTTCAAGGTCTTCAAGCCCAACCCCTAGTTCCTCTTCAAGGCCTTCAAGCACCACACATAGTTCCTCAACATCCGTTTCAAGTGTGCGATCAAGCTCCCTGGGGACATCTAGTACCCCAAGGCTTTCGTCAACACCACCTTCCAGCAGCATCTTGCCGGCATCCAGCACTCCAATCTCTTCATCCGCATTGTTGCTCTACCCAACCCAGCACCCAAGCGCTCCACGCAGCAGTTCAAGACCTTCATCTCCAAGTCCTCCATTCAGCACTCCAAGGCCTTCATCCAGCACTCCAAGGCCTCCATCAAGTACTACAAGGCCTTCATCAAGCACTCCTAGGTCTTCTTCTAGCACTCCTAGATCTTCTTCCAGCACCCCAAGGTCCTCATCTAGCACTTCAAGCACTTCAAGCACTCCAAGGCCTTCATCTAGTACTTCAAGCACCCCAAGACCTTCATCGAGTACTTCAAGTCCGTCTTCAAGCACTCCAAGGCCTTCGTCCAGCACTGTTTCTCCAACCTCTTTAGCCAGCACTACAAGGCCTTCTTCCACACCGCCGTCGAGTAGCGCCTTACCGACATCGAGCACTTCATCAAGCACTTCATCTAGTACTTCGAGGTCTTCGTCAACATCATCTTCGAGCAGCACCTTGCCTGCACCCAGCACTACAATCCCTTCTTCAACATCAGTATCCTCTTCATCAGCATTGTACCTGAAAAGCTACTCATTAGGTAGCTCCTGGGTTGCATCTAGCACCCCAGGCCATTTGTCGACGCCGACATCAAGCGGGCACTTAGTAGCATCTAGTACGCCGAGTCATTCATCGACAACGGTATCAAGCAGCCGCTTAGCGACATCTAGTACCTCAAGTCATTCGTCAACACCAATATCAAGCAGCCGCTTGGCGACATCTAGTACCTCCAGTCATTCGTCAACACCAGTACCAAGCAGCCTCTCTTCATCAGCCTTACTTTTCCATAGTAGCTCCTCAGCGGCACACAGCACCCAAGGTCCATGGCCAACGCCCTCGTCGAGCGGTTATCCAGCATCCCCTAAGCCTCCTAATTAATAGCCCTAGACTACGACAATTTTAAAACTGGTGGGAAATATTCGTGGGACTTGAAGGGCGCAGCAGAGTTATGTTGGAATCAAATTCCATTGGCATAGGACGTTGCGCCCTGACGACGCGCGAAGTGTCGAAGTTCAATTTCGCAGTAATAATATGTTTTGTCTGTTATGTGGCAGCAGCTGTAAACTGTCTGCTCTCCGCAGATGAGATTTCGGTCCTTTCCTTTTTTCGAAAGTTGTGCCGTGGGGCATGGCTGTTAAGACTTTCGCAGTCGTTGTGGTTTTTCCCCATGTACCTAGCTAGGCTACCGCTCCTTGATAGAAAATTGACCAACATTACTATCTCTTTAGAATTGGAATTTCCGGGTTATCTTATTAATTTTGATATTGTGCTGTGCAAGGCTGACAGGTGTTGCGAACCAATCAGGAAAAATATGATGAGCTTTGATACCATGGTTGACGTATCGACCTATCCTATAAGAATGAATGTACAAACATCTCCGCATTTAAAGTAACTTTATAGAACTAGCAATAGTGTGGGCACTTTGGAAATCCTCTCATAAAGAAAAATTGCTCGTATTGTGTAAATAACTATCACTGCTCCGTCTCTATTATTCCCTCTCCCTACACCGACACACGCGTTTGCCCACTTATACTACACTCAAGCTGGGGCTCTACCTGAACGACCATATATCATAATTCGCTTCTTTAGTGTACAACAACACTCGCGCCTTTCCTCTCACAAACAATAAAGTACGAATCCACACTCATGGACTACTTCGACGGTCTCGATCAGGAGGCCTTGGACGCATTCGGCGAACTCAATCACGAGGGGCCACCACTCAACCCTACAACCGCACCTACTCTGTCCTCCGCGACAAAGCAAGTTCTTCAGGTCTACAAACAGGACCAAAAGTCCAGTATAGGAGCGAGGAGTAGTTCTCGCAGCATGAAGTATCTGTTCAAGCTCAACAGCCCTATCACCCCGGCCGTACTCTCTTCTGCTGCCATCCTTCCCTCGCAGCCAGAAATCATTATAGGAGAGGGTGAGGACGGAATCGCTCAGTTTTGTCAGGTCAACGAACGAGACATACCTGAAATTAAGAGCTGGCTCACCGCAAGATTTCCATCGTTTTGCCCCATATTTGCACCTATAAACAAGGCCTACAAGGAGCTTTCACCCTTCTCCGCCTACCCCACTCTAGGTGTAGACACAACGATGCCACATCTCCGCCCTCAAAGCCTCATGGAACCCGCACTATCTCCAGCGCAGGATCAGTACCCAGTGTGGTATTTCTTTTACGGTACCCTAGCTAATTCCCAGTTCTTGGCCGAATTGTTCTGCGTGCCGGAAGATATACCAGTGTTATTCCGGGCTACTGTAAGCGGTGGAAAGCTCCGAACTTGGGGCAAGAAGTATCAGGCTTTAGTCAACAGTCCCGGCACACAAGTGGACGGCTGCGCCTGTAAGGTCATGTCTCGAGACCAAGAAGACGCCTTACTCGTGTATGAGACAGCAAAATACGAGGTGGTGAGGGTTCCTATCGTGTTCAAGGACGGCGCATACCGAGGCCAGCTCGTTCGAGGCTGCACATTTCGTTTTTCAGGGGAGGAGAATGAACTTGACGACGTGTGAATTTGTCGCTTTACGTGGTCGTATGTAGCCTAGAGCGTTTGTTTTAGAAGCCTCGTGCAGCTACTCACAGATATCTCAGCACTGGAAGAGAATTTCCCAAGCGCCTACCCACGTTGAGCTATCGCTAGTTCTGTAAGGTTCATGAAGTGCGGAGATGTTTGCGATTTATATATAATGTAGAAGGAGCTGAACAAATGTTAGGCTTCATGCATCAATAAAGAACATGTGAATACGGCCTAGTGCTCGGTCTCTTTGGTTTTAACTACGCGGGGAGGTCTTTAGTAGGCGGTAGTTATAGTGGTTTCTGATGTACCTATTATGTCACCGCTCTATAATAGCATTTCACCAAGACTACTACCCTTGTAAGTAGACAAAACCTGAATCCTCCTATTAAATACAACAGAATGCTATAGTAAGCATACCAACAAGGCGCGCGAAGATGTCGTAAAGATAGCAAGCAAATCGCACCAAGGAAGCGGGAGTACCGGACCAGTGCGGCAGGCCAACTTCGGTGCGCCCCACACGCAGAAAAACTCGGATTGTACGACCCCACCACCACCCCGCTACTTTCATGGCTTCCAATCGAGCTTCAACAATGCTGTTTGTTGCCTGTAAATCTATAACTTCGAATATACTGCTTCAAAGTCGCCATTCTTCCATCAAATAACACGGGCTCGTGGTTTAGTGGTATAATACTCCCTTAGCATCTCTAGAACACCTGGAACAGCGATTGGGAGTGGTCCGGGGTTCGATTCCCCGCGAGTCCATCTTTTTGCCTTGCTTTTGTATTTTTTCGATGGCTCGTTGGGTGTTGGTCGCGTTTTTGGTGGTGGAAGGTTTGGGGCCGCAGGGTGGATGCGTATATTTCCCTACCCCCCTTGGACCACCCAACTTCATAGCTTCGGGGTAATTAGAGGCATGCAAACCCTCATTTATTTTGCTTAACACGAACCGCCAAAGTTTTGTTAATGTGCACCGTCTGTGGCTCTGGCGAAAGCGTCGTTTCTCACTTTCATTGGCACGCACGCTCACTATATAGGTTCGTTATGAAGTAACTTCCCAGGAATATAATAGCCAAGACTCTCATTGTATTATTTGAGTTGTTATCTGTTCATTCATATGCTAAACAGTCGTCTACTTCTTCTACTCTAGGTATCACACCGTCTTATTTCAATCTCCCCCGTCGATCCACCCAACACAACAACTAGATACCCAACGTCCAAAATTATGGGGTATACCAAGCCAGACTGAACATGAAGCTTGACGCAGCTGTTTCCATAGATTGCCCCAAACCCAACTCCGTGTAGTGATAGATAGATCGCTTGCTCGTTCGCCCAATGGCGCGGCATCGCTTTAGAAATATGTCCTTGACAAAAGGGAAAGAATGGTACTAAAACGATGCATAGCTATGGGAGGCTCCAGCTCCAAAGGGATCAACAAGAATGTAGCAAGAACACGGGCTGAAAGAGCGTAAAATGCATAGAAGTGGTATCATGAGGGAAGAACAGTCTTCTCAGTGCTCGCGTTGCCTAATATCGGCCTGTTTTCTCGCGGCTGAGGCTCGCCGTACGCCCACTTGGTCGCCATGTTGACCAGGTTCGCGCAGATGGGGTCAATATGCTTCACCCATAACGCCGCGCACCGATACAAGATATAGTAGAAAATGGCAACGGCGATAAAGATGTGTGTAGTTGAGCCGCGCTGGAGATCCAGCTGCTCTCCTTTCTCGTTCTTGGGCGGGTTCATGGCGGACGGCAGGTAAATTATCCAGGTGAGGACGGTTTTGATGAAGGTGTTGTGCATAAGGTAGACCGGAAATGAAACATGGCCGAGGAAATTAAAGACGGGTGAGGTGAGCACGCGGCGGGCGTTCCGCGAGAAGAAGATGCCGAGCAACACGGTCGAGGCGCCGATATGATCCCAGTATCGCCGAACGTCGGCATTCTCGACGGTGATACTATGCATGATCTTTTGCATGACGTGCGACCAACGTGCGTTTTGGGGCGAGTCTTGAGGATAGCCTGCGATGAACATGCCCACGATAATCATAAGCGCGGGGATCGGGGCTGGAAGGACTGATGTCGCAGAATCCTTGTAGTGGTTGTGCAATTCAGCTACGAACATGCCCATGACGATGTTCAGACCTTTGAGTGCGCCGATTGCGAGTCCTGCGAATGTCAGCTACTACACCTAAATCTCCGGTTACAGGCTTGCTTACCCTCGCCGAGCTGCCAGAAGTAGAGGTACAGCACAGCGTAGACCAAGAAGCGCGCTTTCGGCTTGACCAGGACAGTGGCAAACATGGTCGTGTACACGAGCATGCTACCTCCCAAGAACAAATGCAGCGTCCATTGTGTGCCATCGTAGTCATTCCAGCCAATTGTCCATGTTTCCACTTCCGCTTTGAACAACGAGAGGAAGGCCTCCCATAGTGTAGGCTCTTGCCGATGCCAGCCCTGTCGTATCCACGTCGAATCGACATGCTTGGTCATGTGGTATGCGTTTGTGTTGGCGAGGAACCAGGTCAAAAAGGTTGCAACCATGGTGGGCAGGATAAGCCTCCCTGAGCGCGCCAGGGCACTCCTCGCGATGCCTGTGAAAGCCCCATCGTGGTTCCCTGCGCGCGATCTGCCTATTGGTCCTATCGAGTTTACGTATCCTGTAACGAGGAAAAATATCGCCACAGCGCTGCGGCCTCCGACGGTGAGGCGGAAGTAGGGTAGTTGGAAGAGGTGCGGTGCGGTTTTAGGATCGGCCGCTGGCGAGTGCAGCCACGGTACCAGAGCAGTACATAGGTGGCCACTGACGACCATGAATGAAGCTATGCCACGGAGGCCCTATAGGATACGGTGTTAGGTATAGTAACACGGGCGCTCGGGGTTGAGCGGGTGTGACTTACATCTATCCAGTTGGCATCGCGAGGAGCCATTGTGCATGTGTAAAAGAAGAAGGACCAACGCCAAAAGCGAGTATTATCCGACGATGTAGGGGGCCTATGAATCAAAGAAAGTATTCACACGCATCGCCTTGAAATCCAATGTCCAAGCGTAGGGTGGCGGTGGATTCCGCTGCTTGCCGTTCGGACGATAGGGTCTAGAAAAAAAGGAGCAAAGAAGAGGGTGGTCGTATGGATATGCCGCTTCAACGTCGCAGCAAAAGATCAATGGTCAACGTTATGAAAGGGATTGGAGGGCAAGAAGACGTCAAGGCTCGCAGCCTCGCATTGGTTTTTAGAAATGCACCCTGCCCTGCTTAACCCAGTGGGGACTGCATCATCTTCAGGAACGCGACTCTGCAGGGGTGGGAGGCGGACATTTGACTTTTGGGTGGTGCCAAGAGGGGAAGGTGTGGAGCTTATTTAGTCGCTCTCCCTTTCAACGACTCTCCAGTGGGGAGACGTTAAGCACCACCCCGATAGTAAAGTATTTACTACCCTTATTACTAAAACTAGTATAAATTTATGCAGCCAAGGCATGCTGCGCAATTTTTTAGCACTTTAGTTTATATATAAATTACTATATTATTATAAGTAAAATAAGTATAGCGCAGTATATTAAATATAATAAAATATATAATTTTATACTTTGCAGTTAATCGCAATTATTAATTATTATTTATTATTAATATTATATAAAATTAACTTGCCTGCCTAACTATATTGCCTGCTTAGTATACTAAATTTAAAATTATTATTTTTTATAAATTAATTACAACTATTATTTATATAGTAATTTAAAATATATTAAAATAATAAAAAACTTATTATAATTAAAATTAATTATATATTATAAATTAGTAGTACCGCGTAAGGGTAAAGTAGTAATTAATAAAATATTATTAGTATTAATAATAGTTATAAAGCTAGCTAGTAAAGCTTATATAAGCTATAGTATTGCGCTAGCAATTACTATAGTATAATATAATTTTAATTATAAATAAAGCAATTATTAGCTAGATACTATAGTTACAGTAGTAGTTAAAATAGTAGCTATAATAGTTATTAAAATAGTAATTATTATAATTATAGTTAAAGTTAGTAGCGTAATAATAATAATATTAGTATAATTAATAGTATTATTGCAGTTATACTAGGCCGTTATACTATAAAATTTTTAGCTAGTACTATAGTTTGCTGCGCTATTTAAGCTAGTAAAAATAATAATAATATTATTATAATATTATTATTATTAAAACGCTTAAATAAACTAGGCTTTTTTTTTTTTAAAAAATAGAGGTCTGAGCTGCTGTTGCAGCTATACAATTGTAGTTAAATTCGAATATTGTAGCCTATTAAGGAAAAGCTTCTACGGCTCTAAAAACCTTAATAATTCAGTTAACTATATAGCCAAGTTCAATAAATTGTCCAATTAAATCCGAATTATACCCGAGATTATACCCGAATTATATCCGAATTATATGCAGTAAACTGAGTTCAAATCCTGCAGTTTCCAACAATAAAAGCTGTATTTTTCTTCTTTTTTGCCAAATTTGGTCACCCACCTAGGTAAAAATCCAAATTTTTGCAGCTTGATTTTTGTAACCGACCTTAGAGGGCCTCTTTGCCCTCGCCGTAGCTGTCGATAAACTAGGCTTATAATAATTACTGTGCTTACTAGCATTTTATTAATAGCTTATAACTTGCTTACAAATTAAAATTAAGTATAATTTAAGTAGTATTTTGCTTAGCTTAAGCTATAAAGCCTGCAATTAATTAATTTACTAATATTAATAGTAATTGCTTGCCTAAAATATAGCTAACTCTTTTAGCAGCTTAAATAGTTAGTACTAATAAAGCAGCTTATATAATAATATATACTAACTTTTATAAATAATTAGCTTATAGTTAAAATTTTATTAATATTATTAAAGCTTATTGCAAGCGTATACTATTTATTTAATAGTAAAAGCTAAAGCGTATTATATTATTTAATAAAACACGCTTATATAAATTAAATACTAGTAATTATAGCAGAGTTTAAAATTACTTTATATATTTAAAAGTAATATATAAGCAGCATACTTATAGTAAAATATATAAAAATAGTAAAATAATTATAAAATATTAGCCTAGCTGCTAGCAAGCTAGTTTTTAATAATATAATAAGTATTTTTAGTTTTACTAGTTTTAGTAAAGCTAAAATATAAATTAGTATTAATAAAGTAGTTTATTAATTTTTTTGTATAATAAGCTAGCTAATACTTCTAAAAATAGGCTATAGCCTAGCTTAAAAATACTTTAATTACTACTAAGTTAGTTTTATAATTAGCAACTATTAGTAAATTAATTAGCCTAATATAAAAATTTATAAACTTTTTTATATTATTATTATTAATTTAAGTTTAACTTTCTTGCTGTTAATTAAATTTAGTTAGTAGAATAGTTTTTAAGTATAACTAAATATTTTTATTTATATACTAGTAGCATATAAAAATGCAAAAATATTTAAATATTTTTTTTAATATATTAATAAATACTAGATTATTATTTATTACTTAAAACTATACTATAATATTTTTAACTTTAAATAGCTTTTTTAACTGTATTAATACTTAAGTAAAAACTACTTTATTTTTATACTTTATTAGTATAATACTAAAGTGCGTAGTTTAATTATTACTATTTAAGCTAACTAAATTAAAGAGCAGGTAATTATATTAATTTATTTTAAAAATATAATTAATTATAAAAATATTTAAAAAGCTTTTAAATAGTTAAAAGCACGCAAAATAAATAAATATAAAAAAATTAAAATAATTATTGCTATTAATTATATGCCTAATATTATAAAGTTTATTAATATAAATTTAAAATAAGCTTATATGCAAAATTTTAAACCTTAATATTATAAATTTATTATAAAATTAATTTACTAATATTAGTACTTTTTAGCTTTTAATTTTTTTACTAATACTTCTACTTTTGTTTGCGCGCCTATCTCTTAATACTATTATAAATAATATTTATTAATAATATTTTAATAAGTAAATTTAGCATTTAAAAAAATATTTTAAATTAATAATAGTACTTATTTTATGTTATAAACGCGCGGCTACAGCTTTTAAAAATACTATTTTACTTTATTAATTTAAGTTGCCTGCTAATATAACGCAATTACTATTATATTTTTTTTTAAAAAATAATTATAAGTAATACTAGCTCTATTTTTGTACTATTTAACTTTTTATTAATTTTTTAAGCTGCAATTATTTTCTACAAAAAAGTAAAACTATATTTAATAATTACTTTTTAATAATGCTACTTTAGGGCGCTTTTACTTTTTACTAATATAGTAATAATTATAGTATTTGCCCTATTTATTGCATACTATTAATAGCTAATTTTTGTTATAGACTAGCCTTAGGATTGTTCTATTCTAAGCGTAAATAATAGTATTATATACTTTAAAAAGGTACAAAAATTTCTAGCTACTTATATAAAAGTTTATTGCTAAAGTTTGCTAAAGTTTTTAATTTATAAATGCTAAAGCTTAGGCTAAAGCCTAAGCTATAATATACTCCTTTATTTTTAAAAAAAGTTTTCCTTTTTTTTTAGGCCTTAGGCTAGTTGCGATATTATTAAGTTTTTATAGTATTTTAGTATAATTTTTTTTTAAAAAAGTTCTAGGTAGTTTTAAAAATTATTAGCTTTTATATATTTATAATAATAGCTTATACTAAACTTAAGCAAACTTTTAAGCAAAAACTTATAATTTTTTTTTTTTAGTTATTTTTTTTTAAAACTATTTTTGTATACTTTTTTTTTACTTTTTTTTATACTTTTATTTTATAAGCTTTTCTTTTTATATTAGCCTTATAGCGCTGCCTATTTTTTTGCTATAGCAACTTGCAACTTTATTTTTAGCTTTTAATTTTTTGTTCTAAATAGTAGTAGTAGCCTACCTAGTAGCAGTTGTAGCAGTCTTAGTAGCTATTGCTAAAATATATACTATTTTTTTATATAGCACTATAGTAAAGCTAATTTTTTTTTAATTAAGTACTTTAGCTAAGCTAGTGCGCAAATCCAGGCAGTATATTACTAAAAGTAACTTTAATAATAAAAAACTTAAAGCAATATTTACTTAAAGCTAGATATATACTAAGTATATTAGTATTATAAAAAAATTTAGTTATACTAAATACTAAAACAGGCTTAGTTAGTTATGCTCTGTTTGCTACTAAAGCAAAAAAATATATAAGTATAAAAATATTCTTTTTATTATGCACTCTAATTTTTACTAGGCTTTTTAGGCTTAGTAAAACTACTGCAATAAGTTTAACTTTAACAATAATTTATATATTATTGTTTAAAGTACTTATAGTACTAATTTAGCGCGTTATATAACTAGTACGCACTACTAGTTTAATTTTTAATTTTATATATTATATTATTACTATAAAAATATCTGCAACGCTGCTATTTATAATGCTATTGCCTTATTTTTATTTTAAACTGCTTATAGCCTTAAATAAGCTATAGGTAACTCCCCTTGCACTATTATAAAAAAAGCTTTAGCTATTATTTTTTATATTTTATTTTATAACTATACTAGTTAAAGACTAAATGCATATATAAATAGTATAGCAAATACTATAAGTTAAGCTATTAACTTAATCTATACTTGTATTAAGGGCTAAAATATTTATTTTAATATTTTTTAAACTTTTATAAACACATTGCTTACTAGTATTAATATAAGTATTTTCTTTTTTTTTTAAAATTTTTTTTTATTATATTTAAGCTAGTTTGTCTGCTTTTGCGCATCTTTTTTAGCAAATTAAGTTTTATAAATTAGCTTTAAAATAGTTTTTTTAGCGCAATAATATAAAAGCGCTTTAATATATTTTTTTTATTAGTTTTATTAATAGCAGTAATAAGCTAACTTTTTTTTAAGTTTATTAAGAACTTTTTAAGCTTTCCTATAGCTATTGTAACTAATTGCCTATTACTTATAATTAGTATTCTTCTTTTACTTTTTTTTAATACTAGTATAAATATTCTTTTTTTAAAAAGTTTTTTTTTTTTTTAATATAAAATAAGTTAATAAGTTTGCTTTAAGCTTAGCTTCTGCCTTAGGTTTAGCTTTTGCCCTAAGTTTAGCTTTTACTCTAAGTTTAGCCTCTGCCCTAGGCTTAGCTTCCGCCCTAGTTTTTTTTAGTTAATTTTTACTAGCAGCGCTATTTTTAAACTAGTTTAAATTTTTTTTTTTTATTTACTTTTCTAGCCCTAAACGTCCTAGCAATTTATTATTTAGCTTTTTCTATTTTAGTTTTTTTTGCTTTAGCAATACTACGTCTACCT